TTATCCACTCTCCATCTAGGATCTTCAACCAAAGAATACAAGCATTGAACTAGATAGGAATCTTCCTCTCGAGTCCATAAATAGTTATCGACGCTCGAAATGTCCAATCTTCTTCTAGAGATGCCTCAAACTGATTACGGTGGATTGGTATGCAATGAAAACATGTTCAATTTATAATCATATGGTTGGACATTATGAAACAATAGCAATATAATAAATTAAAAACAATCAAGGGAATGAAATGAACGAATATAAATGGAAAGAAAGCAAAGAAGTGTGTACTCCAAATTGTAATATTCATTGGACAATCAATGAACGTCTAAATATATTGTAAAGATATATTCAACATTGATATAAAGCAAATCATTAGATTCACTCAAACATATGGTACATACAATTAAAACTAATGGGTAAATAAATAATAAAATACAAAATATATCTACAAATTATTATCCTCTTGATTGCAACCAGTGGGTGACATCTCACTAGTCAGATTATTTTTAAACTAAGTCTAAGAATCAGATGGTTAAACATGCATAATCAAATCTTGATATTCAGATTCATCTGGTTGAAAAATAATTTCTTCAGCAACATCCCTTTCAATAAGGTCAAAAACCATCTCACACCTAATAAAATTATAGATAAGGCAACAATCAGAAATGATTTTATACTGTCTTAATTGAATAAAATGACTTCTCCCTTAAAATTAGTCATCTAGCTTTCAATATACCAAAATATCTCTTGACACAATTTCTTACTTGAGAGTATTTCATATTGAAATATTCTTATGAGGTCGTTGGTTAGAGTCCTACTTTATAATCACTAAGATGGTATTGTTGACTTTTATAAGGTGCCAAGAATATTTTCCTATTTCTGTATCTGGCATTACATAAATAGTAATTACTTGTTAGATTGTTCAACAACATTAAAAAATATGGAAATAAAGTGTCTTAGCATTAACATTACATAAACATAATAAAAATACTACCTTATGGATCCTCAACCCATTATTATGTGTAATTACATCCTTTAACACTCTGTCATCTACTGTAGAATATTTTCATATCAGTAGAACATATATGAATTGTATATTTGGGGTGTAAATACCAAGGACATTGGTAGTAATTTTATTTTTTCTAGTCCTGTATCTAGACCTGTCAACTACGTCTACATTGACTTTGATGTATGTCCCATCTAAGGCACCCAAATAACCTTTGAACTATTTTCATCTCTTATCTATTGAATTTTTTGGTATGGGTTTGGGTTTTTTAAATAACAGCTTATGCAATCTTAAAACAAAATTATACACAAAATGAAATTGTCTACTAATTTTCTCTCCAAATCTGACCACTTGATGCTTCATAACCTTATTTTTTGTTTGATGGACAATTATGTGGATGAAGCTAATTACTAGATGACTGTAACCATTTTTTTTGTTTTAAGCAAATGATATAATTTTGTAAAAGTTTTTTTATCCATTCTCATATTATTTAGACATTGTATATCGTTGTCAAATATTATTGCATTTAACTCCCTAATATTTAGCCTATCATAAGATGTTCCACCATAAGATAGTCTATGTTATTTTCTTACGTCAATATTTAATAAAGTTACAGTAATAAAACATAACACATGCGACAAAGCCTCTATCTAATTCAAATGTATCATAAATAATGTAACCAATTGCATCTTTCTTTTTAGTGATAAACCAACCATAACTGTTTAGAAGACAGAATATCGTTAAAGTTGAAAATATAATAAAAAGCAAACCTTGGCATATGGTAGATGAAATCTATCAAACATCATCAAATAAAATATAAATTACAAACAAAACATTGGAAGATTTGAAGGAACTAAAACAAATTTACCATAAAATAAGGCATTTATATCATAAAACTAAATCCATGTATAAATGACATCTAAAAAAATAAAAATTAAGTTTATTGGAAGGCAACATCAATTATACACTATCAATCAAAAAGTATATACACCGTTTTGTGTAAAAAATGAAGATAAACTTAACAGGACAAAGATTAAATGACAAATGAGAAAGCTAGTATTTTTTCAAAGAGAAAAGTAAATGCTATGAGCTAAGATCAGTTGAAATATAAATCAGAAACATATTGGTTATTGAAACATGATGAAGACATCGAATAAGGTGTTAATTATATACAAACACCATATTTGATATATAAATTATAAGCTTTTCTACTTCACGAATAGATGTTAGAATATTCATATTATTAGAACACAGTTATTAAGAGGGAAAAAATTTTTAATACGGGCAATTAAGGCAGTTATAGGAAGAAATGCCTCATATGATAATTATTTAAAGTGTTTTTTTTCATACAAATGCCTTAATCATTTGCTTATAGGTGTGTCTAAAAAAGATCATGTCATAACATTTCGATTAATGAAAATAAAAAAAAAATTATTTTAAATTATCAATTAAGACATTTCAATTGAAAAAATGCCTTAAATAATTTAGGCAATGATTATTTGGGTATTTAAAGAAGAAAACACCATATTTGATAATCATTTAAGGCGTTTTTTAGGGAAAAATGTCTTAAATGATCATTATTTATGATGTTTCTTCAACAAAAATGCCTTAAATTATATATTGTAATAAAAAAATAAGATATTTGATGGTCATTTAAGGCATTTCTAAGGAAAAACGTCTTAAATGATCATCATTTGTAGCATTTTTTAAACAAAAATGTCTTAAATAATAAATTGTTATAAAAAATGAATATTTGATGATCATTTAAGGTGTTTTTTAATGTCAAACGCCATTAATTGCAATAAAAAATAATTTTTTAGCAGAAAAATATATATATGAGTTATAGTCACTTTCAAACATGCTTTTCAAAAGGGTAATGGGTATTTTATAATTTTTTATTCAAGTCAAATTTAAAAATAAAATAACTTTTCTCTCAGAATCCTAAAATATCACAGGGAGATATGGGTTTTTAATTCTGAAACTTTGAGTATTGTTAGTAATCTATCACTTTTTCCTATAATCGGATTACTCTAAATCAAACATAAGAATCAAATACTCATTATCAAGATTCAAAAGGAAAATTTATAAATTCTCCCAAACCAAACACCCCCTAAAGAGATACAAAGCCAGAGTTCCACTGAAACCCTTATGCTAGGATTTTTTTTTTATCGCATGTCACTATAATTGTTGAGTAAAAGACAATAAAATGAAAATTTACAGGCATGAATGGTTTTTGTTCTTATTTACATAAACAACTGCTATGGAATAAGTCACTCAATGTCAACATTCAAGTAGTGAACTTTAATTGAAACTTTCATCAACAAGAAAGGTCGATAAGTAAATGGACAATGTAGACCTGGTATTTTGAAATACGTTACGGTGATATGATATGAAAATGATATGAATAAAGCACATAGAAATAACACAATTTAAAATTTTTTAAAAATCATAAATAGATTTAATAAAATCAAAAAATTATTTTTTATATTTTTTGTTGACACGAATTATGACACATAATTTTTATATAAAATATAATATAAATATAATATTTTATACGATATAGTAATATGAATTGAAAATCAAACAAAACTTTTTTTTCTTTTTATTAATTTCTTACGACTATAAACGTTACTATCTAGGTGGAGGATGGTTTTGACAACTTCATATTTGCCAAATCTGGCCCTGAACTATAATAGATTTGACTTGGTAAAAGGAACTAGTCCTTATCTTGATTATGTGGGTCTGAATTCTCAATTTCAACTTGAGATATCAAATCGTGGAATCTATTAATGACTGTTGGGTTTAGAGTAAAGGGTATGTAGCTAGTTACAACAGCTAAAACAAGATCTTGGGATGCTGCGCTGGGGCATATGCTGGAATTGTGCTTTAAAGTGCATGTAAGAATAGGAATTATTATTATTATTTTGTTTCTAAGAACAAGGAAATTATTTATAGATGTCTGGAATGCATGTGTTCTTGTTGCTTCTATAAGATTGAAGACGTATTTGGGAAGCGATTTTTTTTTCTTTTTTTGGAATTTATAACCGCAGATGATAGTAGTCTGTGTTTTAAGGCTTCTATATTATGTTCTTTTGTTTGTACCACCTGCACGGGGGAATCTGTGCCTTTTAATGTATGTGAAATTATGTAATTACAGATAGGCATTTGGTCCGAAGTAATTTTCTCAATTGTTATAGAGGCATCCCTCAAAACCTTGGACAATTGATTGGTTCCATCTATTTGAAAAAATTAATAATTAAATTAATTAATTTTTATTTAATAAATAATTAAATCAATTAAAAAATTGTAAATAATTAATTATAATTAAATCAATCAAAATCAATTTAGTTTGATCGATTTGATTAAATAATTAAAAAAAATTATTATTTTTTTCTCTTACTTTAAATAATTATTTTATCACAAATTTAATTTAATAAAACTTAAACTCAAGTATCATTTAAATTAAATCATCAAATAATTTAATGATTTTGATAATATTTTATAAAAAAATAAAAATACTTATATCGATTTTTTTACTTTTAATTATTAAAAAGTTGATTAATTTGATTGGTTTGATTATCAATTTTAAAAATTAAAAATAAATTAAATTAATCAATTTAATCGATTCAAAAAATTAATTATAATCAAAATTAAATAAATCAAATCAAATCAATCAAAACGACTTTTACTCACTCCTAATCCAATGTTTTTATTTTTTACTGGTTTGAACGTTGATATCATAAGGACAAAAAATGCTTCCAAAACAGAAAGGAAATCCTCTTTTGCCTAGTATGATATTCAAAGAACCTTCTAATTGGATATTTGGGATTTGTCTTTTCATCTCCACTTTAGATATTTACAATGATTTTAGTTTGTTCCTAACGAGCATAGTGTAAATGATGAGGATTTGGGTCTACATACATGGAAACACGGCATTTCTTCCTAGTTAGTAGCTTACATGAGGATGTAGCTTGTCACATTCAACTATAATTTCTAGTTTTCTACCCTATCTTCAACTTGCCGTTCTTCAAAAAAAATGGGGCTGTTCTTTTCTCGTGTAAGGTCCCGTGCTTTGATGTTGATGTCAATAATCTCCGTTTGCACTTTATCAGGCATCAAGCTTCTTCTTCTTTGCATCTTAGATTTTTCTTTGAGCAAAAATAAAACCAACAATTAATGTTACTGATTCTTTGAATTTCTTACTGGTTTTCAGATTGCTATGATCCTTTGGATCCCAACGGGAACATTACAGTTACTTTTGACATTAATCAATGGACACGAGATGGCTATATGGTTAGTATGTCATTTATAATCACTTCAGGAAGAAAGAAAGAGAATTTTTTACTTTAGAAATCTTCCAATACTTTGGGCAACCACAGTTTTGCAACAATAATAGCTTTCAGGCACTCTAGAATTTTACTTCACCGTATTCATCTTTCACTATCTGATTCTTCAGCATATTTCTGCTTTTAGGCAAGGGTAACAATTCAAAATTACTATCAATATCGCCATGTAGATAAATCTGGTTGGAAATTGGGTTGGACATGGGCTAATAATGAGACCATCTGGTCTATGTCTGGCGCTTTTGCCACTACACAAGGGAACTGTTCATCGTTCAAGTTCCAGATCCCGCACTCCTGCCAGAAAAGCCCTGTCATTGCTGATCTCATGCCAGATGCCCTGCCAGAAAACAGAACAGATGATTGTTGTAAAGGTGGCCTTCTTGCTGCTTGGGCTATCAACCCTTCTAAGTCATTCTCCTCCTTTGAAATGATGGTTGGCAACTTGGGGGCGAATCCTAAGGTTCAAGCACCAGTCAATCTTACTTTAATGACTCCAGGTCCTGGATACACTTGTGGCTTAGTTGAGGACACTGATCCCACAGTTTCTTCTGATATTGGGGGTAAAAGACAACTCCAAGCTTATAGTAAGTACCCAATTTAACTCCATCATTAGCCAATGCATTCAATATATACTCAAAAGCCACAAAATGTCAACCTGGTTGTGATCTTAGAGGTCCGAACTATGACATTCTAAGGATTGTTAGATAAAAGAGTAGACTATATGATGCAACTAAATCATGCAATAATTTGAAAATTGGCACCAAAGAGAGGAGTGAGGACAATTTAATTCCAACCAGACAGTTTTTGCTATTATTATGCTTCAATTTCAATACAATGATTTCTCTGCTGGTATGCCGTGAAATGAAATCCATCTGCATATGAGATTTCACAAATCAACCAAGCTGTGTTTAGAAATTTGCCTAATCAAGACTTGTAAAGATATTGGAAAAAATAATTTACTGTCTTACTTCTTGAACAACCCGTGATCAGGTCTTATTGTTATCTGATTTGCTAGTTGATAATTCTTGCACTTTCAAGGAATCTTATGTTAGCCAAAAAGGCCTGAGTCCAGTTACATTAATAAAAGCGAAATCAAACAATTAATCAAATATACAAAAAGATAGCAATTTAGTATGATTCGATCCAATTAATTTACGTTCACGAATGAAAAATAAAATCCACTAATTATAAAGAATTTCAAACATATATCAATCATATCAACTACTCAATAAACAATACCCATAAGCCTTCCTAATCTTCTTTAGTCTTATAAAATATTTTCAACCAAAATAAACATATACTCATATACACTCATGCATCAATAATTATGTAGACTCTTTTAGTCTGCTCTAATATACTCACAAACATAACATTTATACACACCCATAAAACATAAAATCTCCAGTAGTCTCATAAAATATCTATCTCATAAAATCTTATAATTTTTTTATATTTTTTCTCATACCTAATCTTATATATAAAAAATTCAATCATTTTCTTTTTAAAATTCTTTTTCTGTAAGTCAGATTTATCTATTAAAAATTTATTTTCTCTTAAAATTCTTTTTTTACAAATCTTTCTGTCTATCAAATAATATCTAATAAATCTTAAACAAATTTCTTATGAAATTTGAATCACTATTGCTAACGTAAACATTTAAATTTTGGTAGCATGCTCCTTACCTCAACAACCTTAAAAAGTCACAGGCAACAGACTAATAAACCTAGATGAAGTTCTCTTCCTAATGTCAGTTATCAATGAAATTGTTAAGCAAACCATTCAATCCTCTTATCATCAACTTTTCAAGAACATTTATCCTAAGATATTCTGATTTCCATATTGCTGGTCAGTTTCGACATTTCATGATGTTCCACAACCCGGATATGCCTACAGGAAAATTCAATTGATTAATAACTGACTCATTAATTCAAATGTTTGAAAATGTGTAGACTATAACTAGTTTAGTCCACTATTCTCCTGCACTTTCTTGTGAAGTCAGGAAGTGTTGCCGAGATAGATTTCATCTTGTTTTTAGGATGCATCCGAATGTGAAAACTTAAAATAGTGCTGCACCAACAAATTACTTTTTTTTTCCTGTTCACCAGGAACGTGGAAATCAACATGTACTTATTCCAGCTTTGTTGCCAATCAATCACCGATATGCTGTGTTTCACTCTCAACATTTTACAATCCCAAGGTCACATCATGCCCTAGTTGCAGCTGTGGATGCAGAGATGTCGATACAAATACAATTTCATGCGTAAGGTGGTTTCTTAGAATTGATTTCACTCGAAATCCAAAACCTATATATATAGCTCGGGTCTGTTTACAGCATCATTATTTATCTATATTTTCCAACTATAGTTTCCAAGCCTGCATGCCACTCATCTTTCTTTCATCATGTAATGCCAGAGAAGGTTTTTTTTCTGCACCAGAGTCAGGTCCTTTGGATAATTATGACATAGTGCAATGCACTGATCATATGTGCCCAGTTCGAATTCACTGGCATGTTATGAAAAATTACTTTACACATTGGAAAGTAAAGCTGACCATCTCAAACTACAATTACAAAAGAAACTATTCAAACTGGAATGTGCTGGTTCAGCATCCTGGTTTCAGCCAGAATACAACAGCATATAGCTTTATCAGTACAATGCTTCCTTCTTTTGGATTCTCAGGTGCCTGTTTTATAACAAAATATTTAGCTTAAGTTTCCGCTTCTTTTGTTTCCGACCTTTTTTAACTCATTCAGAAGGAAACTCTTGCAGATGATGTTGCTCTATTTTGGGGAATTGAATACTATAATAATGAGCTGGTAAATGCCGATAAGGATCAATTGGGTGCAGTATCCACACAGATTTTACTGAGGAAGGATTTAGATTCCTTTACACTTGGAAACGGATGGGCACTACCTCGAAGAGTATATTTCAATGGGGAGAACTGTCAGATGCCTCTTCCAGACATTTTCCCCACGCTACCAAATGGCAGCTTCAGCTTGAAACCTGCTCATCCCCTTTTCCTTCTTTTGATCCATCTTGCTTTCAAGACATTTGTTACCTGGCTCTGATAAATAAAGCACTGTAATGTTTTCTTCCTGCATCAAAATTTTGAGCCATCTTGATGTATTGAGTGTCAAAGGGTGAAACTTTTGTACATGTTTGCCTTAAATTCATGCAAAGTGTAAACGTCTGATAATCTCTTGGGCTTCCGGCTCGAGGACAAGGTCATAATTCATTGTAAGGTCTGACTTTTTTCCGGTGTGTCCATGCATTGACAAATTGATTGTACTATTTGTTCGTTAATGTGACTAGATAGATGTTCCAGCTAACAAATGTTTAAATTATGGCACCTCTTTCCCTCAAATTTAGATATTGGTCAGTTGGTTCTCCATCTGCTTTTCTTCTAACTTCTAGACTATCCCATTGAAGGCTACAGATACACTGATACAAAATTCTTTATAGCAGCAGACTGTCAAAGACAGGCTGCGCAGCAAAGCTCACAATATTAAATGACCCTTTTTTTTTGTTGGGGGGGGGGGGGGGGGGGTGTCAAAAAATGAACCATGTTCAAGTCTAGACGGAATCCCTCTACCTAAATTATGAACTACAATGGTTTCTCTCCCAACCAAGTGTCCTTGAATTGGACTGCCCCTTGACATTGATTGATACGACAGAGAAACAAACAACGTAGCTACAACATGCACGAACCTACCAGAAATATGCCAACATAAGAAATTTTGGAGGGCCTAGGTTGTTGGATTCAAGTAAAGAAACAAAAAAAAAAAAAAAAAGATTGATTGTTGGCACCGGGACCATGTGCTTCCCTTAACGCGTGGTAAAGACAAAATCATTGTGTTCTTATCTTCTTTCCTCATTCCACAAGGTGAAACCCTGAAGATTATGATAATGTTTTTGAGTTGAAAGTGAGTTTTCTTTCTGTGCCATTCACAGTTATAATCACATCTTTTCATTATCTTTCAAAGATTTTAGTCCAGTTTCTGGCAATCATCATATCAAATCTCATGCCATAGAGGAAAAGAAAAAAGGGAGCCCTAAACACAATATTTTATGAGTTATTTTCAGTGAAAGGAAGCCCTAAAATCATTAAATGAACTACTTCAAAAATCATGTCTCACATGTTAATTTATGTTTGTACATTTCACATGCAAGTTGCCATTATAAGAGAGAGAAGATATTGGCATGAATTATTGTAAAGATGACATTCAAGTCATTCCACCATTTCATTCTATTATGCCAAAAAAAAAAAAAAATTCCAAAAAATATGATTTTTTTTGTAAACTCTTTTTAAAGTTTTAAGGATTATGAAATGAAGAAATGTTATTTTTCTAATATATTGGAATGCATTGTTTTTACGAATAACATTCCTTCTATTTTTTTTTTTTGATCTTAGCCTAAAATTTTTTTTAAAAATTAAAAAGAAGAAGAAATAGTTTTTTCTTTGCATCTACAAAGTTAAAACATTTTTCATTAAATATGAAAAGAAATACCAGCATATAAAAGTAGTTTACTTTACCACTTTTCCTCCAATAAAATTAGGCAAAATAAAATACCTTCTCTTTTTTATTCCAAAAAAAAAAAAAGAAATCCTTCTATTTTTCTTTGCTTATTATAACAAACTATGTTGATAGAAGCCAATATTGATAGTGAAATTTTTTAATTTCACAAGTAGAATTAAAATAGTGACACATTCCTTTTATATATTTAACAAAATTAATTTTAAAAAAAAGTGAGACATATGCCATCATTTTAACTTCATTATAGAATTAAAAAACTTTACTATTAATGTATCAAATAATTTTTATATATATTTAAATTATTTCCTTATATATTAGAATTATTAATTATTTATTTATTTTATGGTTTCGTAATTTAATTTTATGTACTAGAATTTAAGAAGGATTAAAATTATATTACTATTTATATTTATCAAATTTATTCTAATATTTATAATATTTATTTTTTAGTTTTATAATTTAATTTTATACATTACAATTTAAGAGGGATTAAAATTATGCAGCAATTTTTTCCTTTTCTTTATAATTTACTATAATTACTCCTCTCCATATAATTTTTTTACTTTTAATTTTACTTTAGATTTTTATTTCATGTTGTTTTGCAATTTATTTTTCAAAAAAAAAAAGGTTAAAATCATCTTATAAAAGATTTGATCATAACTTTGAACCTCAAAACTTTAACTTCATTCTTTTGTAAAATATATTTATTTTTCTTGTTTTGATACCAAAATATTGTTTAACAATTAATTTATTTGTTTTTTTTTTAAACTATCAAAATAATAAAAAATTTTATAATTCATTGAAAGATTGTGTAATTAAGTATTCCACCATTAATTTGAAAGTATTGATGCTCTTTCAAATTAAATTTTGTTATAATAATATTTTTATTTTATAATTTTATGAGCTTATTATTAATATATTGTTTATATGCATAGATATATGATATTAGAAGTTCTATAAAAAAAAAATATAGTATTAATTATTCCTTCAAAATTAAGTATTAAAATCTGCCATTGAATTTAAGGTTATTTATTACCCTTTCAAAATTAAATATCCAAATCTGTCATTGAGTTTAAGTTTAATGTAAATAATTTATTTATTTTCTCTGAAAAATAATTTTTTTTAAAATTAAAATTTGATATCAGCGTGGGTCCTTGTACAACAAAAATCATTAGTATTGATAGACCCCCTCTAATGGTAATTTTCGAAATCTGTCATCGAGTTTGAGTTTAATGCAAATAATTTTTTTTTAAATAATTTTTTATAAAATTAAAAATTGGTGTCAGTGTGGGTCCTTGTGCAATAAAAATCATTCACAAACCTTCCTTATATGGAAAATTACAGATAGGACAGTTTTAAATGTTGATGATAAAAATATTTCAACTTTGATCTACACTCATAAATAAATTAAAAAAGAAAAAATAAATTTGAAAAAAAAATGATGACTCACCCCAATTATATTTATTCATAAAATAAGTTAAAATAAACACATGCTTGCATGGGCCATCCGATCAAGAAACTCTTGTGGACCCCATTTCAATCAACGGCCATCCGCCAACTACCAGGTTTTTGACAAGTGGTAAAATAGTTTTATTTTCTTTTATTTTATTATTATTATATAAGTATGGTACAGCTAAGGCAATGCAAGCTGTGTTCAATCGTTCAGTTCCCTTTGACTTTCTCTACCTCCTTCTCTGACCTTAGATTTTCGTGGGAAACAGAATCTTACTGGAAAAGAAACGAAGAGGCAAAGCAAAAGATACATAGAGAGGGAAAGGAAATAAAAGAACAGCTATGGCTCCTCATGGGCAGGGAACAGATGCTATATTAGAACCCACGGTTGCTCAAGTTGAAAAGCACCCAATTTCATCTATCCTTATCATCATCGGTAAAAACCCACGCTCTCCCTTCCTCTCTTTCTCCATATTTATATGTATATTTATGGGATTGTTTTTATTTGGGGAGTTTGTTTTTGTAGCTATGCAAACAGAAGCTTTGCCAGTGGTGAATAAGTTCCGGCTGACTGAGAACCCTCACTCTTTGTGAGTTCCTTTTTTTCCCGTTTGTTATTTTTAGTGATTTTGGTTGAAGAAGTTTTTTTGGGAGGGTTTAAGCCTTTAAAGTCAATAAGTTTGATATTGGGTTAATCTTCTAATCATCAATAATTCAGTGGACAGAGAGGTTGCAGGATTTTTATGAGCAAAAATGCTTCCCCTTGCTATATATGAGTTTTTTAACTATGAAATACTTGCAAAAAATTGTTTCTTTTGTTCATTATATATATATATATATATATATATATATATTTGAGTGTTTCATTTCACGATCAGATGGGTATGTGGCATTAGCAAAATGTCACCGTTAAATAGAGTGGACTTGATTATCTGATGATTGTTTACTGTCTAGTTTGGTTATTATTCAATATTGCTTATTTGGTTTTTCTTTTTACAAGTCCATGCACAATGGTGCAGGTTTCCTAAAGGGGTACCGTGGGTCCATTATCATGGTTCATACAAAGAAATTACAATAAATCTGGTTTGGCCTGGAAAAGATTTAACTTTTGGTAAGGACTTTGTTCTTGCAAAAATTTTTCTTCTTTCTCTTGTTAATCTTCCTTTTGAAGTCATCTGTCAATTTTTCACTTAGCTGCGGTTTGAGTGGAAACTTAGGTGCACTGATTAAGACCTTTATAGAAAAACTCGGAAAAAAGAAATTACATAGTGAAATGTTGAAATGTACTTGGGTCCGATGCATAAGGCACATTGACATCTGACATGTATGTAATGGACATGTCAAGGAATGGAAAGTTTCTTAAATCTGTTATTCCTATTTGTTAAGTTATCTTATTAATTCTTTGCAGGGGTTGATAATGTTGGCACAATTTCTGCCTCTCTTTTGACCTATGCATCTATCCAGGCGTTGCAACCAGACCTGATCATAAATGCAGGCACTGCTGGTGGTTTTAAGGTAATTCCAACCACTAAATTTTGCTCCTTTTTTTAATTAAAGAGAAAAAAGCATCATAATAACAATTATCTTTAGCTATCTTTCTATTGGATATGCATTGCTTTTAATGATTGTTGTCCCTCTACACTAAATTTTTATCTTTTAATTCGATGTCTACAATAATGATCTACCATGAAATTTTCTGTCAATCTCCCTTCAAACTACTGAGGAATGCTTACTGCTTATGAGTACATTGAAGACTGTGTTTACCTTTCAAAAAGGCTCTAGCTTAGAGGTTCTGAATTAAGCTATAGTGCCAGATGACATGTGCAGGGGACTTGTAATTAAGTGTGTATATGTGTATTGTTTTGTATATTGATTCTTGAATTCTTCCAGGCAAAGGGAGCAGTGATTGGTGATGTTTTTCTTGTATCTCATGCTGCATTCCATGATAGAAGAATTCCAATCCCTGTAAGTGGTACTGGCCCTCGCTCTTCAATTCATTTACTTATCATTTTGAGTTAATGGGACATGGGATCAGAAATTCATGCAGCAACCTGTTTTAACTTTCATTGCAATTTTTTCATTTCTTCAAAAATGAATTTGAAGGGTTACAAGGAATCCAATCACTCTCATGTTCTTTTTCAGGGCTTTTTTAATTGGTTATTGTAATACCTTTGTATTTAAAATGTAAAAATAATTCATTTTCACTTCAAATTTACATGATACATAAACTGGCATTTAAACACTACAGGCATCCAATAATATTCATCATTTTGTTTTCTTTATTCTTCTTTCTTTTTTTTTAGGGGTTGCTTTGATTGTTATGGGCAACAATACTCTGTTAAGATAACTTCTATTCTGTAAAAACTGTTAATGTTCATGAACCTTGAACCTAATTTGTGCTTGGCTAAGCAAATATTTTGTCAGCTATATGTACTAAATTGCTAGTGATATCTAGGTAACTAATTTTTGTTTTTATTTCTTCTTCTATAGGTTTTTGATCTATATGGAGTTGGTTTGCGGCAGGTCTTCTCAACACCCAATCTCTTGAAAGAACTTAATCTAAAGGTAATAATTTTGTTTGTTTTCCTCTTTGTCTGGCAGGGGGGCTGGGTTCTTTTCCATGTATTGAACTTCTAAGATCCCTTTTTCATTTCCTTGTTCTAAGTGTCTTTTCCCTTGGAATTTGCTTGTCGGTTTGTTAAGACTGTTGTTTATCTTCCCTAGATAACTTATCTACTCATTGAGTGTATTTAATATGTTTGCCATTGCATTTACTTTGTACAAGTATACACCAATTTTGCATAGGGAGGATGGTCATTCAGTTTTACTTTTTAATGTAGTTAATCATTTAATGATGTAACTACTGGTTGATTAGCAATATGCATATAGTTCATGATGGAGCATTGTATCATTATTTAAGTAGCACTTGATCTTTCAATCTGTTTTTGCTTGTTGACTTCATAGATGTTGGTGATTCCAGACAATTCCTGCCCCCCCCCCCTCTTCTGATCCTCCTTTTTTCTTTTCTTCTTCCTTATGAAGAGACACATACAAGGGCAATTTTCATTATAACTTACTCTATGTTTCAGATTGGCAAATTGTCCACAGGCGATTCTTTGGACATGTCCCCTCAAGATGAAGCATCAGTCACGGCAAATGATGCTACAATCAAAGACATGGAGGTAATCACCAAAACACCTCATCTCTTAATGAAGAAGAAAAATGGATCAAGCATCCTTGCAAACAATGCAGTACTGCTTGAAACAGATTCTTTTTGTACTTTAAAAGTTTACAATGCATTGAACCTTAATTTTTCTATTCCTTTGTTTCAGGGAGCAGCTGTAGCCTATGTGGCTGAGCTTTTGAAAGTCCCTGCAATATTTATTAAAGCAGTGACAGATATAGTAGATGGTGAGAAACCAACTACAGAGGAATTCCTGCAGAATTTGGCCTCAGTGACTGCCGCACTTGATCAATCAGTCACTCGAGTCATCGATTTTATCAGTGGGAAGTGCCTGTCTGAACTTTGATTTTGTCTTATTTCTCATTACTTTCATCTGGAAATATGTGACAATAAAACTTGCTATTCTTAGATCCATGAGATGCCAACATTATAGATTGTTTTTAGGATAAAAACAAACAACAATTCATAGTTTGACTGGGCACGTGTTTGAATAAAACAGTCTTGAAGGTGTTATATAGTTAAGTTCATTGTACACTGGCTTTGGGGTTTCCTTGAATTTTACTACTCTTTGATTGTTTTTAAGGGGTTCCTCCTCTGGAGCCAATTATAGCCTAGGGAAAAACTCGGCTTGATAGCTGCCATGTGATTATCATGCTTTTCTTTGCATTGTCTAAATAATAAATGTAAATTCTTTGTTTTAGCCATAGCTCGAACCGGATGTGTTTTTGCCACCGAATGTGTTTGCTATGGAGCTTCTTGAGTGGAAGAAATTGAACCATGGTATTGAATGAGAAGTAAATGATAGCATTGGTGGTGATTTGAATTGATATCTCTGTTATTTTATGCTTAGCTCTCGTGCATTTGGGACTCCACTGTTCGTGGTATGATAGGGGGCCAATCAGGAACTGGCAAGACAGAAAAGAATTCTTTTCCATCCACAGGGCTTTGGGGTCACTAGTTGGTTTTTTATTGGGCCAAATGCCATTGGCATCAGCGGTAGTTGAATATTTAGTATTTGCTAACTTAGTAAAGTGGTAAACAATCCGTCAATAGCCCTGTACTTGGCTTTCAAATTCTTCAACCCTGCCATTTTTTTAACAGATATTCTTCGATAGATCAACTTACAGTGTCAAAGCGTTTGAGTAGATGGCAGCATATCTTGGCAAGTGATTCAGGTCACGAAGATTTGTTTTTCTTGATAATTAAAACTTCACCAAATAAATTAATGAATATGGAGTTCATATTTACGTTTTATCCAACCAAGCTATCACTACAGTAAAATGCAGATTCAAACCTCATACCAAACCCCTACCAACGCTTGTTAACATCACCTGCATGAAGGTCTTGCTTCTCAACAAATCCCTTTCTCCATATAATAATAATGGTACCCTTGCCGTTTTCAATACTTGGAATGAATATTCCATGGCTCCCTTTAAGCTTATTCTAAAAAATTAGGGCTGCAGGTGCAGCAGCACTGTATATATAGTAGCATCCGATCAATGCTCCTTCGCAGGTAAAAGAGTTCCTATACAACCTCCCTTGCCAGCAAATTCACTAACGTTTCAATTGAAAGAAACGGGAAAGAAAATATGGGGAGTGGAGAAGCACAAGAAGGATTCCCAAAGAAGGTGAACTCTGGAAAAGCCACAATTCTGGCTCTCGGCAAGGCCTTCCCTCACCAGCTTGTCATGCAAGATTTTCTGGTTGATGGGTATTTTAAGAACACCAACTGCGATGACCCAGATCTCAGGCAGAAGCTAAACCGACTCTGTAACACTATGAACTTCCCTCTCTAAATTTGTGCTTACCTTTTGATGCATTTGGCTTACTAGTTACTAGTTTCCCCTCCCCCTCCTCCCTTGTGCAGCCAGATTATGAATATGATTGTCAACTCTCATTGCCCTTGTGAAAATTAGTATTTTTCACTCTTTGACTGAAATAACTGTTATTAACTTATTTCCTGCATTTTGGCGCTTGTCAGGCAAGACAACTACTGTTAAAACAAGGTATGTCGTCATGTCAGAAGAAATCCTGAAGCAATACCCAGAGCTTGCCATCGAAGGCCTCCCCACCGTGAAGCAGAGGTTGGATATCTGCAACGATGCGGTCACGGAGATGGCCGTTGAAGCGTCACGAATTTGCATCAGAAAATGGGGCAGGCCCATATCAGACATAACCCACCTAGTCTATGTCTCCTCAAGTGAAGCTCGGTTGCCTGGTGGTGACCTTTACCTGGCAAAAGGACTTGAACTCAGCCCTGAGACGCAACGGGTCATGCTCTATTTTATGGGCTGCTCTGGAGGTGTGGCTGGCCTACGTGTAGCGAAAGACATTGCTGAAAACAATCTTGGGAGCCGGGTCTTACTAGCGACTTCTGAAACGACCATTATCGGTTTCAAACCTCCAAGTGCAGATAGACCATATGACCTGGTTGGTGCGGCACTTTTTGGAGATGGTGCTGGAGCTATGATCATAGGCTCTGATCCAGTTTTCAGCATTGAGAGGCCTCTTTTCGAGCTTCACACGGCAATCCAAAATTTCTTGCCCAATACTGAAAAGACAATTGATGGGAAGCTTACAGAAGAAGGGATTAGTTTCAAGCTAGCAAGGGAGCTTCCTCAGATAATTGAAGATAATGTTGAAGGTTTCTGCGAAACGTTGATGGGAACTGTTGGGTTGACTGATAAGGACTATAACAAGATGTTTTGGGCAGTTCATCCTGGTGGGCCTGCAATCTTGAACCGAATAGAAAAACGACTAAACTTGTTTCCAGAGAAACTTAATGCCAGTAGAAGAGCTCTGATGGACTACGGAAATGCTAGCAGTAACACAATTGTGTATGTGATGGAGTACATGATAGAAGAGAGCTTGAAGAGGAAGACAGAGAGCAAAGAAGAGAGTGACTGGGGCTTAATTTTAGCTTTTGGACCAGGGGTTACCTTCGAGGGTATTCTTGCCAGGAACCTGACAGTACAAGAATAATGTCTTAGCTAATATTTCAAAGCAGCTGGATCTTCTACTATCATTATTATAGTGAAAATCAATTCTCTCATAAGCAAAGGGAAACCTTAATCATTTACGGTTCCAGAAAGAATCTTTTAAACTTCCCCGTAACTGAAAACTTTCAAGCTATATGACTACATCTATATGAAAAATGTTAATCATTTATTGTATTTTTCTTTTCTAATATTCTATCATTTCAATCTCTTGACTTTTTGCAAACAAGTCCAGTTTCAATAAAAATTTTTATTTTTTTAGGATTGAATTGTGCAAGTCGTACTGCACTGCAGCCTACTCTACTGTAAAACCTAACCTCCACTCTCTCTTTTTACTTACAGAAGGGATGGTAAATTCTTAATTAAGAATATAAATAATATATTAATGTTTAAAAACGTTTGATTCAAAAAAAATTTAAATTTAACTCAATTATTATCGAATTAAATTCGAATTCGAATAATTTATTTTATCCATCGAACCTATTAAAACCTATTAGAACATTCTTATACCTAACTCAAATTATTTGTAAAACTAATTATATATTTATATTTTAATATATTTTAATTAATAAAATATCTCAAACTCGAATTAAAATTTAAATATAAATAATCAAATTTTTATCGAATATAAAAATCAAATTTAATTTTACATATTAATCAAACTTAATCAAATAAATTTGAATAACTTAATTTTTAACTCGAGTTAAACTTAAACTAAAAAAATAAAATTCAATTAAATTTAAATCGAATTTCAAACCTCAAATTTAAAATTGAATTTAAGTTCGAATTTAATACTATATTGACTCAAACTCAATCAATTACATCCCTATTCTCAATTCTCAATGTCTAACAAATAATTGTCTAAAGCTTCAGCAAATGCTCACTCCTCCACAGACCCAACACCCAGCTTTTATCCATGTATAATAATACTCTGATCACGAAATTTTGAAACGGTAATGTAGAACTTTTCTTCACTCCCACACCGGTCCCATAATTACTTCAATGCAACAATTGTAAGCCAATGTAAGAGCCTAAACACATCATCACATGTAGAAATAGCCTATAATAATTAAAGACAAAGAACATCATCAAATGAACACCAAAAATTTATCCATCTATCAAATGTTTACCCAACCAAAGTTTCTGCCTCCCGAAATTTACAAACAATCCACTAATTTCCAGTCACAAGAAACGCGTCGAGAGCAAAAACCAGAACTTAAACAATGACACCTAGTCACATTTGTAACAGGAGTTATACTTTTTTCAGCAGCAAGTTCATCGACCACACCAAAACATCATCTTTACTTATACCACTCCAGAGGGAAGACGGAGAACAAGCTGCCCTCCAAAGACACTGCAAAGCATAAATGATTATATAAGTAAACATTACTGATGTTTAGGCTCACCAGAGTATTTAGTTATACTTGCATGCCACACATTATAATGGTTTTAACTAACCTCTTGACATAATAGTAACAGAAGTCTGCTAAAATGAAAGTTTGGACAATTTCTGATATAAGAACCATAGAAGGCCACAATCCATAACCCAAGGCTACCAGCAAGTGTCCTCGACTGTCTAAAACCTGTTGAAAGCAGTAGAGAATGAATTAATATCTTAATGCAATCACCCTCATAAAATTCACAATAACACTTCACTAACCAGCATCATAAAATGGTTTCCCCTCCACGCAGAATGTGGCTAATTAAAATGACATCAATTAACATCTAAAAGCAACAACCAGACTCATCTTAGGCAATAGACATTCAATTCAACTTTCAGGATCATTCATCATGCAGGCTCAAGCTGTCAATTATTTCCAAAGCAGATAAATTTTACAATAAACAGACTAGCATTAATTAAATGCTCAAACTGGGTCTCAATCTCAAAAATACTAAACATTGATAAAAAATTAACCAAAACCAATCACATTCAGCTTCACGTCACAAGATCAAACCTGGAGAACCCAGTGAGCACAGCTGAGGAACCTTGCAACGCCCAAAGCAAATACATAATGAGCTGTGAAAGGCTCAACAATCTGAAAGCACAAAAAGAAGATAGGTTACGGACATAATCTTATAAAGCTTCTAAATGTATCTCTACCATTTAAGTTATTTTTACCTTTGTATTTTGCATCACTCGCAACTGGGGCAAAACTGAAACAGCTTCCAGATATACACAGAAGGCCCAGAAAATCCGGTTCAATAGATTATGAGATGTTGATGGGTGAATACCCAGAGCTAATACCACACAAGGGATGACCTGCATCCAAATTCAAAAGCAAGGTTATGACTTCTAGAAACTGTTCAGAAAAAGAATCCACTTGTACAACAAAGAAGATAATTGTGCAGTTAATATGAGTCCATGCATAGCAACCAAAAAAAAGTAACACCTTTAATATTTTTTGTTCAATTAGTTACATGATTGTATCTATTGAATCAAAAGAAGGATAAGGCATATGGTGACTTTCAAAGTGGAATTTGAAACAAACAGCACTAAGAACAACAGAAGACAAATGAAAGCTCAATAGCCAGTTAGAAGACTAGCAATGATTCAAAGAGCAACACATGAAAGGAAAAATAATAAAACATCTCAAAAAATAAGTAGACGTCTTATGTATGAAACGGATTAAAAAGGAATGAGATTTATATTTTTAATATGCAGATCCCCAAGCAAATAGAAGAAATAATAATTTAACAATGAAACCCTGGAAAATACTATCATGAAATGGAGAAACTAGTTAGCAATTTTCCTCTGTAAGCATCAACATATATTTCAAGATTACATACATCTCAGACAATAGATAAGCTTTACTACAAAACATGAACATCTCTTGACTAGGGAAACATGAAATACAAGAGACAAAGCCAGTAGTATTCACTTCTAAACCCAACAATATGTAAGACAGGGCTGCAAATATATAATTGCAAGTAAAGAAAAAGTTAATATGACTGATAGAAACTCACAACATAATATATAGCAAAGTTGTCCTTGTCTTCCATGTAGCTGGACTTTAGTTTGAAACGGATCATATAAATAACCCACAAGGTTGTAGCCAATGTGGCTAAATCAAGTAGGGTGTGTATATCATATTCCATGACAAAGCTACAGTACAGCCTAACAGCTAAAAAGATAGCTGTTAGTTCCTGGGATTTGAGTGATAGTCCTGCAACCATTCAAAAATATTTTTAAAACAATTCAATTGAATGAATAAAACCAATATTTTCACCAATAAATACTTTCTTTACTCAGATAAATCATAAAACACACTTAACCAATAATCTAGGGTTAATTAATTAAATCATTTATGTAGTGTAAACAAATTAACAAGATTAATAGACATACTGCATTTTAACAGGAACAAGTATTACGCATAACAGGAAAGTCACAAAAGAGAGAAAAGAAAGAAAGCAACTCCTTTTTGCCCCAAAAACAACCTTTATATCAATCAAACATTCATGTCCTACAATACAGTTAGGACAAACCATAAAAATAGAATATTTTACTCGTGCAAAAAAATTAGCATAATGCACAAATAAAAACAGAGCAAACTTAAAAAATTCATCAAACCGGTGAGACAAACAAAAATTGGATTCAGCAAACGAATTGGCATAGCATAAAAATAATAACAGACTAAACACTTAAAATTCATCAAACTGGTGAGACAAACAAAAAAGGGCTTCCCTTTGCATCAAGAAAAAAACCTTCATTAAAATTGAAATGACAATGTAGTAAGATCATTAATACTAAAAGAAAAACTTATAAATTCTAGGCATCAGAATTCAATTCAAAAACCCTCAATAAAATAAAATAAAATTCAATCAAAAGCTGCCACAAAAGCAAAATGTCTCATGAAATTTCGACTTCACCAATAGCAGCATAACTCTTCCACTTCATGATAGATGAGAAAAATTAGGACAAAGCAGTAAATTTTATAAATCAAGAATTGAATTCAAGTCAACAAACAAAGAAACAGATATCTTAAATCGAAAGAAACGAAAAATCAAGACAGAAACTCAACCCAGAAGCAGCAATAAAAGCTAAAATCTACCATCGATCGGCACAAAGTTGCCAAACCCAAACCTTTAAAATTTTGTAAATTAGCCCTAACCGTTATCAGCTATTGAAGTTACTAAATTAGGGCAAAAGCATCCATGTATCATGCATTAAAATTTAAGTTACAAATTAATCAAAAAAATAGCAACAACAAAATCTACAATTTCTTATCAATTGGAAAGTTATAGCTTTTTTGCGAATTACCAGCACAAGTCTTCTCCTTTGTGAGCTTATAGATGAGGACAGAGATTCCGATGGAGTGGACAGCCTCGGCGGCGACGAAGAGGTTGTCATGGTCGTGTACGATGAATCGGAGAAGAACAAGAGCTGCCATCCCTGAAACTACCGCCAAAAAAGCCTTCACCTTCGGCGGCTGTCGTCTCACCCACATCGACACCGCGTGGATTGGCCTCTTCTGTGCCCTCATGTCTTTTTTTTTTTTTCTGAGAGAGGGAAAATCTTGGGATTTGGAGAAAGTGGGATTCTGGATTGTTAATGGAAGTCTTTTCGGGTCGGGTGGGGATTTTAGGGTCCGGGAGAGAAATCAGGATCCGAATTAAGTCATGTTGGGTGACCAGTAACGAAACTACTTGCCTCTTTAGCTGCCTGCCCTCATAACTTTAGTACTTTGACTATGACTTTAACTTGAGTATTTTGACTGAGGTTTGCATTTTAATATATTTTTTGTGAAGTTGGTTGAGCTTATTGCATCGTCATATAAATTTAAATGTTAATTTTAGTTAAATATATGCGGTATAAACTTTTTTATAAATTTTTTAATTATAATAATAATAATATTTTTTTAATCATAATTATAATAATTTTTATCATTATTTTTAATTTTATCAAAATTAATCTTACAATTTATCCAAATAAACTTTAGTTAACTTTACTTTATTTATCATTAATAGTATATTTGGATTGAAGAAAAGGAAGAAAAAAGAAATGAATGAAAAAGAAAAGAAATAAAAGAAAATACGAAATTTTTTTATATTTGTATATGACATAACTAAAAATAAAAGAAATGAAAGTATGCTTAACTCTCCTTGATTTTTCTCAATTTTTTTTATTTTTTAATTACTTCAAATTGGGAGAAAAGGAAGCGAAAGAAAAATAATAAAATTTTTAAAATATAAAATGATTATTACATCTTTATTAATTTTTTTAAAATTAAAAATATATGATTTTAAACTTTAAAATTAAATTAAGAATACAAAATATTATTTATCAATAAATTTATTATCTCTATTTTTTTCTTATTTTTATGAATTTCATAAATTTCATTGATGATTATTTTTATGAAAAAAGTAAAAGAAAATTGAAAACATAAAATACATTAACATAAACATATAAATGATATAGTAAATACAAATATTATCAAAGGTTATAATAAAAAAATAATATAATAAATTATTTCCTTCATTTTTTATTATTTAACAAAATAATGATTGATAGAATTTTTTTTTTTTGGTAATTTTAACTATCCAAATAAAGAGTATATATATTATATATTTTCTTTTAAAAACCATCTCTTTCTTTACTTTACTTTTTTTTCTTTTCTTTTACTAATATTCCACCAAACATAAGGTAAGTTAAAAAGTGGTTTTAGTATAAAAAATTACTTTTCAACCAATTTCAATACTAAATAATAAAAAATATATATGAGTTTTTATTTTAAAAATTTGGCTTGGAAACTCAATTTTAAAAAATGCTTTTGCGACTAATAGTAATTTTTATGAATAAAATAATTTTGTCATTTTTATATTTTCAATTTTTCATTTTTTTTACATATATATTTTAAAATATTATAATTCATCACATCACTTTTTTATAACAATATAAATACTTAAAATTCTTAAACTAGACCTCTATGAATAAACTAAATGAAAATTACATTTTATTTTTGCTTATTATTTTCGGTTAATGAAATCATGGTGAAAACATTTTTATAAAATTACAAAAAAATAAAAATAATGTCAAATTTAATATAGAAAAAACATTTTAAAACTAATCTTAATCTAATTAATTTAGTTCCCAAATGTAAAACCTTTTTTTATTGGTTTAGATACAATTTTTATTATATTTATTGTTTTTAATTTAATTTAATATTACAATGATTATTTTAATTTCATTATAATAAAAATATTAAAATTAATTAATTATTTTGTAATTTGATTAATTTAATAAGACTTCAAATTTCTGACCAAGTATCAAACATATTTTTACTTTTTTTAATGATGGACTACAATTTCTCTTTTCAATATAATACTTCATTTTAATTCTACCTTAAATCTTTGTCTTTGTTGTTATATAATTTTTTTTATTGAAATTTAAGATTGAATTAGGTTAGAAAAATATCATAACTTTAATCTCAAAGTTTTAACTTTATTTATATAATGATGTATATTATTTTGTGTTTCAATGAAAAATATATTATTTAATAATTTTTTATTTATATATTTTTAAAAATTGCTCACAATTTTAGGAAAATTTATTTATTTGATTTTTTTATTTCTTTATATATTTTTTCTTTTTATGAAAAAAATTAAACTCATAAATAATATTTTTTGATTATTTCAAAATCAAATGTTAAGATCCATCATTATTTTATTTCCTTAACTATTGTAGCATCTTTATAGTTTATATATATATATATATATATATCAACTTAATTAATACTAAAAAATTCCAGTTAACATTAAAATCCTTTGTTTAATGAGGAAATTAGCAAGGCATTTTTTTTAGAACAGCAAAAATTAATGCAAAATTGACGGTAATCGGTCAATGTTAAGGAAATTGACTTTAGAGGGTTTGAAAGAAACAGAAGTCAAATCGCTGTATCTTTGAAGGAGTTGGTGTCTGGTATCAAAGAGTGAAGACAAGAGATTGGCCCCAGTCCCCAGCGCGACACAATCACTCTTTTGTGCCTGAAAGTTGAGTTCTAATTAGAATTAGAGTTTGTTTTCCTTTTCCATGTTAGACATCTTCAATATCTCATGAAAAATACCAAAATTAAACAAAAAGGGAGAAACATTGAAATAATAGACATGGAATGGAAGTTATGTCCAAATAAACAGAAACATAATACATTCTACAATGAACAAAAAAAAAAAGTTATTCATTCTATTTCCACCTTTTCCCTCCACTTGAACAGGTCAAAGCTAGAAATTAGAATGGGTGGGTGCTTGGATAGTAAAAGAAGGAAACTAATCTAAACATCATAGAGTCCATGAATTTGATCTTCTCAAGAGCGGCTTCATTTGTTTGTCTTCCTCAATTGCTACCATACCTAAGTGAGATGGGTCTTCCAGCATCATCTTTGCCACCAAATAACCAGCAATGGACCAGGTTTGGGCTTTACGCGCTTGCTTACCAATGTATCGACCTAGCTTTCCATCATAATATTCAGGCCAGTGGTCCTTCAGCAACCTCGTTTCAGCTATTTCAAGGGCACGTCTTGCAATTTGGGGGCGTCCAGTCTTCACACATGCAGCTGTCAATAGCCATAAAAGCACTGGATACAATAGAGCAAACAAAATTAATTTCAAAGGGAACATCCAAGCATGAAAATTCCTACTATGTTTTAACTGATAGAAAATAAAGCATGAAAAGTTACCCCGCCTTGTCTATTTTATGAAGTTCAGGAATGTTACAAGATATCTCGAAGATTATAAGCAAGTGCATGGTAAAGTTACCAAAGACCAGAATATACTAGAAATGTCAGATTCCAAAAGAACAGGAAATTTTCACTTGAAATTTCTATAGAAAAGCTGAAGAAACTGCGAATGGTGGCAGCTGGTCTAGTATCATTCTTGAAAATTTTGCGCATAAGAAATCATTTCAATTGCCTAATTTTGTAGTTTCACAAACAACCTTCAGGACTCTACCTACAACTTAGGTTATTAGTAGGAGGGTCTACAGTATAATACGTACCTGGCCATGATCCCCCATTGTGGTAACTCCATCGTGTGTTTTTGGGGTCGCATCCTGTAATAATCCGCCATTCGTGAGTTTCCATGGCTGGATAACAAACCTTTAATGGCATTTCTCCAACCAACTCTTCCCAGCGTGACTCTATAAGATCCATAATTGCAGTGGATTGTTCAGGAGTAGCCAACGATGACAGAATTGCGATGCAATTGCCCAAGCAGAACCAACGGAAATCCATTCTTGCAGGGCTAACATTACCGATAAAGTAGCCACCATGAACTGGCATAAAATCAAAAATCCATTCTGGAAGAGAGTCAGGCATTACATTAAACTTGTTAACTGCAGTATGGGAGTACTCTTCTGTCTTAAAACGATATATGTCATTGAGCTGCTTCAAGTCGAGCCAAAAATAACTTCTCATGTGATAGCTTAAGGCATGCAGGCGTTTAACTATTCGTTCAATGAACTCCTTTCCTTCATCATCTTGCTTGAGTAGAAGCAAAGCACATCTTAAGGCCATAAAGAAAAGAGCTTGGATTTCAATGGGATAGCCATATACACCCTGTAGACATGATAACAAGTATAATGCCCAGCCCAGAAATATTGAAATGTAAAATATGAACATATCAGTTCCAAAACTAATTTACCCGTGATGAACTGATAAGCTAATGTATTTTTTTGAGAAAAAGTACGCACATTCTTACTGTATATGCACTACCGTTCATCAAAAGACCCAAAAATATGAGCATGTTATCAGTCTCAACCAATGGAATACATAAGACAAAGGATGATCCACCACTTTCATTCTGGACCAAATGGTCATCACCATTTCAATTATAAAACGGCTTGTGGCCCATATAGTAAATATATCGTTGAGTAAATTATCCAATAATAAAAAGACAGAAGTCAAGTATAGTTATCTCAGAAAAACAACTTTGCCAAAGAAGTTGACATCTTTAAAACTGCCACTTCTTTAAGGCACCACTGGTGAGAGACCATTGCCGCTAATCTCAACTAGGTTTCTTCTAATGCCCATTACATTGACGCAAGAAGATATAGGAAAAGGAATGGCAAGCAAGTAATATTATACTCATTAAGGTTTTAAAAATCTTTCTTAGGACTATAAAGATTTCTGTTCTGCTCCAAGACATATGAGCAACCAAACAAGCATAGAATGCTGCAAAGGTTCAGAGGAAAATACAGCAAGTATTGAAATGGATGCATTATAGTAGGAATAGTGCAATTTGCTAACTTAGCATTGTTTTAACCGGAGATTTTATATCTTGGATAGAAATGCCTAACAGAGCTGACAAAATCACTCTTATCTCGTGCTTGATTAGTCTTCATCGCTAGACTAAAGATGAGACGCAAAACCAAACAATATTTTTTGCCATTGCAAATGAAATTTAAGACAAAGCTCTACATGATAAGTTAGATAGGGCTCATTCCATATGCCAAAATCAGCAGGAATCCTTATCCGATGCAATGCATGTTTCAGATAGGAAAAACTCTGTTTGATGCTAGCACCATATATAACAGAATATATACAGTGACAAACTCACCATTCTACGATCAATCATGCAGCAACCATCAGCACAGAGAAGCGTTGGAAATGTGTCAAACCCCTCCGAGAGACATAAACTCAGAATTAGGCGCATGCCCTTCTGGCATTCAGGCAACTCAGCCAACGAAGTGTCTCCGGTAGACTTTGTGTATGCTCGAAGCAAAATAATCCACCAAAATCCAGAATCAACAGGAGCAACTCTTCCTATTGCACTCTCACCAAAATCAGCAATTAATGTCTCATTGTTCCTAACAGGGTCATGGAGCACTTTGAAACTAGCTGGCATTACTCCTTCTCCTAACTGAAATCGATCGATCTTTTTCTCCCATGATTGAAGGCGAAGGGTCTTCAAAATGAAGTTCTTTACTATTTCTGGTTCCCCATTCATCAAGAAAGCCAATCCGCTAGGGACAAAGTCTCTCACAAAGACCTTTGCAGAAAAAATAAGCAATCACATTTACAAACTCGTTATAAACCAGATTCATCACAAACTCACACAGTCTCATATGAGCTTCAAAAAATTGAAGGATTAACAAAGAAACCAGAATCAAAGGGATAACATCATCACATAAATCTAAAATAGAAAACATAACATATAAATATAACATAATGATAAATGGAGAGAAAAAGAAAACTATGAACTGGATAAACTCAATTATTAAATCAATAACAGCAAAATCAAATATTCAAATCCTACAAACAGGAAAAAGAAAAATACTTCTACAACTTACACCATCCAGCAGTTAGTAATAATCGTCAGCAAGTACCACATTCTACCCCTAGTATTTAGAACAAAAGAAGCATGAAGTCTAGTGCTGAAAAATATGCTAATTGTATCTTTTACTTTTGAATTACGTACTAGTCACTAGGCTCTTTCCTTAAAAAAAAAAAAAAAAACAGTCGCAGAACTGCAGAAAATTAACAAATAGACAATAAATTCAACTCATATACTGAGATTTTTCACATTTAATCACCATTTCCAATACAATGATCAAGGCTCATGACAGAGAGAACATGTGGGGTATATGCTAATTGAACTGATATTGCTTTTGACTGAGATGGAGTTACAAGGAAATAGTCTTCACCTGATCGTAGTTTAGATTTTCTTCAGAATTATCCAATGCTGCAATAGTCCCAACCGGTTGACCACGAAAATACACCAATGACCTTCTTAAGGCTTCCCATGCTTCGGCAACCATTGGATGCGGGTCAAAACCAGTATGTGACCTTGGTGTGTTAAAACCTGACCTTCTACCCACGGGCGAACAAATAAAATCTAGTGGCTCAAAAACACGGGATGAATTAAGTTCAGTAGCTCTATTAGAATGGCGTGGAGATAGCCCAATAGATAATTCACTGAGCGACCTTTCATCAAGTGATCTCTGCCTGTCTATGTTCAGAAGCCTTGGCTTCTCTAACAACTTTGAAAAATCACATTCTTCATATTCAGCCAAGGGACAGAGTATGTCCTCAGTTTTCATATTTTTATTGTGATTCACATCCACATTCAGCGTATACATTTCTGAATGTATAATATAATTTTGCTTCAAATGTTCTACAACCTACAATTCGAAATAAAACAGTATTCAAATCATTAATCACTCAATTTGCATGTTAGATTACAGTTCAAAACTAATGGAAGCAGCTCATCAACTAACCTTCGAAGGAACAGATACAAATTCCTGGATCAAACAGATGAATTAATGAGTGATTCAATTAATTTAATTCCAAATTGTTTTACTTTTAACCAAATAGAAAGTTAACGTAAACATCAACAAACATCATTCAGCGGAACATCAAATAAAAACAATAAGATTATAAGAATTCGCTGAAATTTCAATTGTCTAAACAATCTTAAAATACGCATTTATGATTTAACCACAGTCAAAATAGAAGAAGAAACAATGAGTTTAAGATCAGAAAACAGTTTTGCATGAAGCAGAAATCACATAAAGTTGAACGATGAGAAAAAAAAAAAAGAAGAAACTAACCTATTTATGAAAGTGGCTTAGAGCAAAAACTTTCCCTCTTTCAAGGATCCATGAAAGAAGGAAAAAATGGAAGAAATAAGCTCAGTTTGAAGAGAAATGTGGGGTTCAAGAGCTTAACCGGCTCAACCGGTAAACCTCGTTTGCAGGATTAGGAGAAGGTGAACGGTAGCTGGGCATAAAACTCAGACATGCAATATGCATGATGCATCCAGCCGGTTAGTTTATTTTTTGTTTTGGTAGGTGGGGTTAATGAAATGTACGGAACAGTCCAAGGAGTGGGGTCCACGTGGAAGTCTGCTGACAGGACTGATGATGGTAACATAATTGAACTGGGTGCATTGGGACTTGAGCTTTACGATGGGGGAGAAGAGAAAGTTTGTTTTTCTTCCCCACGATTGCGGTCAGTAGATGCAAAGGAGGCTGGCGATTCCGTGAGCCTCTTTTGGTTTTTTCTTCATGGCTTGGCTTTGTCTGGTTTGGACTTTGACGTTGCAGATACGAAATCATATTCGTATTCCAATTTCAATTATGCTTAATTTATTTATGGTTTTGGTTGATGCGAATATATAATATAATTAGAATCAGATCTGAAAGATGAACTATCAGTTATGTACGGACAAAATAAGCAGAAATTTATAACTCAGAATATCACGATCATTATCATTGTTCCCATTTCAAATAAATTAAAGTGCTAATTAATAATCGCTTCTTTTATGATGATTTCATAACTATTAACTCATTCTTCGTATCATTTATCGTTCTGTTGGTAGACCTCGTAAATTAAAATATAATATAGTTATATAATATGAATTAAATATAAAAAATTTTAAAATTTTAATGAAAATAATATAAGAATTTAATAAAATTAAAAAATATATTTTATATTTTGATATTAATACAAATAATAACATATAATTTTCATATAAAATATTATATTAAATATATAACTTTTAATATTTTATATGATATAAATATATGAATAGTCATATTTATTTATTATATTATTATTTATTAATTATTAAAATTATTTCATTCCTTCTCAAATAAAAGAATAAGTTTTATTATTTGGTTAAAAGAATGAACAATCAAAACAATTACAGAATTTCCTTTGTCTTAGTTAAAAGTGAGCAATCATTTAATTCGGTTTAATTTTGAAAAATAAAAACTAAATTAATCGATTAATCTCAAAGAAAAATAATTGAAATGAACTGATCTACTTTTTAATAAAAAAAGTTGAACCGAAATAAATTGATTGATTTGATAAAAAAAATTTAAAATGTTCACTTTATCATCAATTTTGAAAATTAATTTTCATATAATGAAACCCACTCTATAATTTTGCCATCTTTGTCACATTTATTATTTTAAAATATAAATAAAATATTTACATTTTTATAAAATTTATAATTAATATAATATCAATTTATAAATTTTATATGCTATCAGTAAATTAAATAATATAATTTCATTAATGAACAAATATCAATTTTTAAAATAAATATTAAAAAATAATATTTTTTAAAAATTTTACTTATCAATGAAATTATATTATTTGATTTACCTCGTTAATCAAGTCATATTATTTGATTCATTGATAGTATATAAAATTTATATAAACAATGTATCAAATATAAACTCATATTTATATTATGTAATATATTTTAAAATTTTATTACAAATTAATTAGTTTAATAAATTCGATTATCGAATTAACTTATTACATCATTCTAATTTATATATAAATAGTATATAAAGTATAAATTTATATTTCTATTATATAATATATTTTAAAATTATATTAAAAAATTAATTAACTTAAAAAATTTAATTACTAATTTTAGAAATTAAAAATCGACCGCATTAACTTATTAAATCATTTTATTTAACTATTATAGTGACGTGTATAAAAATATTAACGTAATTACCCCATACCTATTAGATGAACTACACCATTTTTTGAAAAAAAAAAACCCTAAAGTAACTCTATCACGTTTCTTTATACTTTTAGGTCCCTTTTTAAGTAGTTCATGTCATTATCTTCACGAGCAATTACGTGTTTTCAACTCCTTTTGTTTGTTTGTTTTTTTTTTTTTTAGCTTTTTTCTAAATTTCTATAATCCTACAATTAAACAATCGAAGGATCATTTGATTTGGAAATTTGGTATACAACTTACAACTGTTATCTCATTTTATTCCTTAAAATTGTGAGGATGGCAATACATAAGAAAATTATGAATCCTTAGTGATATTTTTAGGCCCTATTAGTTTGGTTTGGTGATATTTTTAGATTCTACCTATGGGATTTAATGATAATCAAATTTCAATTTTCATTGAATCAACGATTTATAAAATAAAATTTTATTATTAGAAAAAAGATATAAATTAATTTTTATGAGTAAAATTTAAAGTTATATTTATATTTACATTTAAGTTTTAGATAATTTACTTTGTATAAAAGACTTAACAAGTAAAGATTTGCTTAAAAAATTTAAATATAAACATATTTTAACGGGCACCATTTTAAGGTTAGATTTATATTAAATTTATTTTAAAAATTATTCTTTTTAAAATATATTTATTTATTTTTACCTTTTAGATATAATCTACATCACTTTACAGTAATTTAATCACTCTCAAATATTTAAAATTATTATCACAAAAAAATTTTAATTATTACCAAACTTAACTTATGAGATTAAATCTTTGTTGATTTTAAAAAAATTTTCTCATATAAATGTCTCATTAATTACTCCAAAGCAAAATCCTTATTTTATTAAAAAAGAAAACAATTTTATTAATTTCAAAATACAAATTTATTGAAGATTTAATCTTAAAATAAAATTTAAAAGGTAAAATATAATTTTATTTTTTAGTAATATAATACCATAAACAAAATAATTATGTCAAATTCGAGTTTAATTTTTTTAAAAGGATATAGACCCGGCCCGACCAAGTGGAAACCCCTACTTGAGGGTTGGCGTGTAGTGTAAGCTTCTGCTCCAATATATTTCATATTAACTAACTCCAATCGTGCTCGTGCAGTCGTGCCCGTTACTAGGCTATTTTAATGCAAACCACCGTTAGGGCTTTCCGGTAAATCGTAATGTAATCTCCGTGTATGTTTTGCGTTTTCTTTGATACTATTTTTATTTTCAAGCGTTTTTTTAATTTATTTTCTTTTGCTGTTTCAGTTGGAATCAAAATTTGCTTGATGGGTCTTGGAGATTTAACGCCACGAAAGACTGAGAGGATTCTTGGTGGACGTTATACCTTTAATTCTGTGAGTGTTGTCCCTGTCCAGTTATACCTCATTGAATATCGAGGTATTGACATCTGCTAGCATTTTTTCAATATCTAGAGATCACTGCATTTCACCAATTGAGTCAATGCAAGAATTTGCTGGGATGGATGATAGGTTCAGTGCTCTTAGCCAACAGTTAGCTTTTCACATTCTTAGTTTTCTCAACATAGAAAACCTTGGTCAGCTAATGCTTGTGTCCAGAAGGTGCAAGTCATTATGTGTTTCCGTCCCCTGTTTGACTGTTGATAATCGGAATTATACGCATAATTTGATTTCTAGGCAGCGTTTCAACCAATTTGTGGACAAGTTTTTTGTTCTACGCTCAAACTCTGGAACTAAGACACCACACTTTACTTTGGTTTGGTCTTTCCAAGGGAGCCGTTGTGATCAGAAGAAGAAGAGAAAAAAAATAGGCAATTCTGCTATACTGAAGAAAGTCTAGTTGCTAAATGGCTATCAAAAGTGTCTTTACGTGGTGTTGAAAGGCTTTCTATTAGCTTGGTGCCTCAAGAGGGCAGCCCTAATTACTTTCCGCGTTTTGTCCTCTGTTCTAAATCTCTCAAGGACCTTAAATTCTGTTCCAACAATTGTGTTCTGAAATTTACTCGATCCTTTTCCTTACGCTTCCCCTCAGGGCTTGAAAGCTTGACATTGCAATATGCTCGAATCCCTGATAAGTTCTTCAGTGATGCAATTTCAGAGCTATATTCCCTCAAGTCCTTGTATCTGTATGAGTGTGTTGGTCTGAAGGGCATCTATATACGAAGTGCATCACTCAAGCAGTTGAAAATCATAAATGAGAAACCTGTTGAACTCTGCCACCTTGATGTCATAGCGTCGGAGCTTGAAAAAATCTTTGTGACATGGTATCCAGCTGATTTTAGCAGGACTTCATTTCAGATTACTTGTTCTGGCCTCCAAGATTTTGTGTGGTATGGCTATCCTGTGAATTTTTATCACTCTGAGGGAAATTGGAGCGATCTACAATGTGCTGCACTTTATCTGACACTTCCACCTGGATCAGAAGTTGGATCTTTTTCCAGACATGATGTTCAATATGTTCTGCCCAGGTTAGAGAGATCAGCCAAATTCTTACGACTGCATGCCAAAACAATTGAGGTAATTAAATGGACTGGCCTTTCTTAGTTCTTTTTTAATTCAATCAGTCAGTAGGTGTAGTATGAGCACTTTTATTTCTCCTGGGCGGGTGTCGCTCTAAACCAAAAGAAATAGTTACCTTAACATATTTTGTGTTTGAATTTCTGGATGCCCTTAAGTATTTTGCTTTCTATTACAGTTATATATATTCACCTGTTTGGTGTTCTTATTACACAGCTGCATGATCCGAAAGACGGACAAGTATAGAACTGCTGGTTATAGGTGTTAATCTAACTCCATAACATGTTCAATCTGTGTATGATACAAAGAATTCTGCACACCAGCATTAATTTGTTTCCTCAAAGGCTGTTGTAGAACAGAGTATTGGAATAAATTATGTTTGATTTTTTCTTTTCCTATACAACTTTTAAAATACAATGGAAACCAAATGTATGAAAAAGTTGATCTGACACGTAGCACAGATGATGAGATTTAATATGGTAGGGATTACTGGATCCATGATTTCCTTCTTTTATTCTACCTAGCTTTCTTTTTCTAGATTATTCAAGTACCTGAGTTTAAAAATTTCCTCCTTACGGCGCAGATTTTGTTTAAGCTTGGTCACTTGACGACTCAATTAGATGCAGTGAGGAACTTGGCTATAGATTATTGTTTTTTAAGCGATGACCAAGTACCGATAATTGCCTCCTTTCTGAAAACAATATCTTGTTTGGAAACTTTCTATTTGACGTCATCTCCAACTGTTGTTCAGAGCTGCTTCAAGGATGGAAAAGTATATTTGCTTATCCTTTGTCTCACAAACAGATACGCATAGACATGCATACTATTTCTGCACTTAAAACCTCATTTAACGTCAATTGTTTTATGCTCAAAGCTGTGTTTCTTTTTTCTGCGTTTCCTTTTCTTTATCTTTTTGGTCCCAGTTGAAAGCAGCAATGTCTCCTGAAGGTTTTGGGTTCAGTGTGGAATATTGGGAGACCCAAGAACTGAGGTTCATAGATGAATTGAGGAAAGCAACCGTCGAGGTTCACAGAGAAGAGGGGAATGATATGGAGCTGGTTAAGTATCTGCTGAAGCATGCAAGAGGCCTGGAATACCTGACCATTGTATGTGAACCGTCTTTGGCATCAAGTATTCCGAGACGTCTAAGTTCATATACGAAGGTCTCCACCAAGTTCAACTTCTGCTTAAGGCCTCAAACTGATGCTTGTAATTAGTTGGGGTTCGAGTGTTCATGAGCACATGCATTGCCTCCTTCATTTAGGGGTTGGACGTCGATGTATGTGAGAATATCTTATTACGGTTATCTTTGTTCTATTTCCTATTAATGGTTTTTGCTTGTTCTGACAAGGATATATATATATATATATATATATATAGCTTGTAAATTCCTTGGGATGTTAGTTTAGATAGCTTGTAAATCCGAAATTTAATTTGATGTAACTAAAATTACTAATTGTAATGAAAGAAATTTAAGTGTAATTAACCAAAACTCGTTATAAAAGAAACGGCTCGGTAAAAACTGAAAGTCTTGTATCTATGCAGGGTTGCCTCCTCGTGAAAGTAGCTTTACCTATATCTATAAACTCAGTAATATTCTTTAATTTCTTAGATTTTAAACGAACCTAAGCATACTTGGTCATAGAAACATACTTAACCATAGACAGTAGTAAAAGGTTTGAACTATTTATAATCAATTTCCCCAATGTGATCAGTAGTATTCTGGTCCCGCGGGCGCTCTTCTTGGTCTTGCAGCTAGCTCAGGAACTCGAAAGCTTCGCCGAGGATGAAAGATCCTCACTAATCTCCAAGGAGTGTTTAGAGCCTGGTCACTGAGCTCGGAATCAACGTCTGTGCTATCCGGGTTAGCACGATACACTCGCATTCGCCATCCCATTGACCTATTATCCGATGGCCGTTTATAGACAAAGCTTCTTTTCCATCCCACAGTTGTTATCACTCCATTAGGATCAGTTATAGTGATTGGTGTTTCTTCTCTCGGATGAGGAACCCATTTAGCCTCTCCATGTTGTGCCAATATCCCACCGGTAATCAAAAAATACATGCTGTCTGCCCGGACAAAGACTTGATTACGAATGAAAGTATCTTCAAGAACAACAAAAGACAGTATTAGAGCCATCAGTTACCTTACCTTCTTGGCAAAACTAAGTTATCAATTTCCTTCCAATTCGACGATTTTTATATCTTCTATTTATTGTAACTTCTTTTGGTTGTATTATATAAACATTTTTTATTTATATATATATACATGCAAGTGTGAAATCGATATATATTAAAAATTAAATACATTCTAAAAATTGATAATACAAAACTTTTAAACCAAATTTTATGACAATAAAAAAAGTGTTGTTACATATTAGTTCAGCATTACTCTAACACATTAATTATGAATAAATAAATATGTCAATTTATTTATTTATATTATATTTATTTCATATTAAATACATATAAAATAAAAAAAAATTATTATATTACCATTGGTGTTTACATATAAAACAAAAATCATTTTTTTATAATTTTTATGAAATTCGCGTATAATTTTTATCAAAATTTTAAATTTTATTATTTTTATATTTTATATTATTTTAAAATTTTAAAAACCAATCATGTTGTTCAAATCAAATAACCTTTTTAATTAAGAATCTGTATAAATAGTATAAAAAGTAATTTAAAAGTACTAACAAAATGGTATACTTACTATGTAATTCTCGAGGAGGAAGGACGATATGTTGAGCAAAAAATGTGGGTGAAATGGCACGAGGACCGCCCACAATCTGTGGAAGCAAGACCCATGAAATCAACGAATCCTCATCTGGATCATATATAAAACTGTTAGTCAAACGAATCATCTCCCCTCGTGTCTGCTCATTTCTCTCTTCCATACGAGGAGCATTCATCTTGTTAAATATTTAATTTAAAATTAATTAATAATAAATAAAAAACATTTAATTTAAATATAAAATTATAAAATATTTAATATTTATTAGATGTAAAATAATTTATTATAAGACATCTTATAAATAATAAATATTAAAAAAATATTAAAACATACGCTTAATGTTATATGTATAAGATAAAACCCATATGTTTTAGAGATAGAATAAAAAAAAAAACCATTTACATAATCACCAGCTAACCGCATTGTTTTAGTTTCACTTCAATAAAGAAATATAATCTTCCCTTTTTTTCAAGGATCGAAGAAAAAACCCTTTTTCTCAAAAATATTGATATATTCACGCATATATGAGAGAGGTTCACAACCTTTCGGTGTCAAATTTCTTTTAAAAAAAAGAAAGGTGGAAGAACCTAAATGAGAGGGAATACACGAATTGCAGTAGAACTTGCTACTCTATGCCATGGCAGTTGCATCCGCTTTGTTTCATTATGGACGTTCGTTTATCGTAGTATAGTAGCTTTTTTTTAATGAGGTGAATGTGAGTAAGTTTTTTTAAAACAATTAAATTTTATGTATTTGTTTATAAATTAATATTTATTTATTAAAGAGATAATATTATTTGATTTATTAATAACGTGTAAAATTTATATAATAATAAAGCATCAAATATATATATATATCTATATATTTTACCTTTTTCAATTTTTACGTTACGGTAAATGGTAATGATTCCACTTGTGAATGCAGCTTTTGATCAAATTACCCTACCGAATTAAAAGTGAGACTTGGCTCTGCGTGCAGCGCAAGTTTTATACCTGCTTTTATTTACTCGAATCGTGCTGGTACCGGTTGCTAGGTTGGGCTGCGCGCTTGCTGCAAACCGCATTTAGGGATTTTCTGTATCTGTTTTGCAGCGGCAAACTAATTTTCAAGGTATGATCGTTTTTTAATCCCATTCGCTCTACTTTTTATCATTTTCATAACTGATCGGAGTTGTTGCGTTGAAGAGATTTTTTTGCCAAAGAATTATTGTCTTTCGGCATTTTTTTTTATCTTTTTAAGTGTTTTTTTTTTCTTTAACAATTTCCTTTCATTTGCTGTTTCGGTTAGAACCAAAATTTGCTTGGTGGGTCTTAGAGGTTTCACGCCCTGAAAGACTAAGAGGATTCTTGGTGGAACTTAACTTGTGATACCTTTAACTGTGTGAGTGTTGTCCCTGTCCAGTTATACCTGATTGAATATCGAGGTATTGACATCTGCTAGCATTCTTTCAATATCTAGAGATCACTGCATTTCACCAATTGAGTCAATGCAAGAATTTGCTGGAATGGATGATAGGTTCAGTGCTCTTAGCCAACAGTTAGCTTTTCACATTCTTAGTTTCCTCAACATAGAAGACCTTGGTCAACTAATGCTTGTGTCCAGAAGGTGCAAGTCATTATGTGTTTCCGTCCCCTGTTTGACTGTTGATAATCGGAATTATACGCATAATTTGATTTCTAGGCAGCGTTTCAACCAATTTGTGGACAAGTTTTTTGTTCTACGCTCAAACTCTGGAACTAAGACACCACACTTTACTTTGGTTTGGTCTTTCCAAGGGAGCCGTTGTGATCAGAAGAAGAAGAGAAAAAAAATAGGCAATTCTGCTGATACTGAAGAAAGTCTAGTTGCTAAATGGCTATCAAAAGTGTCTTTACGTGGTGTTGAAAGGCTTTCTATTAGCTTGGTGCCTCAAGAGGGCAGCCCTAATTACTTTCCGCGTTTTGTCCTCTGTTCTAAATCTCTCAAGGACCTTAAATTCTGTTCCAACAATTGTGTTCTGAAATTTACTCGATCCTTTTCCTTACGCTTCCCCTCAGGGCTTGAAAGCTTGACATTGCAATATGCTCGAATCCCTGATAAGTTCTTCAGTGATGCAATTTCAGAGCTATATTCCCTCAAGTCCTTGTATCTATATGAGTGTGTTGGTCTGAAGGGCATCTATATACAAAGTGCATCACTCAAGCAGTTGAAAATCATAAATGAGAAACCTGTTGAACTCTGCCACCTTGATGTCATAGCGTCGGAGCTTGAAAAAATCTTTGTGACATGGTATCCAGCTGATTTTAGCAGGACTTCATTTCAGATTACTTGTTCTGGCCTCCAAGATTTTGTGTGGTATGGCTATCCCGTGAATTTTTATCACTCTGAGGGAAATTGGAGCGATCTACAATGTGCTGCACTTTATCTGACACTTCCACCTGGATCAGAAGTTGGATCTTTTTCCAGACATGATGTTCAATATGTTCTGCCCAGGTTAGAGAGATCAGCCAAATTCTTACGACTGCATGCCAAAACAATTGAGGTAATTAAATGGACTGGCCTTTCTTAGTTCTTTTTTAATTCAATCAGTCAGTAGGTGTAGTATGAGCACTTTTATTTCTCGCGGGCGGGTGTCGCTCTAAACCAAAAGAAAGAGTTACCTTAACATATTTTGTGTTTGAATTTCTGGATGCCCTTAAGTATTTTGCTTTCTATTACATTTATATATATTCACCTGTTTGGTGTTCTTATTACACAGCTGCATGATCCGAAAGACGGACAAGTATAGAACTGCTGGTTATAGGTGTTAATCTAACTCCATAACATGTTCAATCTGTGTATGATACAAAGAATTCTGCACACCAGCATTAATTTGTTTCCTCAAAGGCTGCTGTAGAACAGAGTATTGGAATAAATTATGTTTGATTTTTTCTTTTCCTATATAACTTTTAAAATACAATGGAAACCAAATGTATGAGAAAGTTGATCTGACACGTAGCACAGATGATGAGATTTAATATGGTAGGGATTACTGGATCCATGATTTCCTTCTTTTTTCTACCTAGCTTTCTTTTTCTAGATTATTCAAGTACCTGAGTTTAAAAATTTCCTCCTTACGGCGCAGATTTTGTTTAAGCTTGGTCACTTGACGACTCAATTAGATGCAGTGAGGAACTTGGCTATAGATTATTGTTTTTTAAGCGATGACCAAGTACCGATAATTGCCTCCTTTCTGAAAACAATATCTTGTTTGGAAACTTTCTATTTGACGTCATCTCCAACTGTTGTTCAGAGCTGCTTCAAGGATGGAAAAGTATATTTGCTTATCCTTTGTCTCACAAACAGATACGCATAGACATGCATACTATTTCTGCACTTAAAACCTCATTTAACGTCAATTGTTTTATGCTCAAAGCTGTGTTTCTTTTTTCTGCGTTTCCTTTTCTTTATCTTTTTGGTCCCAGTTGAAAGCAGCAATGTCTCCTGAAGGTTTTGGGTTCAGTGTGGAATATTGGGAGACCCAAGAACTGAGGTTCATAGATGAATTGAAGAAAGCAACCGTCGAGGTTCACAGAGAAGAGGGGAATGATATGGAGCTGGTTAAGTATCTGCTGAAGCATGCAAGAGGCCTGGAATACCTGACCATTGTATGTGCACCCTCTTTGGCATCAAGTATTCCGGGACGTCTAAGTTCATATACGAAGGTCTCCACCAAGTTCAACTTCTGCTTAAGGCCTCAAACTGATGCTTGTAATTAGTTGGGGGTCGAGTGCTCATGAGCATATGCATTGCCTCCTTCATTTAGGGGTTGGATGTTGATGTATGTGAGAATATCTTATTATGGTTATCTTTGTTCTATTTCCTATTGATGTTTTTTGCTTGTTCTGACAGGGATACAATTAAAAACTTTTTTATGCATGGCTTGCTAGAAATTAATAGTTCATTTGGGGTTCGATCCTGACCTGCAGGGTTCTCACTGTACGGAAGGTACTTTTTATGATTTTACCTCTAACGCAATTTCGAATTCATGAATATCCTGCAATCGACCTCCCAAATTCCTAAATTAACCCTAACCGTAAAATCTCAGCGGTGTCTTGACCCAAGCCAACAACCCTAAAAAAAACCCGCAAAACCGAAACTTTTCCTGTTGAAAAAAAAGCCCAGTTCATCTCTGCCCCAGTAATCAACGATTCAAAAAAGGTTATTTATCTGCGAAATTAACAGAGAAAAAGAAGAGGAAGCTAAACGGTTTCGAAGAGAGACCAAATTCTGAGAAACGTCATCGTATTGATTCCCCGAAGAAGGAACCAAAAGAAGTTGAAGAAGGTGAAAGTTCGGTTAATGCAATCACTTTAATGATCTCTTAGAAGAGTAGAAGGCTCTTAGAGAGGAGTGTTTTCATATGTTTTTATTGTATTAAAAATTTAATTCTATTAATATATAATTATTTTTAAGATATTATATTATTAAATTTTAAATTTTAAATTTCAATGTTTATAAACATTTTTTACTATTATAAGCCGTAGTTTCATTTATTAAAAAAATTTACGTTATCATATAATTAAATCGAACTCTTTGATACTTAGTCAACAGTTTGATGCTATTTTGTATTTTTCTTTACTCCTTTTTTTTTTATTGGAAGAAAATGGATATTTATATTAGGAGGTTATATTTTTCATTTTTTAATGGTGAATTTTATAGGGACGTTTTGAACGGACTGTCAAGTGTCAACTTGAGCGGGTCTGCTTGGCTTATGGAATTATTGGCGTTGGTTGAACGTACTTTTTGTCTGTAGCCTGTTGTCCTTTTTTTTGTTCTCCTGCATTTATCATGTCTGCTATTGGAGGGATTTTCAATGCATGAATCTTGGTGTAACACATCAACATCGCAACTACCCTCGTATTTTGCTCAGGTATCCTACCCACGGGAAGCACCCGGAAGCAGAGAAAAGAAAATATCTCTATCGCAGCTTCAGTTCCTCTAGGACATTGAAATTTGACACGTGTAGTTGGCTGGGAACCAATTATTTTGGGGCGGAAATTTTCTGAACGTAGATGATCAATGCCTAAATTTCCACAGGTCTAATGTGACTTTACCTAGAATAGTTGGAAAGAGGAGTCGGTCAAGCAATCATTCAAAGATGTTACGCACCACCGACTACCATATTCTGCTTTATTAACGCTAGTAAAACTAGGTTGTTTAGGTTGTTTAATATTGTGCTTGCCTCACAAGGAAGAGGAGGGAAAAAATAAAGTTTGTGGGGTTAGGGCAGCACTGTTTTGGAGCTTTATAAAAATAGGACCACAACGGATGAGTCAAGTCAAGATTAATTTTTTTTATATGTGAATTGTCTTATTCGATTTCACGCTATACTCTTTAAATTGTCCTTAGGCTAAAGGATGACGCTTCATTGCCCAACCACCACGAGGTTAGGTTGCCACTGTTCTGTAGGGATCAAGAAAATTATGTACACTTTTATCAGTGTATTATGTGCTATTGAGTCAATTGAAGGTAAACCCTCCCTAAAAGGTGTGGAAATCAACGAATTAAATATATCTGGGAAACTAACAGACACCCATTTTCTTCAATAAGAAATCTAGACAATCGATTTCAGGCTTTCTGAAAGTTTTTGAAGGATTTTCTTGATCATGGCTAATTGCAGTTATGGATATTGCTATTGTGGAAGATGCCAACGCCCCTCGTCTCCTCTACCATGCTCGGTCCTGATATTCTTGGCGGTTGCTTTGATGCTGCTTAGTTTATCATCTTTAATCAAATTTGATATAGCTGTGGAAACTACTGAGACTAGTATTACTTGGCTAGTTTTGCTCGCAGGATCGGTATTACTAGTCATTGTTTGTTGCTTCTCTAAGGATTCTTGCCGCCGACCTCACCATTGTGGTTGTGGAAGATGTTCGACATGGAACTAAATCTACCTTTAGTTTGTCAAGTACTACTAGTTATTTGTTCTATTTATGAGTTACAATGTCTTTGATGAACTGAATTGCGTGCATATTACGAGTCCTTGTTTGTTGCCTCTCTAAGGATTGTTGTCAGTGACCTTACTATTGTGGCTGTGGAAGGTGTTCGACATGGAACTAAATCTACCTTTGTTTGTCAAGTACTACATGTTATTTGTTCTATTTGTGAGTTACAATGTCTTTGATGAACTAAATTGTGTGAATTTATTATTTCAGAACTTCAAGGTGAAGCAAATCCCGTCTCCTTACAATTCAATGTATTTTCCATATTTATATTTATATATGTTACGTAAAGAATATATCAGGTCCTGTAGCTTTTCCAATGTTGGAAGTTGGGAGCTTTTTTATTTAACCGGTTCTAAACATCTGAGAGTTGAAGTCATATTTTGATTAGTTATAGTTTCATAGATATATATATATATATATATATCTGCTTCTCGCTCTATTCAATTAGTGAACAAATTTTTGGAAAATCTTCCAGACTAAACTAGTTTCTTTTTTCATTCATATATAGAACAATATATAATTTAGCTCTCAGAAAGACAGATCAAATTCATTGGGATGAATTTCGATGTTGTCATGAAACCAGAGTGCCTAGAGTTTTCAGGGTCCTACTTTTGCTATGGATGCTTTCTCTCTCTCCAATAGGATGTTGAAACCTTTGTTTTGATCTCAGAATCAATATCTTGTCACCTACATGATGATTTCAATAAGGATGTTGTTGATAACAGAAATTCCTGAACTCATAAAAATATAGCAATCATAATGGATGGTTTAGACATCACTTGAATATCTAGCGAACACAAAAATAAAGAGAAAGATCATAGCCATGGCTGAATGCCCCAAGTCTTCCAACCTGTGTACATGTTGAATCATTTCATCCACAGCCATCCTTTACATCCGATTAAAGTGAAAGCCCGAGGAGGAACTTATTTACTCTGGTTGTGGGCTAGACCTATCGGGTTCGGCTTACAATTGCAATAAGTCCAATTGTGAATTAATCCTCTTAACAGATCATGCTTCAGGTTTGACCCTGTGCTTGAACATGATTCCCACCCAGACCATCCTCTCACCCTTCTCTCTACCCCGCTCAAACATTACAGAAGTAAACGGTTCATTTGTAATGCTTGTGGTGACTCTGGCACTAGCTTTGACTACCATTGCTCTAGTTGCAACTTTGATCTCCATGTTTGATGTGCTGTTTTGCCGAAAACCGTGAAGCATGTTGATCACCAACACCCTCTTACTCTCTTCTATTCCTCCTCATGCAACAAGGGATTTGATAGCTACATCTGCGATGTGTGTGAGAAAGTTATCCCAAAGAAACGCTGGGTCTACCATTGTGGAAAATGTAATTATGGTATCCATTTGTGTTGTACAATTCCTGAATGCTGAAAAATGTTAGTACTGATGGGTTATAAATAAATAAATCAAACCAGTTTCAGCTTCAAATGCAAATAAGTTTGGCTCGCCCGAATAACTATTCAAATCGAATGATCCCATGAGATCTATCAATCTGATTTACTGAACATTTATCGTTTTATTCGAATTACTGCTAACTAAGGACATATGAAAGGTTATAACATCTCAGACAACTCAGTTTGCCTTTTAATAGTACACTCTATGGTGGGGCAGGAAGGCCATTTCAACCATATCAGTGAGAACCAAAGAGGAAAGTGGTTGTCTTGACCAACCACTATGGCACAACCCCTGTTTGGATCGAATAGCGAACCAATCCGCAGCCAAATTTGCCTTTCATTTTATCAGACTCAATCTCTTTTTCTGGAACAGCTATTATCTCCTGCAGAATATCCTTCACAATAGGCTTTAGCTTCCAATTTTGGTGTTTAATAAAATCTGAGGCTGCCAGTATTAAAAAAAATCCAGATTGAACCCGTCAGGTTCCCATCACAAATGTTAATAGCTTCCCAAATTTCTTCCTCAGTAAAAGGTTTTTTCTAGCTCAGCAGCTTGCTCCTCAGTAAGAGTCCTGAAGTCACAATTACAATTTCATCATCCTAAGACCACCTTTTCTTTTTTTTTTTTTTATTAACGAGGGTGAGAAAATTGGAAGCTAAACCCTAGTCCAATCACACAACAGAATCAGATGTCCCATTGATTCTTCTTCTTAGAGGATGTATTGGACCATCTAAGCAATTCTTTTCCACAAATTAAAGCGAGTAGGGATAGCATTCGAACAAATTCTATACTCAATCAATATCTATCTCATAAGAAGAGGGAGCTGTTCTTTTCTATCTCGGATAAATCCCATTCATCCTTATCCTTTTATCTGAGGCTTTTGAGGTATTGCTGCAATCCAGCAGACCTGGAACTGCTCATCTTTCACCTTTTGATCCAGGAATCGAATTATTTTCCCATATATACCAAGTAAGTGCTCTTTCATTTTCAAAAAATACAATGGATATATGCCTAGTGAGTGCTCTTCCTTTTGGAAAAATACAATAGATATATACCAATTAAGTGCTCTCCATTTTCACACAAAAAGTATCACAATTGAGCAGTATTATCTACATGAGCCAACTGCCATTTTTAGTTATAAATAGCCATCAAAATGGATGATTTGAACATAACTTGAATTATCGAACAGAAAGGGAGAGAGAGGGCCAATGGCTGATAACAACTACTATGTAGTCCTTAAGTCATCAATGCTGATAGTTGAGTGCCCCAAGCCTTCCAAAAACCTGCGTTCCTGTGTGAACCATTTCAGCCACAGCCATCCCTTACGTCCGACTGAAGTGAGTGCCGAGGAGGAACTTATTTGCTCTGGTTGTGGGCTAGACCTTTCAGGTTCTGCTTACATATGCAGTAAGTCCAATTGCGAATTCTTCCTTCACAAATCATGCTTCAATTTGGAACGAGTGATTGAACACAAATCTCATCCGGATCATCCTCTCATCCTTCTCTCCACCCCGCCCACAAATTACAGAGGCAAAGCGTTCATTTGTGATGCATGTCATGAGACAGGCACTGGCTTTGACTACCATTGCGCTAGTTGCAAGTTTGATCTCCATGTTGGATGTGCTCTTTTACCCAAAATCATGAACCATGCTGGTCACCGACACCCTCTTACTCTCTACTATTCCTCCTCATGCAACAGGGGAATCGAGATCTTCATCTGCGACAAGTGTGACGAAGTTGTGCCAAAGAAACACTGGGTCTATTATTGTGCAAAGTGCGATTACGGTACCCACCTGCATTGTACAATTCCTGAATGCTGAAAAGTGTTAGCAGTGGCAGGCGATCCAGCATTTAGCTCAAAAATAAGTGATGAATTGTAAACTTAATAAGCAAAAGAAATATGGATTCCATATTTATCACCTTATTTTTTTATGCATTTTACAATTTTATTATATTTTTGTCACAAATTTAGTAATCTAAGGACCTAAAAAGTGGCATCAATTTAAAAAAAAAAATGAAAATGACCACGTTGAGGATGAGATAATTTTTAAGAAAATAATGTATCAAATTATGAAATTAAGCAGGAAAATTAGTTCAGCCAACAATAAATGAAATAATTTTTCAAAATAATAATAGTAAGTGTTTGATAGATATTCAATTCTAATTGACCAATACAGCCTTGACTCTTCAAGCCCCGTCACCGACCATACTCTAAACGAGAGTCAAACTTTCTAGGAACAAGAAACCTTTTTTAATGGGATCCAACAGTGCTAATTCATTAAAACCGATTACAAGTATTTAATAAGATGTTGAGGGTGGCGGAAATTTTACAAAGCTGCCAATAACATTCATCCAAGTCGTAAAGTTGTGACAGATAACTGTGTTGAATTATTGTGGGAATCATTGTGGGAATCAAGTAGTCAAGGATCAATAAGCAAAGAGATAAGCGGCCGAAAGGCCTTCAACCAAGTATTTTCTATCATATAAGTCGGCCCATGGCCTGCCCAAATTAACTCAATCCTTATCCCCACTTTCATCATCATTCAAATCAAACCGTGTTTATTAATTAGTGGTGGGTTGTTATAATCATGCATGTAGCAGCCATCAAAGAAAATAAATATCTAATCCTAGATGTGGATGTATCATGTAATATGAGGTCTGATATCATTGAAGACTAATGAATAGAATCTAGACCAAGAATAAACTTTTATACTTAAATACAACATTATTCATTCAACAAATATGAAGTTTAATTTTTAGTATTTACAATCTTTTTATTTTTAAATTGTAATTTTTTTATATTAAATTATAATATTATTTTAAAAAATATATATTCTAATGGTTGATTAGTGATCATTTTATACCAACGAGAGTTGAAAGTGATAGTAAGAAACGAATGTTAGATACTAATGAATTCAGATTCGAATTTTTTTATAATTTTTTGTTGATAAGTAATCCATAAATCCAAAACTTTTTTATGACAAAAAAAAAAAAAAGATCCCTGATTTTTAAGGAGGTAAAGGAATATGGATCGGTTCTGACTTTCTGAGGAAGGCGACATATTGATTGTCAGTTAAATTGGGGTTGGTCGGTCGTTTGATTTATGAACCTAAGTACTAAAAATTCAATGTTTCTTCTTCACCGTCATGGGCACATTCTGCATATTCATTCCTCCTAAATAGGGCTGAAAGAATATGCAACTTTTAAGGGCTTGCCGACATGGCCCGTGTTTTCAACATTAATATCACAGTTCTTACTTTTACCGTCTAAGTGATTAAATTTTATGATTAATATCACGGGATACATCTAAAAGTATACTTTATAATTAAAATTTATGATTATATTTAGTGTATAAGATAATAAATAAAATAGCATGATAATTATTTTATATTAAATTTAATTTGTATTTAATTAAAAAGTATAAGATTATAAGAAAATTATTATTCTTTTGATGTAACATGATTCAATTTTTTAAAGTAAAAATAATTTTTTGAATCTATGAGATTAAATTTACATGTTTTATTATGTCCTTAAAAATTATATTTATAATTTTAATTTTATAAATTTTTAAAAATAATTTTGATTAATAAATAAATTATTTTATCATAATCTTTACACAAATTAAATATTATATAAAATGACATTATTTAATATAATTTTATTCATAATATCATTTTATTTATCTTATCATAATCTGATATAATAAACATTATCTATATAATTTAGTTAAGAATTTTGATTTACAAAACTTCTACCGTATTAAAAAATATATATTTTATGACTAGATCTTGTATTAAAAAATTAATCAAACTTAAAAAATAATTAATTAAATTTAATTCAAAATTCAAGACTTATAAATTTAGCATAACCTTTGGAAGGTTATGATTAAGAGAAAAATAGCATAAGAATTAACTTAATACCTATAATAAAATCATAGGGAGTTAAGCAATGAAGATGGTACTAAAACATTTTTAATCACAATGAAAGCTTTTTGCTAATTTCAAGACATTGGAGTAGAAAGGCGATTAAATTCAAAGGATTTGTTATAACTTTTCCATAACGAATTCCAATGTTCTTGTAGCCGTTAGCATTGAGCATCCCCCCTGGCCAAATCCCCTTGCTTTTTCTTAAATGTTACTCCTATATATTGTCTATATCTTAGGCATTATTAATTCTTTTGATGCAAAAAAAAATCATTTCACAGGACACCAATTTTTATATGAAATTATTTAAATTTAAAATTTAATATTTTATTAATATCAACGGATCATTCCTTCCATTTAAAGTTATGTAGAACAATAAGAATTAACCCTTTCCAAAATTTGCTCTTGTTTTCTTTCTGTTTTTTTGTTTTTTTCGTCTATGCTTACAGTACAAACAAACTACAGAGTCAACTGGTTTTAAGTATTGACTTTGAGGGTTGTAGACTTTTAATCTTTAAAAAAACAATAATAAAATGGATTGGATTGGATAAAACTTCAAATTTTCATTGTGAATTAATTTTCACGCGGGTTATCAACATCTCTTTTCGTTCAAAACAAGATTGACACTGAGAGTTACCTACCCTAAAAAAATCCGTGAATAAGAAGAGAAACAGACAAATTTCACAAAGTATGTTTCATTTCACTGTCCTGTCTTTAATTTCTGCCACTAGGGTCACACATTTACCAGTTCAAACCTGAATCCAGTTAAGTTCAGAAGTACACTGATACAACGTCGTTTAAGCTGTGAACCACAAAATCAGACACCCATTTTTGCTATAAATAGACAGGGCCTTCAGTTCTAATAGGACCCTCTTGAGTTCACACACCAGAGAAACACAAACCACTTTATGGCCTATTATAGAAGAGGAGATTCCATCTTTGATTCATTCTCTTTAAGTCCTCTGCCATATCCAGTTCTGCTAATCCTAGCGTTGACATCGATATTTCTCGGAATATCATGGTACGTGAACTATGACTCAGTTTTGGAAACTGTCGAAGAGCAAATGAGTTGGGTACTTTTTGCCACACCAGTAGTTTTGATACTCTTAGCTCGTTGGCTGTCATCTATGGAAACTTCTGATATGCTATTCGGTTCATCGCCATGGGAACGTCGCCGCCGGACTCATCATCTCCCTTCAGAGGGTACCTCACCATGGGCTGTGGCTGCTTTCATTGTGTTGCTGTTGATTTTGGTGCAGTATCAGTCAGTTTTTCGTGAGAGCTGGCTGGTATGATGCTATATATAGTACTATAGGTATGATGCTATATATAGTACTATATTTTGAAGAACTATGTTGGAATTTCTTTTCTTTGGTTGGGTTATTAGCAGTTTGATATGTGATTTAGTCAACTGGTACCTTTATTAGATCCAAGATAAGTATGTATGCTACCATATATAGTTGTATTGTAAATAACACTGCAAAATAGAAAAGAGGAAGTTGCTGTAAGATTGGGAATTGCATACATGTTTGATAGATAGTTTCTGATGGTTGAAGTGGTTAACATAGATTAATACAGCAGTATTCTTTTGATCATATATATGTGTTTGTATAAAGATAGTTTTTTCCAGAAAAATCAGCCCCCCCAATATTTGATTCTGAGAAAATTGAGTGGTATAACCTTGAAGCTTATGTTGTTTCAGTTCTTTCCTCAAATAAACCTGAGAACTGTATTTGATCAGTTGAGTATTCTTGAATGATCTGAAATGATTATTAAAGTCCAAGATTAAAAGATTAGGAACTATTCTAGCACTGCCTCAAGCAAACATAATCCTGAGTTTGAAGGAAAGCCCAAGTTGAGGTAATTTCTTGATTGCTTAGAACTTGTTAATTTCTCTAAAGACAAGTTATCAGTAACTTATGTATCAAGAAAATCATTAGTAAAGTTCTTAAAGGGAAAAAAAAATTCACTAGTCACACAATAATTTGGCCATGGAAATGATGATAAGACCAGGCAAAAACATTCTTAATTATTGCTTTCATCAAAGTTGAAGGATAACGAGAACAATGAATGATATTTTAATCTGTTAATAAAATATTAAACTTTTAATTTTAGAGATTAAAATTAAAATTTTGATAATTTTAAATAAAAAATGAAGGAGTACAAAAAAATACTTAATCATATAAAAATAGAGTACTATAATTTTGCTGAATCATATTTAAATGAATCATGTCTATGCATTTTAAGTGTTTTGCTGATGAAAATATCATTGCCTTCCCATTTCTCTAAAGTAATAGTAACAAACTAAAAGGCACCAATAAGCAGGTGGACCATGATCCTTCTGATGCACTTCGAATTTAAAATTTCATATTACTAGTATTAAACAAATGAAAAAGTGACGTATGAGGAAAAATAAAGGATATTTTATTTATTCAACTTCCTAAATCATGGATTGTGACCCGTGACACCACCAAAACCAAATTCAAAAGTGGCATCCTCCCTAGTGGCCAAAACCAACGTTTCTTTCCAGAATTTATCTGGGAATCCCGGTAATCCCGGTGTTAATTCTCAATTTGTCGACCAAATTAAACGTCGTTTTCACATTTCCAGGCTTTGTATCAGGTTTTTGAGTCATGGCACAAGAGCTGTTTCTGTTTTTAAGCCTTGATGGTAGCAACAATTTATCAATTATTTAAGGGTCGGTGCTAATTCAAGTCACATAATCGATGGCATGGCCTTTTCAATTTTCTTATCAGGGAAGTGTTTGATAGGTGCTGAATTCTCAACATTTTCTAACAATCTCTTGAATTGAGAAAAGAACATGTTTCGATACCTTAACCTTCTGTTCAAGCAAATTATAAGGACAAAAGTGAAGTTAAATGCTACAATCAACCAGGGATTTAGATTTTTTTTTTTTTTTATAAAAGGGATTAGTCTAGATATAAGAAAAAATGTTATAAATGCGAAAATTTGAATTTTAAATTTATTTGATGTTACCTTATAAGAATAAATATATGAATTAATTTAATTAAATTTTGAATTCGAAATTTAAATATTTTTACTTTAAAAAAAAATTTCCTGTCAAAGAAGTGCTGGTATAGTTAATAAACAAACCGGAGAAACATACACAAGCACACACGTCTTAAATATAATGGACTTTAAAGCCAACATCTTAATCACGAGTCTTCTTTCTTAGTTTACTACAGCTAACTAATTTGACCTCTAGAGAGGTCCACGCCATTTTGAATGAAATGAAGATTGATAACAAAGCAGCACAAGTAGAACACCCACCAATATAGCGATGCCCCAAGGTGAGCCCCCGGATCGATGAACAGTCTCATGCTCCAGACGCTGCTGCCAAAAAGCTAGCCTTCCGCTGGATGAAAATGAGATCATGAAGAAGATTAACAGAATTGGCAAAATAATAATGAATAGCTGGAAATTTATTGCCGTATGATGTAACCGGGCCTTGTAGCCTGTGTACTGAGAGAGCCATAGCAAGACAACGACAATCCCAAAAATGGTAAGCAATGGGATAGGTGGTGCAGAAACGGAGGACAGGGTCTGGCCTGTCCACCCTTGTTTCCACTGTGGACCCCTTCTCCTAGGATAGACCCACTCCATTCCTTTGTTTTACTCTCTACTAGAGGACTCGAACACTTTCAGGGGTTATCAGCTGGGTTTTGCAGCTTGCTTTGATAATTGATATAGTCCATAAGGTTTGCTTTGGCATAAATTCTTTGAGTGTCGACGCCCCTCTGAACAACTTTTTCATTAGATTAAGGGACACTCAAGTGTCTGGTATCAAATTATATTCTTGCACTAAGAGAGGTGCCTGGAACTGTCATCTTTTAAGCTTATGCAACTAAAAGAGAATTGCCATTATAAGGGAAAAGCCAGCAGGGAAATAAGTAACTCTCGGCGTGTTCAACAAACCACATTCCTGGTGTTGAGACCCCTTCCATGGCAAAATTTTCCAGAGGTATAATCACATACATGGGTGTTGAAAGATTAGCTGCCAATATACTGTAATTGTCAGTCGCACTGAAACTGAATTTAAATTATAAAACAATGATGCTTTTCCCTTTGTAATTCCATATCACTGCCATAGATAATATATCTGCCTCCCATCATATGAAACGCTGAACTCCAATAATCTCTTTACCAACGCTATAATATTACTAACTTCATGAAATATTCTAAATATTTATAGCCTCATGAATGAGGCTGCACGTAATCAGTGTTACCATTAATTTTCTTCGTAACTTTTTTTTTTTTTTTTTTGAGAAACTTCTAAAAGATAACTTATCTCATGCCATATAAGGCACCCAGCTGGAACCATTGGCTCTCCAATGTGGAGGCTATAGAGCTCATATGTATGTCGAATGATGTTTGAATAGACATCAAAAAGCAGCTGCCTTGGGCGGTAGTCAACAGGTATCGTCCTTCCGAGTATTTGCATAAACTCAAATGTGGAATACATCTAAAATCACGGAATCAAAAATTGAATGATGAAAACTATCATATGTTCTAGATACTAGGAAAACAGGTATCTTCCTTGGTTCCATCCAGAATTTCCAACAACCACACGAGCAAATGAGAATGTAGCAGTGAGCATTTGGAGTGCCAAACGGTCAACCCTATGCACTCTCCCAATGTCGGTGAATTATGTATGGTGCCCATAGCATTTTAAAGAAATTTAACAAATAGTACATGAGAAAGAAACAACAGATTTTTCCAATCATTTTGGGGAAAAAGAAAATAAGTAATCAAAACTCCATTGGATAACACTAACTCACAGGTAATATGAAGCTTCAACCTGAAATAGCTTCTCTTTGCCTCTTTGCCCTTTATTTGTTACTTTAATCCGCTTCATATATTTAAGCAGCAACCTTTTTGGATGTTACAGAGTTGACAATTGTAGCGAACTCGGGCCCCTGCACCACCAAGATTAGAACGTAATCATTAGCACTGCCCCAACTGATAGATATTGAGTATCCTAAGCTCTCTTCTGAGCATTGCATTGTCATATTTTATCAGTAACATATGAAACAGAATGAATAGCAGGAGCCCGGAATATACCTTCAAGGAAGCACCACCAACAAGAAACCCATCAATATCTTCTTGCTTTGCAAGCTCAACACAGTTGCTTCCATTCACAGACCCTGCAAAAGAGATGTAGGAGTCATTAGCTTGCAGGGAGTGACAGACAACCACCATCTGATCAAGAAATATAGGACATTCTCACAAGTTTAATGTAATTGAAAACACTATCTGTAAGAACAAAATATCAATACTCTCTTTGCTGGCACTGTCTTCTTATAAATCAGCCTCAGATTTCCCCCAAAACAACTTATCAAACTTGGCATAGTAATACACCATCCCCTCCTCAAATCATGGCAAGGGGGATATATGAAGAATACTCTCTGAAACTAAATTTAGGCAAGTACATTCCGCTTTCTTCCATTTACACAAATACAATCATGCAAATAATTTCAAACAAACAATGATATCATGCCAGCATAAAGAAACAAGGATCCTTAGTCAAATATACAATCATACAAGCACTCACTTCATATCATAAATCACAAATATATTATACGTTATGTCACACAAGTTACCAACTGCAAGGAAATGGCATGAGATCTAAACAAAACATAGTGACAACATCTAAGAAAGATATAGTATCCAAGCTACCTCCATATATGACACGTGTTTTAGATGCAACTTCCTCAGAAACATTCTTTTTTAGCCAATCGCGGACGGCTACATGTACTTCCTGAGCTTGCTGGGGTGTAGCCACCTTACCAGTCCCAATGGCCCATACAGGCTCATAAGCAATAACTATATTGTCCCAACCGGGCACAACATCTGCAAATGATGGAATCATTGGAGTTAGGTCACAGTCCTTTCCTCATTAGTCTTCCCAAGATAACCTAAAAATGATAATTCCTGAGCAGAGAAAGTGACAAATCACAAAAAGGTTAAGAAAGTTTACCAGCAAAAGCCTTCAGTTGCCGGAAACAAACATCAAAAGTTTTGCCTGATTCTCTTTCTTCTAATAATTCGCCAATACAAGCTATTACTCCAAGACCTTCGTTCAAAGCATAAGCAGCCTTCTTTCCTATAAACTGAAGACAACAAAATCTTCAGTCAGTTCTAAATCTTTTCATATTTTGCATTAATTAGCATAAATAGCTATGCCCTTTGACACGTCTAAAGAACATAAGTGTCTACACCTCTACCTGATCATCTTCACCAATAATATGCCTGCGTTCAGAATGCCCAAGAACGACCCACTTGCAGCCAATATCTTTCAATTGTTCCACACTATGAAAAGAATCAGATGAATTATATTAAAGACACAGATACAGTTGCAGTGACTCAATCAAACAAGTTGGCATATGTAGACAAAAAAGTCCACAACCACAAAAAGGAGAAGGTGACCAATAATTAGCTTCCACTATGTTTGAAAAACAGATCAAATGAAATAACAGATGCTCTGTTAATCTGAAACAATAGGGCCTATTCAAAATAACGACACCTTAAACGAAGAAATGGATAGCACAGGAACAACTACTTTTGTTTTGGTTTTCCCAAGAAATCAACAGAACTAATTGCGCTAAGTGAGATAAAAATATATATTTAATAATGATATTAACTGAACAAGTTGAAACCTATCCACCAGCAAGAACAAATACTATACAGGCATCGAGGAACCAAATTTAAGCACATTGAGGAAGCATCAGAAGTAACTCCTGTATACATATTTTTAGAGGTAGACTACAGTTGAGCCACAGACCCCTTTTGCACAAGCAAGAAATACACAGTGAACAGGAGACCGTATGTTAGCAATAATGAAGCAGTGCAGCAAAACAGAACAAGTATTCTATCCATCGCACTTCCACATATAATTTCAACACTGATGTGGTTCTATAATCCCAAGATGAGGGGTTAAAAGCCAATATCACTATTTTAAAGGCTACAAAACTATGAAAAATTCACACATTCTGCTTATCAAGAAAAAGTTAGCTAACCTGATTTCTCCTGTGAAAGCCCCACCTTTTCCAATCCAAGAGTTCTGAGCAGATACCTCAATTCGATCAGTTAATGAAGCCTTCACCTGATCGAGATAAACAAAGGGAGGTGCCACAACAACATCTGTCAAGCAAGTATGAATATCAGCAATTTTCATAACATTTAACGTGATATTAATGTGCCCCATGAATACAAAACTACATGGCATCTAGAAAGAATTAAGAAACATTATGCAAATTGCTTCAAGGAAAGCACAAGAAGTAGCATTTATCTAGGAGGGCATATGGAAAAATGATAGCATTGACAGCAGTTTCACAAACATTTTGCAAATCTTTTAGCCCTTAGCAGATATAAACCCCAAGCCCAGTTCCATAATAGAATTAGCATCTAACACAAATTGCAAAGTAAAAGGCTGTAAATTACCAACATCTTTCTCCAACTTTGCGCTGTTCAAGTCAGAAACAAGCTTCGTGATGGATTCTTTTGCTCCATTCTAGAAGAAGAAAAATAACTATCAATTAAGGAAATTAAAATAGAGAATGAATAAAATAGCTATGCAAGAGTTGTCCCACATGAAAGAACCCAGCATAACAACAAATAGAGTGTGAAATTTATATTGACAGAAAAAAAAATGCAAAATATATTCACAAAATGAGTTAGCAGAGCGTGACAACCTTGAAGAATCTGGACTACAAAGAGTCACAGAAACTTTTGAAGGTATAAATCATTGGAAAAGGCACAAAATTAACAATAACAGGAAAGCATTTTGATTTAGAATAATTACAATAATAAAAAGAAAATGGGGAGAGAGAGAGGTAAAGAGAAGAAATCAAAATCACCATGAAAATCACAAGTGTACTTGGTGCTAAGGTCATAACAAACCAAAGTGACAAGTATTACTTAAACAAGCTTAGCAAGAAGATTCCACATTAGATAACCACGAAAACTCTAAAGGAAGACCTAAAAGGAGAAAAAAAAACTTCAGAAGATTTGGTTGGATAACACGTAGGTGAAGATCCTAACGGAGTCAATGAATGCATGATATATGACACAAACCACTGACAGTAGAAGAAAACCAAGAATTGATATAGAGAATAAAGACAGCATAATATATGTGAGAAAGGGCACTTACACATTTCCAGTTGCCCCCAACAAAGAACTGCAAGTACAAGAAAGAGCGAGAGATTAGTTAAAAATTACTAAATAGAGGGCAAAAAACTACTAATACCATGGAAGTTAGCAAAGTGCATTTAGAAAACCCTTTTGCTTGATGCTTATACTCTTTACAAGGAAAGAAACATATTCTCAACAAAGATTACTAGTTCATTTGCCCACTTACTTAAACACCTAATGACAAATGAAGCAGTTTAGGAGATTGTTTTCTAGTTTCAATATCTAAACCTTTCCTTTTTTTTTAATTCCTAAACTTTAAGTGACAAACAATAAAAATGTACCATCGTCATCTTATACATTATCCATTACCTCAAAACGGCTAAAATATATACACAAAAACAAAGGGTAGCGGTGGGTTATTTCTAGTGTCTAAAATACATAGATCTAAAAAAATACATAAGGGTACCTTTCCAGAGCCCGCCATGGCAATAACAGCTCTGCAAGGTTTGCGAGAAGAGGAGAGACGGAGTTGAGAGTTGACTTGTTGAACAAATGATTGAGAATGTGTTTTGTCGAGTTTGGAGCATGATCGGCGAAGTCCACTGAACGGTGTGCAATTTGTAGATACCAATGCCATGTTCAACTGAGGCTGTTTCTTGAGTTTGGTGTGGCTGAGTTTTATGGGATGTGGCTTTCCCTGGGGGAAAGTGGGGGTGATGAGCTTTTAAAGTTGTGGTGTTCACTTTTTTTTTTTTTTTCTTCCAGATGCGTTGTTCACTTTGGATTTATGTTTTGCTCACTGTTAAATCGCAGGGTTGTCAAGGACCGAGTTGGTACCCTCACGCGGCTTTCGAACGCGTGCAAACGCACGCTCAGTGACATCAGATGGCATGGCATACGATTTTTAAAAGTTAATAAAAAGGTCATTTTTATTTAATAAATTAAATAAATAAAAATTGCAATTAAAGGGGGAACGTGCAGTCACGAAAATGGGAAGCGCTGGAATTAGTATTTATCTTGACCTAAAAAATCTGACATTCCATGGTTCCTAGAATCGGAGTTGTAGCTGCCCTTCAACGAGAAGACATCTTGGCAAAGGTAAAATCATTGCTCGGAGGAGACGATGCCATTTAAACTGTTTGTTAGATTTTCATAGCTCTCCTCTGCTGGTACTGGTCGGATAATATCTGAACAGCATTGAAAATCCTTCTCCTGTTGCCACGTGTTTAACACAAGTGAAGAAGAATGTAGATAAAGTGATTTGAATCTTCGTGAATCTGTGGTGACGAGTTCAGGGTACCGTACACGTATGTACATGTCATCACCCTTTCAAAACAACACACTCGCAGTATAACATCCAGGGAAACGGTTGAGAGAGTGCGATCACGGTAGGCAACCTCCTGTTGTCTTTCCTTTAATTCTTTCTAATAACCAGCCAACCACTTTTGCTTTTTGTGCTTGCTCCTGTTTGTACTGCTATACAATAAGCCGGTGCTACTCATCCAAATCCTTATAAAGGTCTTCATCGTCATTGGCTTGAAGCATTTGACAAAATAACATGGGAACTTTTGTTTTTTGGTCGATGGTCTCATTCAATAAAAGATAAATTGGTTCAGTATGGGTCCAACTTCCCCCAATTTCTGTCCAGCATACAACCCAACCCATGACCTGCCACCAATAAGTGAATGAGTGAGATGAAGATTGAAGACCATCCGCATTCTTTTAGAACAAATTTCTGGGTTGCTATGGAGCCTATTTGCCTGGTTTAATATAGCGAAATGCCGACGGAGGTCATCCCATCATGCTTAAAGTCAAAGAAGCAAACTTAGTAAAGCACTCAGTTTAAGATTGTAACTCAGAATTAAAATGAAGATTCTTCATTCCTATCAGGGTGGCTATAAACCACCATGCAAGCAGACAGGGAGGCATGCGTAAAACTAAGTGCTTTCATGCGATAACAGCTTCTGTAGTCTTCAGCATTCGAGACCAGCAATTTCCCAACAATTCTCAGTCTTCCATGTTTTCACTTAGCAAGGGAATAAACTCCAACAAAATCCACATAAGCAGCAACTGCCATTGACATTTAAACTCACAGACATGTAAACATTTACAACTCAACATTCTCCATACAGAACCAGAAGCAAGAGATATATTTAACTACGCATGATATTGCTCTATTGACAGCTAGCACAAAATCTCCACATAACTAGATCATACTTAGTAGCAAAAACAACAAATGAGTAAAACAAATCAATTGACATGGACATGCTATAGAACTATGACTTACACACCAGTAATCTGTGTTTCGTCAACAACCATATGATATTTTCCTGACTAGGATGTCAGACATGAGAGCTTTTTTTTTTTTTTTTTCACTTTTTCAAATACTTGAGACACAATTAGAATGTATAAAGTATGAACTTTGTGTACAAAAAAATTACATACAAATCAACCATACCCATATTTTCTTCTTTATCTACTCCTACATTACTCATTACCACCACAGAAACATCTTATACCCAGAAAAAAAGGGCACAGAAGATCATCACCATTCACTACCATACTTTCCATCTCAAGGAAGAGAGATGCAGGATGTAAAACCCAACCTTGAACTACTTCATAACAGCAATTACCTTTGGTGGCTTTGTGATAGAAAAGTGATTTCAGATTGTAGGCAAATAATTAGATTCTAAAGTGGAGGAAAAACTAGGGACTACTAGGGCATAGAACAAAAGGAAAATATGATGTGCAGAAGTTGCAAACAACCTGGCTCAGGCATTTGCCAATCGTTTCACCCATCTAGGTCATCAGCCTTTCTGCCAACAGCCGTGCTATTGGATGAGCTATCCTGTGCACTATAAGATGAAGAACACCTATTTGAATAACTCCCTTCTGTACTACTGTTTTCCTTCCTTAAAGATTTCTTCAGCTTTTTTTGCCCTGATGATAAATCCTGCAGATATACACCATTAATTCAGCCATGTACTCTAAAATTATCTTACAATCATAATGAAATATTGTATCCACTAGTACCACTACAAAGTACAAACCATACTAAAACACTCCAAACAAACCTGAACTGCAGTAGAACCAGGTGTTTTTAACTCAAGGTCAGTAGTGACATCATTTGAATCCACAGTTTTTTCAATCTTGCCCTCCCCCGAAGACTTGTTTTTCGAATCCTGTTTGCCTGAAGTATGGGACTGGCTGCCTGGTTGTGCAGGTTGAGCAACATGCTCTGTTGACTGCTGTTCAACCATGGTATTAGGAGTCATATATGGGACAAAAGTGGAGCAGGGGTTATGAATGACCCCAGGATTTTCTTTCCCAAAGAAAGAGAATGGCTGCATTGATGGATGCATAGGAGTAGCTCCTGGAGGAGGCATTGCCATTGGTATTGGAAATGGATAAGGAGGGACCATGACAACTGAGTTATCAACAGCGGCCCATGGGAACATAGTCCTGATCCTCTGCTGATACTGAATATTAAGATTATCATTATCAGATTTTAGGGATGCCTTCTCTTCTTTGAGATCATTCTTTTCCTGTGTCAACTGCTTCAAAAGAAAGAAACAACCATGTAAGATCCCTATCAAAGGAGTTGTGCAAAACTAAGCACCATACTTAAAGAGATCAAAGATCACCTCACGAGATTCTTCAGCAAGCCTAGCACACTCTGCTTTGAGCTTGGTGACGTGAGATGCAAGATCCTTCAGCAATTGAATTGTATCAGTAAGGATAGTTGCTTTGTCATTTTTGGGCCTATCAGGATCTGGATTGTGCAAACAAATAAGCATGACCGTTCAAAATTTATAAACAAGTTCAATCAATATATGCTCATTGCAGGATCTCAATTAGCCAAATCCCAATTTAACTAAATTCTTATTTGATTTCCACAACCTTCTCCAATAATACCATAAAAAATCCAGCCTTGTCCCCATAACCTGGGAACATTTGGCAGCACCAAACTTCAACACCTCGAACCTAATATACTACTAAACATATGAAAATAGAAACCATGTCTTCGAATGAAACTCTATAGACCAAACAACTTAAGTCACACATGCATGTGTCAATTGCTTAATTTAGTACTGAATTTTTTTTTTTTGGGATCATAAAATTGAATGGTTTAAAGAAAGTTCAAAATCAACCAAGTGCATTTCCCAACTCAAGAAAATGTTCATTGAGACGGTCCCCTTCTCAATTTCTCACGGTCAGCCTTTTGAAGTTTTCTCGCCGCAACGCAATCCTTGGCTTCCCCTTCAACCCTTTGGCTGCAAAAACATAAAATCAAAAGTATTACAATCAGTTAAACTAACACCGAAACGAAATTTTAAATTTTCAAGTGGGAAGTTACAATTGAAAAAAAAGAACTGGAGTTAAGAGAAACCTGACCTGGATTTAGGTTGGGTGCGGGTGGTGGAGCGAACGCGCGGATCTATAGGGGGCTGACGAAACTCGATGACGGAAGGATTTGAAGATGGAAGAGACGGAAAAAGAGTAGCATCGTTTTTGAGTTGATCCATGATGATTTGATTTTGAATGACCGCAAAGTCGCTTCACAATTTCACATCTCTGTATCTCTTTTTCGTTTCTTATTCGCCTTTCTTCATTGGAATCCATGAGCGCAAAAGCCTATCCGAACCCAAGGATTACGTCGTTTTGTGTCCCACATATTGTTTTTTTTTTTTTTTAACTTCTATTTACATCAGAAATTTGTTCTATAATTGATACACTCCAAATTTTTTTTAGGATTAATATAAATAAATATAATAAAATATTTAATATAACATTTAAAATTTAAAATTTTAAATGTAATATTTAAATTATTATTTTATTGATTAATATAATATTCACAATTAACAATTAATTTCAAATAATTAACATTTTAAGCTCGAATAATATTAATGATTTATTTTAGTTTTTTATTTTATATGTTCTCTAATTAAATTAATTTTGTTAAAAAAAATTAATAATGTGTTCACTTATCACTTCTGTTTTATTTTTTTAATTTTTTATATTTTTTAATCAAATAAATTTTACAATATAAGATACCAAATGATTTAATATTTATATTACTATTTATAATTATTTTTATTTAATTTTTTATGTTTTTTACTTCAACAATCATTATCCTTGTTAAAAAAATATAAAAACATATTTTATTTTTTATTTATTAAATTTGTTAAATATTATTATGTACTTAGCAAAGGGCGGATCAATTTATAGTCAAAATAAAAATTCCTTAGAAAAACAAACAAAATATATTGGCGGTTTATAAAGTCGGCTTGTCATTGAGAAAAAAGAGCAGGGAGGGAAGGAGAAGGGCTTGAGAGAGGCGTAACCCAAAAACGCGAGCGAAAAAGGAAAAGGAAAAAGAAACGGAAGATGTCGGGCATGGGAGATGGGTATGTGGGCACGGCCCAAGATGCAGTGAGGATCCGACGTCTGGAGAAGCAGAGAGAAGCCGAGCGCCGCAAAATCCAAGAGCTTAAAACCAAGTCCGCCTCCGCTAAGGACCAACCTGGTCTCCTCCAATTCGGCTCAAGTACTTCCGAGGTTCCTCTCCTTTCTTTTCCTCTAGAACTTAGGGTTTTTCTTTTTTCATTTTCCCCCTTCGATATCTGTTAATTTCATTTGATTCATATTTCATTGTTTCGAATTTTCTGTTTCTTTCTTCAGATTCTTGAGACTGCATTCAAGAAAGAAACTGTTGGTTTGGTTACAAGAGAGCAATATGTCGAGAAGGTAATCTAATATCTTAATTTTGCAGTCCATTATATTATTTATGCTTATTAAAATAAGTGGCCTTACCCTAATTGTTATTGATATCTTTGATAGAGAGTTAATATCCGAAACAAAATCGAAGAGGAAGAGAAGGAGAAACTACAGAAGCTTCAACAAGAGTAAGTGGCATATATAGTTTTATATTTTTCTGTGGATCCCTTTTCTTTATTAGTTAATAATTATCCATCTTAATATTATAGGGAGGAAGAGCTTCAGTTGCAAAAGCGTAGAAAGAGGAAGGTTAAGGGGAATCCTCGACTATCTTTTGCGAATGATCTGGAGAATGGAAGTGAAGAGGAAGATGCCGAAAACAGTGAGAATTTCTTTTTTTTTTTACTCTTAAAAATGTTATAGTAATAGATTTATGACTTTTGCAATATAATTCATATGTCTCATATATACAAAATTTGTAGCTTGGATTTGCAATTAACTAAAGAATCACATCAATGGTAATTGGTCTTGGTAAATTTTACTGCATTAAGACTTGCTATCTTGTTCGACACATAACATTTGTATGACAAAGTGGTAATCTAGTAGTGCATGAAAATACCAGACATAAAGGTGTGTTGTTATTTTGCTTAGGTTGATTACTAATTGGAAATGGTAATGGGGTTTTGTGCTAGTTGTCTTCATGGATCAATTTCACTTCCCAAAATGGTAATTTAATTTCCTTGTACTCCAGGGTTGCAACTAGTTTTTTTCAATATTTTTTCTGGGCCATGAATAGGTTCCAATCATGAAGGATTTAGTCTATATGGATCATTGGGTCAATGAACATGGAGGATTAGCATAAGAGCATAAAGTGTTGTTGCCATTATAAACATTCACTATGTTTTGAGTCCTTTGTTGTTGTGGGCTGTCCTACCAGCTGTCACGAATATTGTGCTATTGACTTGTTAATGTTATTCTTTCCGAGAAAGTTATTTAGGTGGCAGTAGGATATCTTTATGGCTCTCTGTCCATTGCTAATTGAACTTCTGGCAATCATGTATAATAACTTTCATTTGCCTGCTGGAGTTTTGTGTAAATTTATTTATACATAGGTTTTCACTATTGTTTAACTTAAATTATTTTATCACTGCTGTGAAGCATAGTTTGATTTTAGAGATCATGCTCTTTTGACATATATGGTTGGATATAAGATGACATTTTTGCATTTTTTGTTTATTATACATTTTTCAATGTTGATTTAGTTTCTAGGGACTTAAACTTCATTGTTGATTCTTTCATATCTTCGACTCAATTTAGCAGCTTCCATTATGCTTTGTGCAGAAAGTTCAGAAACAAAGAGGTTTACTCGTGGAAAATTTGGCAAAGATCCCACAGTAGAAACCAGCTTTCTGCCTGATAGGTGACATCTCTCTCCATACGTTTGTGTCTGGTGATGTGCCATGCATGCATGTGCATATACTTGCATGTAATGTGTATGCTTGTAGCAGAATTGAACCTAACATTTGATCTTAGGGTTGATGAGGATGTTCTTTCAGTGAACGGGAGGCAGAGGAGCAAGCTGAGCGTGAAAGGCTGCGGAAACAATGGATTCGTGAACAGGAGCAAATTAAGAGTAAGTTTTATTCTGACGTATTCCCTTTTTGACATGAATGCATGAAAAAACAATGTATTGACTCTTGACTGAGTTTTTTTGTGTTTCAGGTGAGCCCCTTGAAATTACCTACAGCTACTGGGATGGAGCAGGCCATAGACGGGTGATCCAGGCGAGTAAAACTACCTAAACAAAACTTACCTATTTGAATGCTTTTATTTTCTTATTCTTTTTAGCCATCATTTCTGTTTTTCTGTTGTTCAGGTACGTAAGGGTGACACTATAGGAGAATTCCTTAGAGCAGTTCAGCAGCAACTTGCCCCAGAGTTTAGAGAGATTCGAACAACTTCAGTGGAAAACCTGCTTTATGTGAAAGAAGATCTTATCATTCCTCACGTGAGTTAAATATGAAATCAGGCTCTTAATTACAACTATGTGTTGAATGGATGCTAACTAATTTGATTTCTTTTTTTTTTTTTTTTCATGTTTGTGAAATTTCAGCAACATAGCTTCTACGAGCTGATTATTAATAAGGCGAGGGGCAAAAGTGGACCGGTAACAATTAATGCTCTATAAATTCTTCTGCATAGCAGTTGCTATGTATTGCTTGGTAGAAGTGGTTCCATCTTTTGGTGCTTAAAGTTGTTTTTTTTTTTTTTTCAATTCTGATAAATCTGAGGAAAAGAACTAAATAACGCAGCAGACTGCCTTTCAAGGATTTTCAGATTGCTAAATCATTCTAGATCTTAGTCTTGGTAGAGTTTATTAGTACCCATTGCTTATTAATGTTGTTTGTTCTTTTTCTTAAACAGCTTTTCCATTTTGATGTGCATGAAGATGTTCGAACTATAGCTGATGCTACAATTGAGAAGGATGAGGTATTTTTCCTCCCTCTTTTTCTTGCTTGAAGAGGTTAAGAATTAACATTGATTTTTGGAGTATACAATGAACTCATTTTCTCCAATTGTTGACAGTCTCATGCAGGTAAAGTAGTCGAGAGGCATTGGTATGAAAAGAACAAGCACATCTTCCCTGCTTCAAGATGGGAGGTACTTTCTCTCTCTCTCTCTCTCTCTCTCTATGTGCTTGCTTGTGATGCAATGGAACCTTCTTAGAAGAAATATTCGGATTTTGGCAAAGAGTGAAGACTAATTTGTAGTTGTTATTGGTCTTTTTACATGGCAGATATATGACCCAACAAAGAAATGGGAGCGCTACACCATACACGGAGATTGATTAGTCGTAGCCTCATGGGAGGACTGATTGTATACATTTTCAATGGATTATCTGTAGCCTTATTCGGAGCTTCATTTTGTATCTGAGATTGTTTTATTGGATTTAGATCTAAAAGTTGATAATGCAATGACGTGCTGTGGTCTGAATACTGCACATTTCAGTACGATATATGGTTTGCTTTATGTTTAGGGACTCTCCAAAAAAAAAATAACAGAAAGAAAAAATGTTCTCTTAGGAAAAGAGATTTTTAACTATTAGGTGGGTAAATCAAAATCGTTTACAAATTAGTGAGTAGCGGGCGTACGAAAGACAGGAATGAAACGACGTCGTATATGCTTAAACACGCCATTGACCGAAGGTCCAATGTTGGCTTGGTTTGTGTTCAGCCCTCCCTTATTCGGGATCTGATAGTTGTAGGCGTTGGAAACCCCAGCCCTAATTAGTGTTCTCAAACAGCGATCATTTCATTTTTATTTTTATTTTTATTTTTATTTTTTAATTTTCATTGACGGAAAAGAGAAACTCTCGGAAATGGCGATGAAAAATTTCAGGGTTTTCTTCTTTGTTCTAGTCCTCCTCGCCTCTCCTCTCCTCCAAGGTTTGTAAATTATTTTCTAGATCTGGATCTGTTCGGTTTAAATTCACATTAAATAGCTATTTATGCTTACCGATTCTCTTTTTTTTTTTTTTTTTTGCGGAGTTTCGATCTTACTTTTGGATTTTCTGCTTGCATGCTTACTGCGATTGTTTTGATATGTTAAAATGAGATGCAATTCGATTCGTTTTCTATTAGTTCTTTTTTTTTCTTTTCTTATTACACCCATGTGGTATTATTTGTTTCTCTCGATTTATGACCCGATAGTTGAAATTTGAAGTGATTTCTTTGTTTCCTAAATTATAGAGCATGGCTGCATTGCATGGCGGTGAAATTTCAATTGCTCTCTCTCTCTCTCTCTTTTTAAAAGCTTAGTCATTCTTCCTAATACTTTAGTGGCTTTTGAACATACAATTTAGCTTTTGCTATTTGCTTTAACAAAAGGCAACGAAAAGAGTGCTTGTCAAGTACTTTTATGTTCTTTTCTATAACATTCTTGAAGTAGTTATTTCTTGATGTTGAATTTGTTGTCGCATTAATTTATGTTTACTTTTTGTTTCTCATAAATTCATAATTAAATTAATTGGCAATATTGTTTCTAAATTATCATGTGACATGAATTTTCTTTTGTGTGATAGTTGCTAGGTGTCAATCAGAACCAGAGGCAGATGTTGGAGATGCTGTAGAAGTAGGTGATCTCGGGATTGTTGGTGAGGATGTTCAGGATTTCGGTGATGGGAATTTTGGCCCTGCTCCTGGAGTTGAAACTGTCTGTGTTTTCCCCAAAAATAGCGCCAAATGTAAGAGCTTTTTTGATGTTGTATGATTTTGAGAGTGATGTACATTTTCATTTAATTGCTAATGCTAACCTTTTTTTACTTGAGCAGTGGTTCTGGCTGGAGAAGAGACAGAACTCCTTGTTGGGATGGAAAATGTTGGTAATTAATTCTTCTTCACAACATTACTGGCTTGTTTTACAATGAAATGTGATGTTATGTGTTGAAATAGGTTGATTTATCTGTCTGCCCTTAGCGATGCTTAAATGCTTAACTTTTTATCATTAGCCATGTTTCTTATGCTTAGTTTACTTCTTTAAATTGCAGGGGAGTCTCCTGTGAATGTCATTGCGGTCAAAGCCAGTGTTCATCTCCCTTTTGATCATCGCATGCTTGTTCAAAATCTTACAGCACAGGTAATTATGGGTTTTCTTAGTATTGTGCTGGTTAAAATTTTCAAATACTTATGATTCATTAGTTAGTTCAGTTTTAATTTTGATTAATTTCTATTGTTTCCTAACTTAAAAATTTTGTATAATTGAATATCTTGCCCATTCGTTTTTTTTAAATAAAATTAAGCATTCATGGAGTTTGTTCTTCTAGATAATTTCATATTTGCTCACACAATGTAGCTTACAAATTTAAGGCTTTGAATCATGTCATGCATGTTCTTTTATTGATATAGAGCATATGGTATTTTTATTGAATACTTTAAATATACATTGTCAAACATATGGCCAATATATGTGGGTGACAGATTAGTTTATGTTCCCCTAGCAACTGCTTACCTACTTTAATCAGCTTTAACAGCTATAGTGGAGTTGATTATTTTAGCTGATGCTAATTAATATGATGAGTGGATGTTGAACTCGCATTAAGATGTTATATCTCAGTTTAAGAAACAATAACGGAGAGTTTGGCACTAATGTAGAGTTTGCTGTATCTTTAACTGTTAAGTGTAGACCTTCCATTGATTTTAAGATAGGATACTGTGTGTAAAGACAGTTTAGACGTTCATTCTCTAATTGGTCACTGTGCAATTATAATGCTGTGCTGCCGGTTTGACTATTCTGTGGTTTAAGTTTTGAGTCTTTGTTTTTTTCATACTTTATTATCTAATGCTTGTTGCATTATTTGAAAAAGATCTTGAGTTTCTCCGTTTCTGTAAAGTTGATCATGCACCTCATTATCTTGGAGTTTTGCAGCCTATTTTGTTGGATTTAAATTGCCTTGTGACATTTGCTTGTAGATTCTGTAACCGAAAAAGTCTGTTTCAATGTAGGCCTTTAATAATGCATCTGTACCCCCTTCAACGCAAGCTACTTTCCCTTACATATTTGCTGTTAGCAAGTACTTGCAGGTAAATGATTACTTGGGAGTCTTATGCCTTAGAGCTGTATATAAATTGTTTTTGTGAGGACAGTGTTGCAGTTAAGCTTACACATCTAGAACTTTGATGCAGCCTGGAACTTTTGATCTTGTGGGTACAATTATCTATGATATTGACCAGCACCCATACCAAAGTACATTCTATAATGGTACCATTGAAGTTGTTGAGGCTGGCGGTTTCCTCAGTGTCGAGTCCGTTTTTCTTGTTACTCTTGGGATTGCACTTCTTGTTCTCCTTGGTTTATGGCTTCATGGTCAATTTCAGCGCATCTCCAAGGTTTTCTAATTGTGCCACCTTGCAGTTGTTATATTAATTTACTCTGGTAACCATGTATGATATTACAGTATATGCATGAGACCTGATTAACACATGTTTGAAACTAGTTATTTGTAATATACAATCTAAAAAGACTTTTTTCTGATAGAAAATATTGTTGGATGTCTCTCAGAAAAGAGCACATCTATGCATGCATGGAGGAAAATCTCAATTGTTCTAGCATTATTGACCAATTTCAAATTGTCAGCAAGCTATTTGATTTCTGTTCTTACATTGAAGTAAGCTTCCACTTGCAATGTTACTTTATTGTGGCATGCGTGCTTGTAAGGAGAGAGAGCCAGAGGAACAAGTTCTTGTATCTATTTATGCATGTTTCTTGTGTTTCCTTTGTGGAATAAACCTAGTTTGTTTGCCTATATTATTTTGCTAGAAAACTAAGAGGGCTCCAAAGGTGGAAGTTGGAACTGGGACTACTGATGGCTCATCGGATGAATGGCTTCAGGTATGGCTTGGCTTATTCATCATCATCACTTCCCATGATTTTCTATTTCAGCAGAATTGCTTTGCTTTTCACTCCTTTCACCCCTGAATTGCTCGTATCTGTTTATTTGATGAGCATGGTCGGGTTTATGAACCTCTGTCATAGAAAATCATGAGTTAATTGCTGACTTTGATAATCCTGAAAGATCTCTATGGGACTGTTGCTGATAATTTCCTGTTTTGGCTGTCATAATTTTCAGGGAACTGCTTATACTCAGTCAGCTCCCAAATTAAAAAAGAAGTAGATGGACCGGTGCATGTGAAGTCAGGTTATTTTAACTCATGCTAGGCATTTTAAGTGAGGGCACAGGTAGTTTGAGAATTAGGCCAGGAAAGACATACCTTGCTGTTTTAGCATGTGAAAGAATTTTTTTTACTACATTTTTATTTTCTTGGGGATTCTGAAATTGAGCCCTTTTGAAGCAGAACTAACTCTAATATGAGGCAGAAGGATACATTTTATTGAACTTGGAGGAATTTTCCCAGATCACGTGACATTTTCTTGCTCTAAGCCATTAACCATGGCATTTGCTTCTTGTTTCCTTTCCTGTCCACCAAATGTAGAAAGTTAGTTTGTTCGGTATAATGTGTTAAAAATCTTGCTCATGGCCTCCGTTATCTTTCACCGCTTACAGTGTGCTCGCCTTTTTTTATCGGTTCCACAATCATTTACATTATGTTTGAATTGAGGGAAAGGGAAGAAAAGGAAAGGAAAATAAAAGAAAGTAATGAAAATAGGAAAAAAATTTTATTTGGATAAATTTTTAATTTAAAGGAAAGAAAAGAGGTAAAAATTTAATATTTTTTGGTATTTTTTTTTAATATTTCAATTTAGGGAAAGAGTTAAAGAAATGAAAGTTGAAAAAATTTTATTTTTATAAAAAAATTATTATATTCATATTTTTATTATAATATTATATTTGATTATATATATGATATTTTTTACAAAAATAAATTTTTTTATGAATATTTAATATAATATTATAGTTTATAAATATTTTATAATTTTTTAAATCTTAATAACAAAATAAATTAGATTATTGTCAGAATAAATTAAAAAATTAAATTAAATATAAAATTAAAAATTAATTAATACATCTTATCTTATTATACATTATCATTTCAACTCATAATGGTTTGAATTTAATTCAATCGTGTTTTTAATTCTTATCACCTAAATTTGCAGCAATATAGCCATATTATATCTATATCTATACGTAGCATAAAACCCCGTTCAGCAATAACAAATGGCCACTGGATTACCTGTTAATGGCCTGCTCCTGACTCTAGTCAAAACCTTACACGAATACCTTCATTACCCTACAAATAATTTAGAATTTTGCACAAGTCGTAGCTTGATTGTGAACAAATACCATCCACAATTTCTTCTCACCTAGTAGTAGGGTGCTTAACGGTGTCTTTGTTGAAATTGAGAATTAGGTAGTGTTTGACCCCACATTTTGTATTGTGACCTCTAGCTAAATTTTCGACATTAAACCCATGATTTAATTTCCAACTTATGGGAACAGTTTTCTGTCAATTTTCTTTGATGTAATCGTGTATGCTGGTTTCTTTTTCTTAAGCATATGAAAATTCCATCAGTAGTCTATTATAAAAGACCTATAATGTTGAAAATTAATCCAGTCTTGTTTCAAGCATCATTAAAATTATGTTAAAAAGTTTCGAAAAAAAAAAAAGTATTTGCTTCATCGTTATGCATGGATTTATTTCACAACTGCGTATGAGTGCAAAACTAGTCTACCAAGTAGATAGCAAGTATTGAATCACGTAATTTATTTTAGAGTGTCAACACATTTTATAGTTTGAATTGAGACTAATGAAGATTTATTTAAAAATAAAATAAGTTTATTTTTTATTTAAATTCACTGAACAAATACAAAAATAAGATGGACTGAAATAAAAAGATTGTATTCGTATTAACTGAAAAAAAAAAAAAAAAAACATAAAAATGAATAAGATTGTGATCAGATTTATTATCATATAATTTATAAGAGTAAATGAACAAATAATTACGTTCACATTACAGATTATCATATTCACATGTAAATCTCATTATTTTAGACACGATTCAAGCAATTCATGAAATTCTCATGCTTGGAAGAATATTTCTAATCTATTTATTTTTTGTTATTCTTTGATAAAAGGTAGAATAAAATTTTGTTTTATCATTAAACAATCTTTTAAATTGTTTTCAAGTTTTGTCTCTCTTAAGTAGATTTTTTAAAGTAATAAACTTTTATAGTTTTATATTCTTGATTAGAGTTCTTAAGATGGTATTTCTGTATCTCTTAATATCTAGTCTTGGTGATGAATTTTTATCTTTTTTAATTCAATAACCATATTCTATCATTATTTAAATTTTTGTGAATTATCTTCTTTATAAATGTTTTTATTTATAATTAGTTTTTAACATTCCAACCATCAATTTCCGACATTGACAGCTAACCCTATTTGCAATCTGCACATGGTTGATTAAACGTAAATTTACCAGAAATTATTCAAAAGCTACCAATTCTAGCATGCCCCTTTTGTCAAAACTACTAAAATATCTTTGATGGTAGAAGAAATGGGTCTATCTTCACCCTGATAATCCCATTAGTAATGGTAAATTCAGGATTTTCTTGAATTCATCGAAAGTATCGTTGGCTGTTAGCTCATTTAAGAGTCACTTGACTCATTAGTTCTGTCAATCGTATATGCAGTGGATGCTATGGGCCTATGCTTGGTGCTCAATAAGCTTGAACCTCACGTGAAGCTGTCACTCACTTCTCTCTTTTCCGGCTCATCAATAATGTGGGGATCAAGCAAATCAAAACTGGAATTAGTGCTGTACTGCTTTCTTACATATGCTTGCAGGACCATTTTTTGTAATTCAACCAAATTTATCTATAAGCAAACTTATATTTATGAAAGTTAGTAAGTAGGTTTAAAGACATGATCACACACAGCACAATTTAGTTGTTTGCAGTTGATAGCTAATTCAATGAAGATAATGTCATTTGCTCAATGAAGCCGGTGTAGCGCGTTACTATCATTTTCAAACCATAACACCGAGTCATCTCAAAGGGGTCCCTAACCTAATGTGAGGCCTTTAAGTGAGGTTTCGTTAAGCCTTTGAATTTGATTGCCCTTAAGATCATTATATAATAAGCCTTGGTTTATCGATCTGATCACTCAATCTTTTGTAGCAATATTTCCTTATTGCTTCTGATCAGCTAATAAGCTGATATTCTTGATTTGGTTTCCTGATCGTTTGCTGTTTTTTGTGGAGGGACCGTAAAAGATTGGTTCCCAATGCAGATCCTTTCGTTTCGAGGAGGCGCACTTGTGTGCTTCTTGGTGTCCCTGCTATTTGTAGCGAGTTTTTGCAATGCTGATGGTAAAACAGTTGAGGTAGTCGGGGTTGGAGAATGTGCAGATTGTGCAGAGAATAACTTCGAGACTAGCCAGGCATTTTCAGGTATTGCTATCTCCTATTCAGATCTTAAATGTGCTGACAACACTAGCCATGCATTGGCATTGTCTTGAGATTGATAGTAAGGAACCAAAAATTTTCCTTATCATCATTACTAAGCAATTGAAAATGGTGAAAACAAGAACTATGTGACAATTATGGACAGTCAGACCTCAGGGACTACATTCTTTTATACTATGCAGGGTTCTTTTAGTGCTTCAGACTCGATCAGATCGAAACCAGTAAATAAAGCTTTCAGTTTCTTGGTCTCTGCTTGCTTCATAAGGGTCATTAAAGAGTGTGGTCCCTGTAACATGGATATTGCAATTATGATCTTATGCTATTTGTCTTTCTCTTTCCAGGGCTTCGGGTAACCATAGACTGCAAGCCAGAAAATGGGGAGTTCAAAACTCGAGGTTCTGGCGAGCTTGATAAAGAAGGGAATTTCAAAGTATCTCTTCCCGAGGACTTGGTTAAAGATGGCAAATTGAAGGAAGAATGCTATGCACAGCTTCACAGTGTATCAGCCGCGGCTTGCCCTGCCCATGATGGCCTGGAGTCCTCCAAGATAGTCTTCAAGTCCACAAGCGGTGAGAAACACAACTTTGGGTTAAAGGGAAAGCTCAAATTCTCACCAGTAACATGTGCCTCAGCATTCCTTTGGCCTCACTTTAAGCTCCCTCCAATCTACAAGAAGCCTCTTCCACCACCAATTCCAATATACAAACCTCCTCCGATTCCAGTATTCAAAAAACCACTTCCTCCTCCAGTTCCAATTTATAAGCCTCCAGTTTATAAACCTCCAGTATACAAGAAACCTCTTCCTCCTCCAGTTCCAATCTATAAACCTCCTGTCCATAAGCTTCCTCCAGTTCCGATATACAAGAAACCACTCCCTTCTCCAGTTCCAATCTACAAGAAACCACTTCCACCACCTGTTCCTATCTACAAGCCAAAACCCCTCCCTCCCATTCCCAAAAAGCCACTTCCTCCACTTCCAAAGATTCCTCCATTCCCTAAGAAGCCATACCCCAAGTTCGGAAAATGGCCTCCATTGCCACCATTTGCTCCTTATCATCCTTAAACTCTAGCAGTGATGCAAGTGGATGTACTTAATGAAGGTTAGTGTGAAGAAGTTCCGGAGCACTGCAAGCAATAATAAAAGTCTTTGAAGGAGAGAATGGAGAAAACAACAAAACAAGTTTAAATTATGAGAGGAAGGAGAAGAATTGTGCTTGTAGTTTATTATTTATATAAGATAAATTAAGTTGGTATTAAGTCTGCGTGAATTTCTAATTTTCTATTGCAATAATAGCACGATATGATGATGTTTGGTGCGTACGATGTTATGATTGATCTATGAGATAATAATTATTATTATTTTATATTATATTTGATTTATATTTTTAAAAAAAAAATTATAAAAAAATTAATTATCTCTTAATATAAAATAATTCAATACTCTCGAAATAAAAAAATTTAGTTTTAATTTATAAAATTAAATTTATGTCTTATTATATCATTAAAAATTATATTAATAATTTAAATTATTAAATTTTAAAAAAAGATAATTTTGATTAATAAATAAATTATTTTATTTTAATTTTTACAAACATCAGATATAAGATAAAATAATTTTATTTTATTTTATTTTATTCATAATATTATATTTTTTATTTTATCATAATTTTATATACCAAACGCATCTTAAATTTCTTAATTATTAATATAAAAAACCTGAAGCTAATTAAGCATATATTGCACACATTTGCTGCTTCTTCTTTGAGTTTGTGCCCTGGCGCGTGCATGTTCTTTTGCTTAGGCAAAATTGTAAAGGTTAAGCATGAATGATCTCTTTTTGATGTCCAAATTAAAGCTCACCATAGCTGAATTTAGTGGCAACCACCCTTTTCTGATGAATTTCATACTTTTTCCATCCTCTTTTTTGCCTTGATTATTTCAACCAATGAAAAAAGAGAAAACAAAAATCAAAAGGAAGATGGGTGCTGTCCACTTGACCAAATACATCGAGTGTTAAATTTATTTAATATATTAATAAGCTTATATTTGATACATTATTAATATATAAATTATAAATATTATTCGTAAATTTAATGGTTTCATTTTATTAATAAAATACATTAAATAATATTATTTTATAATAATTTTTTATATATTTATTTATCAATAAAAAATATAATTTAATTTATTAATAATATATTAAATCTATATACTAAAATATAACATTACATCATATACAAATCTTATATTAATTTTATTCATTTGGATAAAAATTTTTACCGTCTCTCAATCTCCCCACCGGTCTTCATCTTTCCTTCCTTTTTATTATTATTTTTTTAAACTCTTTGCCCCTTTTTCTCCCGCACCGAATTTTATTTGTTTTTCATTTAAGATTGTTTTTTATTAAAAAGGGGGGGGGGGGGGACAGAGGGATAGGTCAGACAAGAAGACTATGTTCGATGGAGAGAGGAAACGTTGATGGATATAAAAAAATGTGACAAAAGATCAAGAACACAAAGAAAAGTTTTACTATTTTATTCTATATTATTTTACTCTTTTCTTTTCAATTCTGATTATTTTGTTTTGTACATCGTTGTATATTTGCTTGCATATTTTACGCTATTGCTCGTCGCTAAGCTTGTGGGTTTTCATAATCTCATCCAAAAATTATAAAGAACAAAAATTTTAAAAAAAATCAAAATTATTGAATATTAGAAAGCAATATATGTAATATTTATGCTCTAGTTTAGGTGTGTGACATACCATTAACATTGAATGTCTATACTTGGACATATTCCTCGAACAACCAGATGGCCATAAGGGGTTGGATTCTTGAGAAGGACCACGGCAGGGGTCAACTGATAGTATTGCATCTTTATCTTTTTCATCGTTATGATGGTTGAATTTTATGATCTTTTGAAGCCCGAGTTCGCTCGCACACTTTGTGATTCGATTACTTGTCTAGGCCCTCAATGCTCGTCTGGGCCTTGGGTGCGCTCCCTGATCTCCTTGGCTTAATCTCACTTGGACTGAAACGTGCTCGTCCCGGTAGAATCTCTGAGCTGGATAGCTCACGGACAATGACAATCGCACTTTCCCAGAATTCTTAAACCAAAACCGAAACGCAAACTGTTAAGCCTGATCTCAAAGATAAGGCTTTGCAAGTCAGCTCGTATTTGGTTAGTTACAGTAGTTTTTTTCAATGTCAATTTGAACCTTCTCTCTTTGATTTTATTATGTTGTTTGAAGCTTTATTTTACTATTGGCACCGTGCGTTGTTTGCTTGATTAAGAGAAGCGAACTTTTTAAGTAAATGAGTTTTGGGTCTTCCGGAATTTCTGATAATAGTTTTGGTTTGTTAACAGTGTTTGGATCAGGTGCAGTCCTACATTCTTGTTGCAGGTATATTGGTCACAGAAATGCTGCTGAGAATTATATTGTTCATGATCCTATTCATGCGGTTAGTAGCTTCCTTATCTTCTAATTGCAATGTTGATTTTTTTTGGATGTTTATCATAATTAATCATAAATAAACATGGATGGCCCTACATATATATATATATATATATATATATATATATACACATACATACTGATGTATTTGTTAATGCGTGTTTATGGGTTTGCGGTATTTGACTTTTATATGGGTTTATAATGTTATTATAGTTGTTTACTTGATGTGAACTTTGTTTATGTCATAAACGGGAAATATTTGTAAGGCACCTGTTATTTAGTTATAGCTTGTATTCTCCACTATGAAGTTGTCTGATTCCTTTTTATATCGGTTTTCCTTTTGTTGTGAAGGTACTGCTACGGTATTATATCGAGCGCCAGTGCTTGTTCAAGTACACACGGCAGACTCTCGTGCGTGCTTGTAAAGCAATTATGAGGCTGTTCTATTCTCTAATTGCCCCTTTGATGCCATTTCTTTCAGTTTAATATTGATGTTTTTCTGCCGACAATACTGCTATGTTTGGTGCAGTATATTTGGGAAATAGCTTGAAAGAAGGGAGTTTGATAAGGGAGGATACACTAAAGCTGATTTCTGATGGACTAGAAGGAAGTTTAATAGTTGTCTTGCAAGCCCTCATATCGTGCAGTCATCGAGAGCAGATGCTATTTTGATATAAGTTGTCTTTTACTTTTTACCCTTACCAAAACAACTTAGGAGCAACAAGTTTGTAGAAACACCGGCAGCTAATCAGGAATGTATTCATTGTGGTGGTTGATTTTGTGGCATGCATCTTTTCTTTGATGTTCTGAAGTTTCTTGAGCACTCTTACAATGTTTATGCATTACCGTGCAGATAGAAGAATAGCTACTTGCTTAGTTATATTTTATTAGCTGTTAAAAGGGCAACGGAGTTGGGATATGTTGATCTTGCTTATTTTCCGGACCTCCTGATGCCTGAGATTTTACATGGGGTGCAGGTATGATAGTGATATAGGTTTCCTTATTCATATTTTGCCATCCTTTTCAACAATGAGACACCAAGTGTTGGTTGTTGTTTATTCCCAAGACTTCAAAAAATATTATGTATCAGTCATCCACACTACTCTCTGTGCAAAAACATCTGGATGCCAATCTATATTAAACTTGTAAGAAAGGTAAAAAAAGTCACTAAATGACTTAAAATGATCTGTTTTTGTCTAGATAGTTGTCTAAACTTATTATTTCTTTTTTTTTCTCTAGTTTTCAGCTACGGAGGGGAATGCTTTCCTCAATCAGATAATATCCCATATCTATCTTGGTGTGCTTTAAACCTAGAAATTACAGGTGACTCTTTTGCGGACACAACTGATATTTGTAAGCTTTAAAATGAGAATGCGAGAACTGCAGATATTTCAAATGCCGTCGTGATGGTATTTGGTCCGTACGTCTTTGTATGCTTGATAGAATGTATATAGTGTTAGAAAAAAAATAAAAAAAATAATAATAATATAAAATAATTTTGGTTTTGAGACTTGAAGAATATTTTTTCAAAAGTAATTATGACTTTAAGATATAATAAAGTTCAGTGAAAATTATTATACTAAAAAATTTATTTATAATGAATGAATAAACATAAATTTTTATTTAGATAATTATAATCTTTTGTATAATCATGATCTTTATGAAAAATAATCTATTTATATTCAAATAGTTATAACCATTTATCATATGATAATTCTTTTTGTTCAAATATAATTATTTAAAATATGAATAAAATTAATACAAAAATTAATTTTATTTATTAATAATTAAATCTTTCTATTTAATGTGAGATGTATCATATTTTAAACTACTAAAAATCTTCCACTAGTTTGAAATGTTGGTGCTTAATTTTTATTTTTCACATAAATAAATATTATGAATATAAAAACGTACTCTCGATTTAAACATTCAATTAGCGTGTATATCTTATAATTCTAATGAAGTTGATAGTATCCGCAGATTAAATTTTAACTCTTAGTGTTAAAATTAAAGATATAACACACATAATACTTATTTATTCTTCTGTCAGAGGTTTATAACTACTTTTAACACCATTATGACCATATGTTTATCCTATTCATAAACATTTATAAGAAAGATATCACAATTATTCTTATTGAAGCGACACCACTTTTATGTGTATATAGATAAAGTTTTCATTATATGTCAATTACTTTAGACATTTAAAACTCCTTTACAAGTATAAAAAACTTATTCTTTCCATATAATGAATCATACTAATTTTTAAAATTTGAATGGATTTTATTTATACCTAACAAACACATAATAATAACTTGTTTTTACCTATTAAACTTTGTAATTAGAGGTTACTAATTCAAAGTTAGATTCTTATTATTGGTGTCTAATAATAAAGGTTTAAATCCATTTTACTTGTAGTACTACTAATTAAATATTTTGAAATCCAATTTTCCTTTATGACAATTACCCATATTTAAAATTAAATATCTAATATAATCACTTCAAATTAATATATTCAAAATTTCCATTTTGCATATCATTTATATACTCCAAACATCATTGCTTCATTCTTATCATTTTAAGAAATAGTTGATTTTGGTTGTGGCCACAACTCTATATTCATTAATTTCAACCATTCTATTTTCGTACTTTTATACATTTTTAATATAATTATATTTTTAGTACAATTTGATAAACTCAATAGATAAATCAAATCATTTTAGTCATTTTAAGATTTTTAAAGATCTTTTTTTTTATAATTTTACTTTAATCAGTGTCTAAACTTATTAATTTGTACAATTTACTCATAAAATTATACTAAAATTTTATAACACTATGGTGGTAATTTTTATTTTTTTTTATTCTTATCACCTCCACTATATGCAAGTATGCATTTTTTTAAGTAAAGAATGTCTCATTCAATTATTTAAGATATTATATATACTTAATTAAGTTACCATTTTGTTTATTTTTCTACTATTTGGTGATTTATTTTTTAAAGTATGAAGCCTTAGAATTCATCCTTAGTGAAAAGATAACTAGCAAATATCTTAATATTTTTATAAAATTTTCAAAACTTTTTGTATTTTAACTGAATATAAGAGTTTACATCAATAAACAAATTTTAAATATAATCATACTTTTATAATCTCATTTTAAGACTTTTATGTCAATTCATAAATACTTACATAAATTTATTTCATTATGAACATTATTAATAGTTTTTTATTACCATAAACAAAACTAACCCAAATGGATCAAATAACATTCATTTTGTTATTATAAAAGTTTTCATATTCACAAGATTTTTTAATTGCTCATGGTTTTCAAAGTAAAAATACTTTAAATATTTCATTATATAAAATTATAGATGATAAATTATTTGTACAAACTATGAATTAAATCATATACATAACAAAAAATCATCACAATGTGATCAAAATTGTGGCATCAATTTTGGCTTATGATTATTCTAAGTTAACTATAATAATCCATATCATACCTGTAAATCATGTAGATTTAACTATCAAAGTTTTCTAATTTATAATGATGACTTTTAATGAAAATCAACTATTTCAAATGTTATTATGAGTTTTCAATGCATATATTAATTGTCCAATGGCCAATTCCAAGTTCACTACTACTGAAACTTCTAAATTTAATTTCAAAATTTTATGAAAACTTTATTTCTCTACTATTGTGTAGCTTATATATCTCTGTTATTTATCACTTTTAATTGGTCATAATATTTTCGGATATATAATAAATTCAAACTTTACTCATATGACTAATATACCTGTGTACAATAAGAGTCTATAGTGTATTTAACTCTAATTTTAAGTACTTTTATAATTATTTTGTGATCAATATGTCATATCTAGATCACCATATCAATGCAAATCATGAAACATGAATGCAAATAATCATTTTCATAAAATCGTATAAACAATAATATAATATAAGTTCTATTCATATTTCATGCAAAAAATTCATAATGAATTTGCATTAGTTAAATTATTGATTGGTCAGCTCTAAAGCTTACGGCTTTCATAAACCAATATTATTATCTAAGCCCATATATTAATATGATGTATAATCAACCACATCCTTACCATTGTCGTGAAATTATTGAAAACCTCATAAAATTATTCACTTTTCATTTTAACAACTTATAAAAAGGCCATTTTTCAAGTATAAGAAGCAAAAATATTTTCATTATCTTTAACCAATAATGTATTAATTGGATGATGGCATTCTATTTTCTTAGTCTAACCTTTCTTATATGTATAAGAAAGAAAATCTATCTCATACAATTCATTTTGGTAACATATAGCAAATTATACTAATGTTTTTCATGCCATCACAAAATGAAATTAAACACATGCACGTATTAGTGTTTTTGAAACATTGAATTTGCATGTTCTTTTCTAATTTATAAACATGCCGAATTAGATATTGATAAGCATCCTTCAAAATGCTAGTAACTGATAAATATTTTAATATTTTTTAATGACATGAATTTTCTTTCAATCAATATCTTATATACAAAAAGCAACAATGTTTTTTTTTTTTTTTTTTTGTAACAATTGATCAACTCTTTGATGATTATTTATGATTTTCACTTTGTGATTGTTTATAATAAAATTTTATTTTATAAAATCACTATTAGTGTAATCATCCAACAAGTAAAATACATGTCACATTACTTATGTTTCTAATAATAACAATTATTTAGTTATATTATCCACCAATTAATCCATGAAACACCATATCTTAATAATAATTATTCACATATATCAATTTAATTTTAATTAGTTTTCATGAAAATTAAACACTAGTTAAAATTTGAACCAATAGTAAATTTTAAAAATATATATTTTAACATTTGATTTATAAAACAATTAACAAAGATAGAATTATACAAAATAGTTTGACTCAACTTATTATCTCAATTTTGGTGCTATGATTTAATAATAAAACTAATATTGTAGCCAAATTTTATTTTATGCATATATTCTTTACTTGTATCTAATTTCTCATGATAAATTTCTTTACCCATTTCTAATTGTTTTCATAGAAACTATGAGATAATTTGCATGTTATATATATAATCGAGACATGATAATTAAATAATCGATCATTCCATTAGAACCTAATTTAATTCGTTACTTGATCACAAGTGATAATTTTTTTGGTCATAAATCGATTTATGTATTTTTCTTTTATGTTTTCAGGCTATTTCCTATCACAATCTTTATAAGCATCAAATTTTTAAATAAATATAATACAATTTATTAAATCTAATTGTAGAGTTAATTTTAGTATATATATATATATATAAACTTATGCAATATAATCAATATTTTGTATGTTGTATTTTGACTTTACATGCTAATAAAATAATTATTAACGTGTTTCTCTCATTCGGTTAATCTTTTTATTAGTTATTATGCAAAAAATAAAATATATACCTCTAATAAAGATTTTTATGAAAATTAACGTTTTAGTCTATAGAGACATTAATCTGTAAACACTTTGAGCCTTCTCTAATATTAATCTCTAAATCATGCTAATTTCTTTTCATTATATCTTTTTCATACGAAATATAAATTTATCATAATTACTTTTAAATTATTAAAAAAAATAAATAAAAATAATAATAATAAAAATTTTTAACTTTGAAGTGTTACAAACACTTTCTTAAAAGTAATTATGCATTTAAGATATAATAAAACCTTAAATTTTTTAATAAAAAATAATTAAAATTATTATATTAAAATATTTATTTATAATAAATAAATAAACACAAAATTTTATTCAAATAATTATGAATTTTTATATAATCATAATATTTATGAATAATAATTTATTTATATTTAAATAATTATAATTTTTTATCATACGATAATTATTTAAAATATAAATAAAATTAATAAAAAAATTAATTTTATTTATCAATGATTAAATTTTTTATCTAAAATAAAATATATCACATTCTAATCAATCAACATAAAATTGCAACACATATTCCCTTTCTGGCCATTCCTTTTGCGATTCCAGGGAGATTATCTTTTATGATGACAAATATCTCCCACGGTCATCCTCAGGTGACATGATTCTTTTTTTTTTCTTGCCTAATTTTGTTTGTTTTCCCAAGTTAAACCAGACTATTTGAATGGCCGTACCTCTGTGCGTAAGCTCATTAGAGAGTGTTGTGCAAAACGTGTGATTTCAGATCACCTCAAACGTCATCATGGGTGAGTGGATTCTTGCGGTCAATCTGATTGGGGGTTTGTCATATGATCATTCAACGAAATTAAATGCTTATTTTCCCCAATTAGATTTGCATAGCTTATTCATAAATTTGTAAGGCGATCAGTTTACCATATGCAAACGTAAATTACGTAGCAAAAATGGATTATCCGTGTCTGTTTGAGATAAAAAGAGAAAGTTGAAAAATGAAAAAGGAAAAGCAGCAAGCCACAAAATTGGTTTATGAGGGGTCCGCCATGAGCATTTCCAGTTCTCCACGTTCAGTAGTGAACAAGTGATACCTTATTAAAGGTATTAAAAAAAAAAAAAAAGAAGCGAAAGACTTCCGCGTCTGATACGCTATGTTTTAGTGGATTTTTATTGTAATCTCATCCTGCAAGACTTGTATTAATAAATTAAATATGTTTGGAGGAGGAGATATCAAAGTTGATATTTAGATTATCTCCACGTGGCATTTTCTTATTTTTTCTCCAAAGTTTAAGAAAACGTCAAAGGAAGGCATTTTCTTCGAAAAATAACAAAAAAAGTAGCCTCTAACTATTAGGTCTGAAAGATGTGGACTGTTTGATTTGATTAAATTCAGAAGGCCCGAGAAAATTAAAATTGAATCCGTACTACTTAATAACGACAAACGGCGTCGTAGCCTTACTTCCCTACAAAATAATGACAGACACAAAGCATCTGCCACCAAACCCCCTCGGAGCCCAAAGACTAATCCTAGTCAAAACTTAAACCTAACCCTGGTTAATATTTCACCGTTACGATCAACCCACGTGTTCATCTCTCAACGGTCCAGAACCCTTTCCTTCCTATATAACCCCCTCACTCTTGTTTAAAACCCTAACTACCCTTCAAAACAAAAAAATCCCCCCATCTACCGATCTTTCTTCACCCAAAATCTCACCATGGCTTCAAACCCCAAGGTGTTTTTTGACATGACCATCGGTGGCCAACCCGCTGGTCGGATTGTGATGGAGCTCTTTGCCGATTGCACCCCTCGCACGGCCGAGAACTTCCGTGCCCTTTGCACCGGTGAGAAAGGTGTCGGCCGTAGCGGCAAACCCCTCCACTACAAAGGCTCTTCTTTCCACCGTGTGATCCCTAATTTTATGTGCCAAGGAGGCGACTTCACCGCCGGAAACGGCACCGGAGGTGAATCCATCTATGGAGCCAAGTTCGCCGACGAGAACTTCATCAAGAAGCACACGGGACCCGGTGTCCTTTCCATGGCTAATGCTGGACCCGGAACTAACGGATCTCAGTTTTTCATTTGCACGGCCAAGACTGAGTGGCTCGATGGAAAGCACGTCGTGTTTGGACAAATTGTTGACGGCATGGATGTGGTTAGAGCCATTGAGAAGGTTGGGTCCAGCGGTGGAAGGACTTCTAAGCCTGTTGTTATTGCTGACTGTGGACAGCTTTCTTAAGAAAAGAAAAGAGACAAAACTGATGTTGTTGATGTCTACTTTAGATGGTGTTTCATGTCTTGAGAGTTTTTAATATCTCTGTCCTTTAGACTTGTTTTTCTGCTTTTCTTTTTGTGGTCACTGGGTTTGGATTTGGTGTTTCTCGTGTGTTTTTATGAACTACCATTAATAAGATGCGCCTTTTTATAATAATTTTCTTCTTTTTTCTCCCATATTTTTCGTTCCTTGAAAACAATGATGAAGATGAAATGGGACTAGTGCTGCTGTGGTATGTGCACGGTGTTGATGGTAGAACTCAAGGCGATTATGTTTGGTCAGCGACCGTGGATAAAACGAAGTCTGTATGGTCATTGTCAATTGTGGAAAAAGTATTCCCGTTATCCAATAAAAACCTAAGATTCCTAATAATAAACCAAAATCGCCTATCCGATTAGTTACAAACGCTTTTTGACAAGCGTTTGCCGCAACAGGTCGTGTGAACCAAAACCCTATTAATAGATAAGAACACATTCCAACCAATTCCCAAAAAATATAAATTTGTATCAAATTAGAACTAGTAACTAATCCCAACATTGAAGTATTGAATAAACTCATATAAGCAAAAAATCTCAAATATCCTTGATCATGAGACATATAATTGTCACTATAAATAAGAACAAAAATTCCAACAGTAGTGATTAATATTGACATAATAGAGGTAAGTGAGGTTTTTTAGGATAAAGAGATAGACTGTAAAGAGTGGACGTGAATTAGGAGTGTAAATGATACATTAATACTCGTAAGTTACTCAAGTTGAAATTCGATTCGATTATTATTGAGTCGAGCTTGAGTTCGAGTAATTTGATTTATCAATCAAGTCGAATTTGAGTATTTTTATACTTGATTCAAGTAGTTCGTGAATCTAATAGAAAATTTTTATATTTAAATATATTTTTATTATTTTAATTAATAAAAATATTTCGAATTCGAATTCGAATATAAATAATCGAACTCTTATATAGTATACGAATTGAATTTATTTTTACATATTAATTGAGCTTAATCGAACGAATTCGAGTAGTTTGATTTCGATCACTAATCGAGCTTAAACTAAAAAAATAAAATTCGATTAAATTCGAATCGAATATTGAACCGTAAGTTATGAGTCGAATTCAAATTCAAACCTTTCATTGTATCGACTCGACTCAATTCGATTATATTCTTAATTCGATTACATTCTTAATATGAACTAAAATTAAAAGACAAAAATAAAAATAAAAATATCCATTTTATCTCGAGGCGGTTTCTTGATTTCTGATAACGACTTTAACCCAACCCGATGCCTAGAACCATTTGATAATTATCTTAGGAAATGTGGTCCACTATGCCGTTTGAGATCTGATCTGATCCACAGATGAAGCCGTAAGAGAAACAAGAGCAGGCCAGGACAGGCCAGGCGAGGAGAGGTGAGATTGAGAATCTCCCTCGTCTTTGTTTTGCTTTTGCGATGCAAAAAATTCCGTGATGTGGCGTCCCACCACCGCTCGGTGATGTAATGAGTAATTGTCTAGTCTTTTATTCGAGGGCGTCTTCTTTGGTGGGGGTCACTCATTCTTTGGTAATATATTTTGCCTTTGCTGATACACAAATAGAACAACGGCGCATGCGTAATAATGATTTCGATTTGTAGCCTGTTTTCTTTCAAATTGTTTTTCTTTTGGTTCTCTTTTTCAGCGAAGCTTTAAAAATGCATTGGGTATAAACTCCTTTTTACGCTAAATATGGTAATAGAAAATCTCCACTGATAATGATAATGATTACTTAACAAACATAGCTAATTTGCCCCTTTGTATAGCTGCAAATAGATGGGGTACCTTATTCTCCAAGCCATATTCCTCTGCTTACGTTTATGATGATGTGAATTTTTCATACCAAATTCACTGCCTCTTAAAAAGAGATAAATATTGTTTCCTTTTTAGTTCAGTTTAAGGCCTAAGATTTTGGGTGTTCTGGCGTTGAATTTCCATCACATCATCCAAGTAAACTCTAGGCCTATTAATGACCCATATACTAAGGTTCTTTTCCTTTGGGCTTACCCTAAGATTGAAACTTGGTTTCTAGGCCGCGAAGCTTGTTTTAGATTTGCATTCCTAATAATGGAATGATACTATTCCTTTTTCAACATGAAAATGAAAGAAACTGAAACCTTTTCACCTGTCTAGTGTTTCGGGCGAGTGTTTCTTAAGATAGGTGCTCTAATCTTCAATCTACATTAACAATTTTAAAACTTCTGGTTTCCACATATTGTAAGTGTAAATATTAAAGTGACTCTGACAATGCTATGCACCTTAGGGAAGCTTCCTTTTAATAATAAATGGATCAGGGGAAGCTTCCTTGTATTCAGTTCATCTCATTCCCTCCCTTCTCTATTTATGTATAGTTCCTCATTATTTGATTATCTAATGCCTTGAATTCTTTTAGTGTAGTTAGGCCTCAATGCTATGCTCATTACCCAAATTTATTTCTATAAACCTAATTATTATATTTTATTCTTTGTGGCCAAATGTATTTTTTATTTTAAAATTAATATGAAAGATTTGAATTCTATTGTTTCGATGAAAAAAACCTATAAGTCAAAATATATTGTAAATCTCAAAATAAATTTACAAATTTTATCAAATAAAACTACTAAAAATAAAGCTCGAACTTAAATATTATAAATGATTTATAAATTTATTTGAATCTAACTATCTAAACTTTACAAACAGATTGTTGGAATCTTATCAATTCAACCTTACTCCATCCACAAATTCTAACTTTTTGATAAAAAACCAAATGTGATTTGCGCGTAAGTTTAAAAATTTTAATTTATATACTCAAAATTACATTTGCTACCCATCAGATTTTGATACGCCCTCCTCAAGCCGACAACTTCTTGAAAGGGCAATGTTGTCAATCTGTTTTGAAGCTAAACTCTTAAATAGTACTCCCGATCAACGATAAAATGAAGGCAGAGTGTACGTTAGTAAAAACCGTGTGAAGCAGAAGATTATTTAATCTATTTATGGGGGCCGCACAAAATTAAGAAGTTTCCGACAACACGACGGAGCTAATAAAAAAAAACAAGGGCAAAAGAGTTCCTGTTTAGAGGGAAAGAGGGTTTTAGATCTGTCTCTCTCTCTTTTCACTTTCACATTTCTGTCTGGAAAGTCACAGCTAAACTAAATCTCGATTGAAAGCGTTGTCGTTGCAGAGTCAAAAGCCGTTCGTTCGTTCTTTTTGGCCCTCGCTTCAATTCTAGCTCTTTTCCTTGGCGGGAATTCGATTCCCCAGCTTCCATTTTTGATCGTTAGAAGCAAAAATATTTGAAGCGTTGATTGATGTGATCAAAGAGAGAAAAAGAGATGGGATTGTCGGATAATTCGAAGGGATTGATATTAGCAGTGGCGTCGAGCGCGTTTATCGGCTCCAGTTTTATTTTGAAGAAGAAAGGGCTCAAGCGTGCCGGTGCTTCGGGTACTCGCGCAGGTCTGCTATTATTTTAATTTAATTATTTTCAATTTACTCCTCTTTCAAAAAAATGATTCTTATTTTTAATCCATGATTTAATGCGTAACTGTCGCTTCCAATTTTAACTCACCATTGAGTTTGATTGCTTTGCTTAAATTTGGTTTTCACTCTTTTTTTTTTTTTTTTTTACTTTTATATCAATGGAGTGATACGATTTTGTTAATTGGATTAACTAATGGATATAGATGTTGAATGTGTGTAATTCAGAGCTTACTTATGAATTTGTGAAATTCATTTTTCAGATTTAAAACGTTCAATTTAGAAGGAAATTTAGGAAAAAACTCCAGATATGTGAATCAGTTCATACTAGTTGCTTTCTTTAATTTTCAGATTGGATCATAAATTAGAAAAGAATTTCTCAAAAAAATCAGAATTTTTAATAATAACATAACCATAATTACTATTTGATGATGTAAACTTTTCAAAAGTAGTAAAATTTAATGTGTTTTTGGTTTTTAAGTACTGCATTGTGTAAATCAACATATAGTTATTGAGATTTTTCAATATAAAAATGGATAGTATTATTGATGTAATTGACTTTGTTTTTTTTTTTTCTGTATGGTATAATGTAGGAGTTGGCGGTTATACCTACTTACTAGAGCCGCTTTGGTGGGCAGGCATGATAACAAGTAAGTGTATCACTTGCAATAAGAATCTTTCCTTCTCTAAAGATAATAAGCACAAAATCATGTTCCTTCTTAAATTGATTATCAAGATCCATTTTGGTGAACCTTTTTGTGCAAATAGTGATTATCGGCGAGGTTGCAAATTTTGTGGCTTATATCTATGCTCCTGCAGTTCTAGTTACCCCACTTGGTGCACTAAGTATTATTGTGAGGTAAGCTTCATTTGTTTGCAGTGACTTATTTAGATTTGATTGGAACTATTTTCAACAACTGACAAGTTTGATAAATTTGAACAGTGCCTGTCTGGCACACTTTATGCTGAAGGAACGAATTCAGAAAATGGGGATTGTAGGATGTGTGTCCTGCGTTGTAGGTTCAGTGGTGATTGTAATTCACGCACCACAAGAGCATACTCCAAGTTCGGTACAAGAAATTTGGACCCTAGCAACACAACCAGGTTTGGCCCTTTTCTTTATATTTGTTATTCTTTGTTGTGCAACACTTATCATTAGTCATTAATTACTGTTCCTTGTCGTGTTTCTGTTGGCAGCTTTTCTAATTTATGTAGCAGCTACACTTTCAATAGTCTTAGCTTTGGTTTTGCATTTTGAACCTCGTTATGGGCTCACAAATATACTGGTTTATTTGGGAATATGTTCCTTAATGGGTTCTCTTACGGTATGGAGATCTCCTTATGAACTGTTATTGACAATTCTGAATAGCACCATGATAGTTACTATGCTGTAAGCACTATGTAAAAGCATTTCTTGGGTGCTGTGCAGGTTGTAAGCATCAAAGCCATTGGAATTGCTATAAAGCTTACATTGGATGGGATAAGTCAGATAGCTTATCCTCAAACTTGGTTTTTTCTTACAGTTGCTGCAATCTGTGTCATTACACAATTAAATTACCTCAACAAGGTTAGTATTATTGAATTTGTGCCTTGGTGGCCGTCTATTCCTAAAAAATTTCATCTTCCTTTTTAACGTCATTTGAGTGAATGACCATCATGTACCGAAAAAACATACCCACTACCTATTTAGCTGGCATACTTTTGTCACATGATACGTTAATTATTGCATATTAGGTACGACAACATAATAAATTGAATTCATAATTAAACATATAGATGAATATCACCTCCTCTAGATCCTACAACTACTTACAAGTTTTAAATATTGTGCTAAGAAATTTACATGCAAAGTGTAGCTTCTTCCAAAATATCCTCCGTTGAATGAATTCTGCATTTAATCCTTTTGTATTACCCGGTGAAATTTAGGTACAGTAGATGTGTTTTGAACATGGAAAGTATCCTTGTAGCATGCAATCAGCCCTGAGTATATCCATGACTATGAGCCTTCTCCTTTTCTTCCTCATGTCAGGCACAATGTTTTCAAAGGCATATCTTTCAAATAGAATGGCTGGTTGGCATTTGTGTTTGACTGATGTTTATGTGTCTTTGTTGTAGGCCTTGGATACATTCAATGCTGCGATTGTTTCTCCAGTATATTATGTGATGTTCACAACTTTGACCATTATTGCTAGTGTAATCATGTTTAAGGTAGGCTATTTAGTTCATACTTCTGAATTTGGTTCTGATGCCTAATTCTGGTTGTAATTTATGTTCAACAACAGTAACTGATGAGCACAAACTGAGTGTTGTTATCTTGTTCTTTCTTACAGGACTGGTCAGGCCAAAATGTGAGCAGTATTGCTTCTGAGATATGTGGATTCATCACTGTGCTCTCTGGAACAATCATACTTCATGCAACAAGAGAACAGGAACCACCTCCTCCAGTAGGTATGTGTAGAACTTATCCTTTTTTCCCCCTCTTTTTGCTTTCCTCTTTTTCAGGCAGTTAAATACAAGTGGGAGAGGTCTAAACTTGAAACTATAAATTTCATGAGTTTCCTTCTTTCTGCTCCTCCTTTTTCTTGCTTAAACTTTAAAGCCAGATCAAGAGAAAATTGATATCCTGGTGAACAATCATTTTGCTACTAGTAATTTTGCGCTGTTATTGTCATCTTTGGTGAGTTAAACCCATCTATCTTTCTTAGCTTCGCATTGGACTATCTGTTTAAAATATGCCTTTTGGATAATTTAGTGGGTATATGCACTATGGAGGCAAGAGCTGGGGCTTCTTACATTGAAAAAGATGTAAAGAGTTTTTTAAAAGGAGGGGGGGGAGGTTGCTGGGAGTAACTTCCTATTTATTGCAGGCTGTTCATCATATACTTTTAGATATAATATACTTTTTGATGCCTCTGTGATGAGAGGTCTCTATTTCAGAACCTCCGGTGTGGTGTGGTCATTGATCTATAAAGATTCTGTGGGACATCTTATCTTAGTAGGTTCTTTATTGGCCACAATGATGTCCTGGATGGGATGGGTCATCCTTTCCCCACTATTTCACCTATTTATTATTTCCTTGGTTAAGCAAAATGAATTTTGACTCTCCCTTGTATGTGCCTGATAACCATATATGTTGAAACTTTATATGATATTTTTGAACTACTCAGCTAGTCGTTCATTGAATTGTATGCGTAAAATGAGACTGCAAACATGGAGTTGGTTCAACTTTCCATGCAACCTGTTTGAAAATGCTTCTTCAATAATTCAATCAAATAATCGCGCATCTTTTGCATCTTTACCTTTTCAATTGAGCTTATGATAGAGCCTTCTGCCTTTACATTGTAGGAACCGTGACATGGTATGTTAGTGGTGATTCCATGAAGAGTCCTGAGGATGAACATTTAATCACAATGCGGAGTTCAGATTATTATGAGCCATGAGTTTTCTTTGCAAGATGAGTGTTCTGATCTTCCTGTATTGGCCCAACATTGATCTGGATAGAATATTTGGAAAGCAAGAGAATTCCTTTATTCTCCAAACAAAATTTGGGGGTGTCGACAAAAGCCAGAAAGGTAGTTTACTTGATACCTTCCCTGACGACTAGCAAAGGAGACCCCAATTGGAATCAGTTAATGCGTCCTGAATTCTGGCATTATTGTCAACTTGCAGTATCAATTCCCATTTCACAGTGGTGATCTTACTTCCTTTGCTGCGATGATAGTCCATCTCATTTGTACATAAAGAAAGCTATTCTTTTCCCCCCCTTTTTTTTTTCTTTTGGTCAAGGGTTGAGGGGTTGCAATGATTCGGGTTTGGTTTGTTGATTCTTTCTCATTTTTCTTTTATGTGTCAAATTCTTTTTGTTTAATAGCCTTGAAGCATAGAAAAATCTTAGCCGTGGTTGATCCAAATGAAGCTTTGGGTGAACTGAAATCAAGTTTTTGATTATCCGTCCATAACGTTCCAAATCTTTGGATTCCAGGAACCAGCTTTAGAAGTAAGCAAAGCAGTCTCCTTTTTCAAAAGTGAGGCTGAGAATGAGATGGCTGTCGTTTTACAAAAACAATTCAAGCAGAGGAGCCGCATCCATCCGATGTCTGGCACACTGCTTAATCTAATGGGCTACAATTAGAATCTAAACTGTTTAGAAGCTTTAAGATTAATTACCGTGTAAGCCATGCCATGCCAACTTTGAGATTTTTAATTAGAATTACTTTTAACAATTTTCCTTACCTGCATTCAGTAAAATTGTTTAAAATATTTTATCTATATTGGTACATTCTTCTTAAGTATGTCAAAAATAAATTTTTTTGAAATTCCATCCGTCCAAAAATTATTATCCTCTATTAAGTTTTGTCAAATTAATTTAATTTTGATAATTATTTTAATTAAATTATAAAATAAAAAACTTAAAAAATAAAATTTGTAAAATTTGAAATTTAAAATTTAAAATTTAAAATATTTTAAAATATTTTTTAAAATTTAATTTAATGCAATATTTTAAAAAATTAAAATTAAAGATGAGTTGATTTGATAAAAAATAAGAGACGATAATTTTAAGATAATAGAAGTATTATTTCTTAACATAAAATAATATCATAATTCAAAATAAAAAATAATTGTAAATAAAATTTGATAACTATGTCAAATATTAAATTAAATCTCAAGTTATATAGGACAATAATTTGTATACAAGGTGGCGTGGCAAGCAGAAAGACATATCCTTTGTATGATTTGTATGGTTACATAAAAATACATGTCAACAGTAGTACAATTTTCCCACTCCGGTAAGGAAAAGAAAAACAAATAACTTCCAGGAATCAAAATCCCAACATTCCATCTTCGTCTTATAAATTTCCTCCACCGTCCGATCTAATCCCATCATCTCCACAAATAAAAAACCTTCCCCTCCCATTCGCTCCCGTCTAGCGCAAAACAAAACCAAAACAAAAAACGCAAGCTTTCAAGCAAGAGCCAACACATCCCAAAAACAAAAAACCGACCATGGCGGCAACTGTCTCGTCTCCTTGGGGCAAACCCGGCGCGTGGGCTCTCGACGCCGAAGAACATGAAGCTGAACTCGAACAACAGAGCCGCGTCGATTCTTCCACAGAAAAGCTCGCGGATTTCCCTTCTTTAGCCGCCGCCGCCACCACCAAGACCAAGAAAAAGAAGGGCCAAACCCTATCTCTCGCTGAATTTACTACCTACGGCTCTGCTAAGCCGAGTGAGCCGGCTCGCCTCACTCACGAGGACCGCCGCCTACTCCCAACCGGTCCTCGCCAACGTTCCCCTGAGGAACTCGACCGTAACCGTCTCGGTGGCGGTTTTAAATCCTACGGCTCGAACAGATACAATTCCAATGGCGACGATTCGTCGAGTAATAGTAGATGGGGATCTTCTAGGGTTTCGAATAGAGATTCCAATAGAGAAATTGCTCCCTCACGCGCTGATGGGATCGATAATTGGGCGTCGGCTAAGAAATTGACTCCTACTGGGAATGGATTTGGGAGTGGATTTGAGAGGAGAGACAGAGGAGGAGGAGGATTTTTTGATTCGCAATCGAAAGCTGATGAAGTAGATAACTGGGCAGCTAGTAAGAGTAATAAAATCGTCAATGAGGCACCGCCACGGAGATTTGGTGGGGGATTTGAGAGAAGAAGCAGTTTCGATTCACTTCAATCGAGGGATTCGCCGAGGGATTTGGACAACTGGGGAAAGAAAAAAGAGGAGACTGTCAGTGCTGCTGGTAGTGGTGGGGTCAGGCCAAAGCTTTTGCTTCAGCCACGTACTGTTCCTGTGACAGAGGAGGGTAAAAAGGAGGTGACTGCGCCCAAGCCCAAAGGGGCAAATCCTTTTGGCGAGGCGAGGCCTAGAGAGGAGGTGTTGAAGGAAAAGGGGAAAGATTGGAAAGAGATTGATGAGAAGCTGGAAGCTGTGAGGATTAAAGAGACAGTCGCGGTTACAGAGAAAGAGAGAGGAGGAAAGGCAAGTTTCGGGAATGGGCGTGCTCCCGTTGAAAGGAGCTGGAGGAAGAGTGAGTCTGCTGAGACCGCTGCTGCTGATGATCAACCTCGAAGGTCTGTTCAATTAGCTGAAATTTGATTGTTCAATAGATATCGCTATATATATTTTTTGGTTTAAGATATTGATGGGTTATGTAGGAACATGTTTTCTTCATTATTAAGCTTGTTGGTTTCACATATTAACTGTTTATATATTTCAAAGTTGGGTTCTTTCATGGTCTTTCATTTATTATTTCAAACTCATTTTGATCTTAAGAAACAGAATAAAAGTAGCATAATTGTATTTTTTTTGCCTGCCACAATTGCTTTAGAACAGTGTTTTCCCATGTTTGTAGCAATAGTTTAACTGTATTTCTTTTAGAGTACAGATTCTAGGAAATGAAATTGATTTTAACTAGCTAAAAGGACAAATAACCATGAATTATTTTCACCTCTCCTGTTCTTTTTATTTCCTAAATAAGTATCAACATTTATGATAAATCTAAAGCATAGATGATGAAGTAATTTCCTTCAAGTGAAAGCCCATTGTATAAGAAAAGAGTTCGAGAACTTCTTGTTAGTTGTTATACTTCTCTATGACCAATAAATCATGTTAATTAACAAATTGATGGTTGGTTTCAAACCCCTTAAACAAACATGAATGCACATTTTATCTTTTCCACGGAAAACCCCCTGCCTATTAGATCCCTTTTTGGAATTTTGAATGAGTTTGAGTTCACTTTGTGGATAACTTTGTGTTAATTAAATGTGTTACGACAGCATGACATGCTAACTATGGTCTATTTTTCTTCTGGAATCCAGTGCTGAGAAAACAGAGAATGACCATGTTGCAGAGAATTGAAGATAGATACTGACAAATGTGAAGCTTAGGTCCATAGAAAGGGAGAAGAAAAACTTCTTTTGAGCTTTTTTTATGTCTAATATGTTGAGTTGATGAGTCTTGTTTGTTTTTTGTGGTGACTGTTATTACTGTCAATGCAATATTTAAACAATTTTGGTAGGCCTTAAATCAGTTGCATTGCCTTGGTCAAACATGTCCTTTTTGTATGAGTGTTGCTTCATAGTTGCCCATGTTATTAGAGTTACTATTTTTATTGTTTTTTTTTTTTTTTTTCATATTTTGAGCATGAGTTAAGATTATAATTGTTTGAATTGGTGACCAAATAATTCAAAATTTTTTTATTTGTTTATTGATTTTTTGTTCTTAGCTACTCTGGTCTTGAGCACCATCTGATTCTGATATTTCTAATACTGATGTATAATGTGCATGTCTGCATGGTAGCCTATATTTTTGGGTACCTTTTTATTCTTAGACTTGGGGGGTCTTGGAAATTGAATGAAGCAAGTTTGAATTTTTGTTGCCATGGAGCTTTATGATCCAACAATGGGATGTTTTGCTTTCTGGACTGCATTCAGGTTTGCATAAAAGATTTCTTAAATTCTCCAACATTTAGAATAAGTTTGAGCTTAAAGTCTATTGGAACCTTAATATTTTGACATGTGTATGAAACAGACTTCTGCATTTAGATCTAACCTAATACGTTTAACCCCAAGCATGGCCACGGTATACTCAAGGACAAGCCATGCTGTTTTTTCGCATTCTAGTGCGGAAGTGATAACAATAGAGTGACTTTCTAAAGTAAGGGAGCTTCAGGCAAATGTTGTGCTGCAGTATGCTTGTTATGAGGTAAGTTTATCTCCAATTGATAATTGTAAGAAGGGTTGTCTGAGATGAGTTACAGATATTCTGGCATGAGAACCTTTTTGTTTTTGTTTTTTTTTCCTTTTTGCCCCCTTTTTTTTTTCAAGTAGGCACGGCAGAATTTATACCCTGCTGAGATGCCTTAAGATTTGCCCAAGTTGTTTTCAGTCTTGGTTGTCGATTGAAGCTCTATTTTCAAGTACATCTACATTTGTATGTCGCAAGGAAGGCAATACAAGAGAAATGGAAAGCATGATTGAAGGTAAATGGGACTGCCATTGCTAGCTACAAGAAGCCCATGGGATTTGAAGCCTTAATCTAAAATGATAATATATTTTCATGCCCCGTCTCACCTACGTCTTTCATACATTCCCACCATGGTCCACCAAACCGCGTTTAGGTAATATGGCGCCAAGATGTTGCCCGCCATTACAGCTTTCCCCTGAGATGTGTTCGATTAGATTATGAAAAGCACTCTTCTAATAAAAAATTCCGGATTCTTTTCTATCTGGTGTAAAATTTCGACATACCAATCAGGTCCGCGCCATGCGGGCATGAGGATATAGAAGTCCAGCAATTATTAAAAATGAGAAGTAACAACATAACTCGGGACATGTGTTATGCAGTTGAAAAGAAACGGATTGGAGTTACAATAAAAAGTTAGCAAGGAAACTTCGTGTCTAGGCTTTTCACATGAATTTGCTCATGCCCCTCTTCATCAATACACCTCTCTGCATAGACGGCCAACTAAATACTAATTCCCTATACCGACATCGTTCAAAATATTACGGCTCTAGAGACCACCCATGTCCACACATATACGTGATGAAAGGACTCTTGTACTGAAAATCTAACATTCATTACGCTAAAATAAATAGTTTTTTCCTTTATAAAATGCATAGACATGCTGATAACTAATGCTGTGGACGGCATCACCATCCAGAGTGATTTGGTTTGATAAGTTCTACTTTCACACCGTAACTCAGACTAAATGACTTACGGAATGTTGGTTGTTCCATTCATCACTGTATGAAATAAATTTGTAGGAACCTTAGCTGTCAATTGTCGGGGTCATAGTCAGAATTCAGATCTTCATTCTGATGCCATCCTTTTCAACTTTAAAAGTCTAGACATTTGCTTCTAATACTTGTGTAAAAGTGCATTTGATTACCTCTGTAACAGTTAAATCTATCTGCTTGCTCGCCTGTAATCACAGGATTTTAAATGTGTTTGTCCTTACTGCTATTCAAAAATTTCCAAACATCATTAATATAGGCAGTTGAGGGTTGGAAAAGAAGACACCACTACTCTTTATTTACTTCCCCTTGCTAGTGCAGGTACACATCCAGTAGTGTTGATAAAATCCATCCTTTTACTTTATGATCTGCCTGCTTTCCAGCTTCTTCTGTATTCTCCAAGTTTCATGGATTTGGCACAAAAGCTCCTTTTCACAGCTTTGCTCATTTTTGCAGCAGCCATAGATGGGACACAGGCAGTTGCCATGGTTTCTGGTACGGTCTTCTGTGACCAGTGCAAAGATGGCCAAAGATCCCTCTTCGATTATCCCCTTCCGGGTAAGATCAATCCCCTGTTACCGTAGATAGCTACATTGTTAATTACACCTACTTTTCTTTTGTCTTCTTTGCCTGTGATTGGTGTATTACTGTTAAAGAATGCTTTTCCCTTATAACTGAAAATTATCCATCAACCACGCTAATGGCTGGATTCTTTAACAAGGAATAAAGCATTTCATATTTGCATTCAATCGAAATATTCCGAGCACTTGAATTCCAAGCTATTCTAGACTTTGATTGGACCAACAAGCTTGCAATGTTATAAAGTACTTTTTAAAAAACTTTTATCAGCTATTCTTAAGGCCAAAAGTAAAAGAGGTCAATTGTTATTGGACATATGTACTCTCCTGAAATACCGTGTGAAATTGAAAGTGTTTTCACGTCCAAGGTATAATTTTGGACACTGTAAACGCAAATGGTCTACACAATCACATATTGATCACTTTCCTACTTGCAGGAATTAAGGTCACGATCACCTGTGCTGATGGTGAAGGACAAGTGACAATGTCAAGGGAAGAGACCACAAATATGTTTGGAAACTATTTCATGAGGTTTGATGGCACACCAGACTTAAGTAACTGTAATGCCCAGGTTTCAGGCAGTGGACAAGGGTCAAATGATTGCGGTGCAACCGCTGGCCCTGCACAAAAACTTAGACTTATGTTCAGGATGTTTGGCATGGAGTTTTTTGGTGTGGATTCTTTGCTTTCTGAACCTGCCCAGCCCATGTCGTTCTGCCCAAGGTCAGCTACTCCTGTGCCTGGACCTGTAATAACACCTACAAGGCCTTCTGCACCAACAGCACCTACGGGGTCTCCTCCAACATTCAGGCTGCCCCCATTGCCACGATTGCCTCCGCTGCCACCATTGCCACCATTGCCACCATTGCCACCAATGCCACCATCGCCCTTCTTAGAAGCATCAGCTTGTTCACATCAGTAAGTTCTCTTTTGGGACCTTTATGTTTAGGGGTCATTTGTCACGACTCATTTTGGCGCAATGGAGTCTAAAGTAAACTGTAAAGAAACCCCCTTGTATGGTATGAAATCTGTACTAGTAGTCTAGTACTATAAGTGTGTTACGGTGCCCCAGCCTATTTAAATTTGAATAATCATAGGACCTAATTTCATCAAGAAAAGATGGTTGACATTGTTCTCAGCCAATAGGGCCAAGAAAGGAATCATAGGGAAACAAAACATTTAGATATCACTAGGGCCAAAGAGGACATAAAGGCCATGGAGCCAATGCTTATGTGAATCTACAAGTGCATCAGGCTGGAGGCAAAACTCTTAAGATATATACACATGCAAGCTCACATTTCATGCTAGCATTCCACATTTGCACTTTTTGGTGAATCCATGTGAGCAGAAAACTTTAAGGTATGAAAGCTAGAGCTCCATCCTAGAACTCTAGAAGCTGACAGATCAGAGTTGTGAACTTTTATCATACTAGCGTTTCAGAATTCACAGGAAGCTTAACTCACAAAATAGTAGTCTAGAACTGTAGTTAGCAGTTAGTTGGCTGGAAATAGGACATTAAAACCTTAGTTCAACTCACAAGTTATCCATGATCTTGTTGTGGCTTTCTACTTTCCAGGTACTGGATAATGCCGGAGTACAAATGCTACTGGAGGGTACTGAACCCTGAGTCAAAGGTTGCTCTTATTTTTGGGCCACTTGCTGCCAGGCGATATGGGACTGATATGACCCTGTGGGAAGGCCTTCAAGGGAGAGGAGACCCCTATAAAACTCTCATGAGGGAAGGGACAACTGCCCTTCTCAACTCCTATAACAGTCTCCAATTCCCTTACAATTCAATTGGTGTTGTCACACATATGAATTGGGCCCTGATGGGTTCCACCAGGGGTGCCCTCATTACTGCTTTACGATTCATAAGGGCTAATTCTGGCTCCGGCGGAGTCACCTGCAAATTAACCCCTTGCAAGTGATCTATTATTTGCCACTACATTTCTGATTTTATTGGCTTTCATTTATATTTCTTTCTATAAAAACGTGATTCGTATGTCATTTTCTTATCATTCACCATGTCCAGCAGTATTATGAATCTAGAAGAGGGTCATTTTACCCATTTTCTGAGAATAAATTCGAGTCCCCAACTACATACAACACTATTAGCTATGATTTTTTTTTCCAGCTCCCAATTTTCAAAAGATATAATCAATTGCACAATCACTACTTGCAAGTGATTAGCTCCCTTAGTCCCGTTGAGCTTGATCCTCCACTTCTTCAAAAAGGAAAAAGAAAAAAAAAATAAATGGAAGCAAATTGGACAGAAACTAAGCCACAAATTGGTAAGCAAAATTGTTGTATGCACTCTGGACTCTGGAGCCTAGATACCTCCACAAGATTTTATTGTGTCAAATAACTTAGCTTCTAATAAAACAGGCAAAATTTCAAAAAGGGAAAGCAAGAATTAACCTTGTAAATCAAGTTCATGATGATAATCATGTTACCATGTAATATATATTAATTTTTTACAAATGAGATTGTACTTTAAAAATAAAAAAGTTGAAGTATTGAAATTTAAATTTTTAATCAAAATATTATTTTTTATAAATATTATAAATCATTTGAGCTAAATTTTGCATATAAAAAATATATATTAATTTTAATACAAGTATTAATTTATAAAAAAAAGATATGTACATTATTTTTCCTTTTGTTATTAGTACCGTATTATTTTAACGCAATAACTAACATCATTTAATGATTATTAATAAGGGAGATTATTTGGCTTTTAAAATTAAAGAAAGTCATCAATTTAATTGAAAACTTATAAATTTATTAAATTTTTACTTATAAATATTTTAAATGTATAAATCGCCTGTTAAAAAAAATTATAAAAAAAAATTTGAATCTAAATATTAATACATCAAGCATGGCGTTTTGCTGTTTTATTTTTCTAGCTCCTTTTAACTCTTTTAAGTTTTTTTCACTACTAAACTTTGTTTTTGTGTTTCGCCAAAAAAAAAAAAAAACTTTGTTTATGTGAATATAACCATTAAAAATCTATTAATAAATTTAAAAAAAAAAAAAAAGAAAAGGTTTGCTTTACTGCCTCAAATCATTTTAATTTATAATTTCTTTATTTTCACAAATAAAAAACTAAAGTAATTGTATCTTGATTTTTATGTATATATATACCTACAGCCCCCTCCATATATATATATATATAAAATATTTTCGGTTCTTGCTTGAAAAAACCAGTATTTGTATTTTTCTTATTGAAAACGACATAGGAAATTAAAGAAAAGAAAAACCACAATTTATCAAAAAAAAAAAAAGAGCAAAATCTCAAAAAGATAATTTAAAAAATAGAGGGATTGAAATCACCAGTGTAATAGGGCTAATTATCTGCCAGAGAAAGTCAAAAGTATTTGTTGCTCTTCTTCTTTTGCAATTGAAGTAGCAGAAACAAAATGGCGGTCAAACCTGTCCATCTCCTGTTTTCATTGCCGTTTCTACTCTTACTCTTGGTCGTCAACATCAAGGGTCATGATTTCACCATTGAAGAAGCCACCATCGAGAGCATCCAGAGAGCCTTTGCAGAGAACAAGCTGACATCACTCCAATTGGTGGATTTTTACTTGCACAGAATTGGCAACTTGAATCCCGTGCTTCGAAGCGTCCTGGAAGTCAATCCCGACGCACGGGTTCAAGCAGAGGAGGTGGATCGTGAGAGAAGGAGTAACAGTCATGGCCGTAGATCGTTCATGCATGGCGTTCCGGTGCTTCTTAAGGACACTATAGCAACGAATGATAAAATGAATACGACTGCAGGATCGTACGCCCTGTGGTTGGTCGGGACGCGGGAGTTGTAGAAAAGCTGAGGAAAGTTGGGGCTGTTATTTTGGGGAAGGCCAGTCTAACGGAGTGGTATTCTTTTCGGGCCTTGGGTAAAATTCCTAACGGCTGGTCTGCTCGAGGCGGACAATCCCAGGTCCGTCAGGATTTCCCCTCTCTCTTAACCTGATGTAATGCCCTTATTTTTTAAAACTTGGTTTGCTGGCTTTGCCTTTGCAGAATCCTTATGTTGCATGGGCGGATCCGTGTGGATCAAGCAGCGGACCAGCCATTTTGGTGGCTGCAAACATGGTGAGTGTTTCACTTGGGTCAGAGACTCATGGTTCTATTCTCTCTGCCCAGCTGACTATAACTCGGTAGTAGGTTTCAAGCCAACCGTTGGACTTACTAGCTGGGCTGGTGTTATTCCAATCTCATCCAGGCAGGATACCATTGGGTATGAATTTTCTTTTCAAATGAAGACATAAATAAGTAATCATTTCAGAAAACCAAAAAGCAAGTAATGATTAAACAAACTTCTGCAGATATGGAAATAGTTCATTGACAAATAGGAATCCTACCTACATACTCCAAGAATATCATGAAACATGCTTAAGATTCTATTAGCAATGCCATAAAAGATGAGCTTTTGACATTAACAATCTATAAATTACACGCATACAAAGTGGCATTGGCCTACTATATTACATATGAAGTAAATAGTTTTCTTTGATGATGACGTGGAAGGCCGATGGCTAGGACAGTGGCTGATGCAGTCCACTTACTGGATGTAATTGTGGGCTTTGACCCAAGAGATAGTGAAGCAACATCAGAAGCTGCTAAGTTCATTCCTGATGGTGGTTATAAACAATTTCTCAACAAAGATGGGATCAGAGGAAAGAGATTGGGGGTTGTTAGACATCCATTTTTGGACTCTTTAAATAGATCCATTGTTTCAACTTTTGGGAGTCACCTTGATTTACTCAGGTATGTATTGTGATGCTAAGCTAGCAGTAATCCACTAATTTTATTTTGTTTTTGTTTTTTTTGTAGAAATACAAGTTTAATTGCACTTAAGGTGACACTAATGTCTTGTTTGTTCCCTTTTGAAAATTATAGAGCTAGAGGGGCAACTATAATTGATGACCTAGAAATAGCAAGTATTGATATAATTTCAAATCTTGGAAGAAGTGGAGAGCTGACGCTAATGCTGGCTGAGTTTAAAAGTTCCATAAATGAATACCTAAAAGAGCTTGCAATCTCTCCTGTGAGGTCACTGGCGGACTATTGATTTCAATCAGAATAATCCTGAGTTGGTATGTATGCAACTATGCATATATATGTTTTTTTGATGTAATCAATGCCAATTTTGTCAAGAAATTTAATTGGGTTATGCAAAGCTTGCTCAATCTTCCTCAACAAAATATTTCTACTGTGTGTGATCCAGGAAAAGCTTGAAGAGTATGGTCAGCAAACTTTTATTGAATCAGGAAAGACAAGTGGGATTGGGGAGAAAGAAAGAAAGGCAATCGAGTATTTGGAAAAACTTTCAAGGGATGGATTTGAGAAACTGATGACAGACTATAAACTGGATGCATTAGTAGCACCTGGTATATCACTTTCTATGACTGTGCTCGCAATTGGAGGCTACCCAGGTATTTCTGTCCCAGCCGGGTATGATAGCAATGGCATACCCTTTGGGATTTGTTTTGGGGGGTTGAAGGGTACGGAACCAAAGCTAATTGAGATTGCTTATGCTTTTGAGCAAGCTACTAGGCTAAGAAAACCTCCTTTTTCTGAATCCTTTGATATAACCAGGGACTTTCTCTTTGGAACCGCCTAACAGATTTGATGTTTTTCTATGGAAAAAACCTCCATTTTCTGAATCCTTTGATATAACGAGGGACTTTCTCTTTGGAACCGTCTAACAGATTTGATGTTTTTGTATGGAACTGCTGTGACAATTTCTTCCTAAATCATAAACATATACTAATGTGAAATAACTGTTTCATACAATTTTTTTCTTTCATTTATTAGTATGCCTTTTTTTCCTGTTATCTTTCTGAGCTTAAAAATATCTTCAGGCTTTTGTATCAGCTGGCAATTCATATTCTGTAGCTAGTTCCAAGAGGCCATATAGTTGGGAATTCAGCTTCAGTTCATAATTCAAATTACTTGGTCCTATTTTATTTTATTTTTAAATAAATTTTTATATTTTTATTGTATTCAAATAAACTTTTATTTTAAATCAAAGAATAATACTGATTTATTTTAAGCCTTATTTTGATATAAATTAAAAATTTTAAAATTTATTTAAATATAAATTAAAAGTTAAAAATTTATTTAAACTAAATTAAAAATTAAAGACAATATAATAAAAAATAAATAAAATTTAAAATATTTTTATTATTTTAGCCTTAGAAAAACTAAGGGCTCTTTGCTTTATTTCTAGCCTCTAGGTCCCCACCTGTGATATTATTTTATTAATAAAATAATATTTTAAATATGCTCATATTAATTCAAAAATAATATGAGCGTATTTATAGAAATGTATTTTCTAAATTAAAAAATTAGCATTTCACTCAACAGTCAACGGTTTCAAAATTGAAAAAAAAAAAGAAATTGTTATAAATATGGAAAAAAAAAAAAAGAGGTTTGCTTTTACCCAAGAAAAAATCCATCCAATAAATTAAAACGTAATAATATTATTATACCCAAAATAATTAAAGATATGCATATAACTTATAAGCATGCCACCAAATTCTTTGATCATCAATTCTCGTCTAATAGCACCATATATTTATTACTGCAATAAATCTGTAATAATTAACTTATTATTACTTGATACACAAGCAGATTTTGTCTCGTTCAAATCATTCTGCATATCAAACCAGATTCTTATAATTAATAATAGATCATTAGCATCAAGAGGACTTCGTTCACGAAACAATTGGAGGCTAGGGCTTCGCTACTTAGCATATAATCATATATATATAGACATTCAAGAAGGACTAAATCATTATCACACACCATATTTTTAATTCCTCTGCTTCATCTTCTCCATGGCTTTTTTCAATGCAAGGAATAGCAAAAACTTTTTAATGGCTGTCGCTTTCCTTTTACTTGGAATTTTCATGTCCGGCTTGGAGTTCACAGGTTCAATTTTTCACTATAATCCATTATTTAATCTTTTTATCTTGTGCTGTTGGCCACTACTTTAATTCTACTAATGTCTATTATAATATATGGAGAAAGTGAAAGTAATTAGCACCCTTTCTTGGAAAAACTTTGTGCAATTATTATCAGCTTAATTTGAAGGTTTAATACTTGAGTTATGGAAGTTAATTGCGATAGATGTGTTTAAATTAGGTGCACAATCCGTGGGCGTTTGCTATGGAAGAATCGGTGACAATTTGCCAAGTGAACAGCAAGTAGTAGATCTTTATAGGAACAATGGCATTGGAAAGATGAGAATCTATGATCCAAATCAAGCAACTCTCGAAGCCCTTGGAAATTTTCCAGACATAGAACTCATCCTTGGTGTCCCTAACGAGGACATTCAGGCCCTTGCTACTGATGCCTCGGTTGCAGCCAATTGGGTCCAAGGAAACATACTTTCCCACCCACCAATGGTCAATATTCGTTACATCTCTGTTGGAAACGAAATAAGACCAGAAGATTCAGCTGCTCAATTTCTTCTCCCTGCAATGCAAAACATTTATAATGCTTTGGCGTCAGCAAATAGTGCAATACTACTCCAACTTAAGGTTACTACTTCAGTGGATGCGACTTTGTTAGGCAGTTCTTATCCTCCTTCGGCAGGCTCATTCAGTGACAGTGCAAGTTCATACATAATCCCCATCATTCAATTCCTAGCAGACAAAGGGGCACCTTTACTTGCCAACATCTACCCTTATTTTAGCTACATTGGTGACCCTGTAAACATTGATCTTAGCTATGCCTTATTTACGTCGCCAGGAGTTGTGGTTCAGGACGGCGCATATGGGTACCAAAACCTGTTTGATGCAATATTGGATGCTTTTTATTCTGCCATTGAGAAAGTTGGTGTAACCAATATGGAAGTGATAGTATCCGAAACTGGTTGGCCATCAGATGGAGGCACCGCGGCAACTATTGAAAATGCAAGCACATATTACCAGAATGTGATCAATCATGTGAAGAATAATGGGACCCCAAAGAAGTCTGGAACACTAATACAAGCTTATCTGTTTGCAATGTTTGATGAAGATCAAAAGGGTCCTGCTGAAACAGAGCGCCATTTTGGCCTCTTTTCCCCTAATATGCAGCCAAAGTATCCAATAAGTTTCTAATGAGGTTTTTTTAAAAACTTAGGAATTAGGACTGGTACGTATTCTGCAAAGCATAATTGTGACTTTTTTATTTTTTATTATTTTTTATGAAAATAATAATACAAAAAATTATAATTATATTCAAGTATTACATTAAATAGACGAACCAATCAACCAGCAAACAAATTGGCATATAGCCATTCACATTTTGTTATACTACTTACAACCAGCTTTGCATGTGAACATTTTTATTTTGATATATTAACATAAAATGAAGGTTTATCACAGTTACTCAAAATCATAATAAAAAAAAAGGGGAAAAACCAGATTATTAGTAATTAAATGTATATTTACATGTAATATTGAAATAGTACGAAAAGACTTGGAAGATATGCAATTATATAAAGCTGGGGTATATCTCTCAATTGATATGGTAAATTGGCTACAAATGTTTCAATATTGTTTGGGGTTTTCTTCCTGTTTACTTTATAACAGCAATCTTGGTCTCTGTTTCTAAACTTCTTATTTCATATCCAATAAAATATAATTGTCTTTCAGAAAAAATACAAAATCATTTTAAAAACAAATTTAACTTTTCCATGAATATTGTTTTTTCTTTTTTGGGTGCTTATGAACTATGTGTAAATCTATGTCCAAACTTTTTTTTCGAAGTTTACCTACTTGAGCATATAGTTTGGTTCTATAACTCGATAAGGTGTTAGAATGATTAAAAAAAAAAAATCAATTTTGCTTCACAACTAATAAAACCACGCTCTACCACACAAATATGATTTCTCTTTACCTGAAAAACTTGCTAAAGATCCAAATTAAACATCACAAAATGGACGGCAGTGGACAGCTGCAGCGTGCATTGTAAATTTCCTCCTTAAAAAACAGAATTAGATGATTGGTTATACTGTTCCCATGTGTTTGTGCGTTTCTCAGATGCCTTAGTTTGCCATCTGTAATTTGTCCAGAGGAAGTGGTCACCACTCTCAACCTTCCTTGATTACAAATAAAAAATCCATGTTACATTCAAATTCAAACAAAAATTCCCTAGATGGTATCTATTTATAGGATAGGAGTGTGGAATCTAATTCAAACTGAAAACTTAGTCTAAACTTGGCAAGTCCACCGCTTGCAGTTTAGCCATGGCTGCCAATTCTTCTCTAAGGAGCTCTTCTGCTGTCTCCCTGGTTTTGATTCTTTCAACCATATTGTCATCTGGGTCTTCCACCCGGACAATTACAAACTATGCATTCTCAATCAAAGAAGCCACAATAAAAGATATAAAACTAGCTTTTGAGAGAAACCAACTCTCCTCAAGGCAGCTTGTTGAGTTCTACATGGAAGAAATCTCCAGACTCAATGAACTCCTTAAAGGGATCATAGAAGTGAACCCTGATGCATTGCTCCAAGCTGATGCTGCTGACAAAGAGCGGAAGTATAAAGAACCTTGTTCACTGCCTGACTTGCACGGCATTCCCATTCTGCTCAAGGATAACATCGGTACCAAAGATAAGCTCAACACCACGGCCGGCTCGTTTGCATTGCTTGGCTCAGTGGTGCCAAGGGATGCAGGGGTAGTGGCGAAATTGAGAAAAGCTGGAGCAATCATTCTGGGCAAGGCTAGCTTGAGTGAGTGGGCTAATTTTAGGTCGCTTAATGCACCCGCTGGCTTTAGTCCTAGAGGTGGCCAGGGTAAGGTGAGTTAGAGTGATCATTCCCTTCAAAAAATATTTGTGATCTTCCAGTATTTGCACTTCCAAACATTTATTATCCTCAATTATCTGCTAGTGTGTAAAAAACAATTGCAAATTGAATATAGTAATTTTTACCCAAATATATGTTACACACAGTAATAGAACCTGTTTTGTAATGGCATGCAGAATCCTTACGTCTTGTCTGCAACTCCATGCGGCTCAAGTAGTGGATCAGCAATATCGGTGGCCGCAAACTTGGTAACAGTGTCATTAGGGACGGAGACTGATGGCTCCCTCTTATGTCCTGCCAGTTTTAATTCAGTAGTGGGCCTCAAGCCTACAGTTGGCATCACCAGCCGAGCTGGGGTCATTCCAGTTACTCCAAGACAGGACACCATTGGGTTAAGTTGCTCTTTATTATACTATTCCTTTTTACTGGTATTTTTGTGGTTAATATGCGACTTTGATTCTTCTGTGGGATGTTATTCATGTTCATAATAACCTCAAGAAATTACCCCTTCCCTATTGGATTCAACAGGCCTATCTGCAGGACAGTGTCGGATGCTGTTTATGTTCTTGATGCCATTGCAGGCTTCGATTCTAATGATGAAGCGACTAGATATGCATCATACTACATCCCACATGGTGGCTACAAACAATTCCTTAATTCCTATGGGCTCAAAGGAAAGAGATTGGGGATAGTGAGAAATCCATTTTTCCAAATTGCTGAAGGACTAGGTTTAGGTCAGACGTTTGAGAATCATTTACAGACACTAAGGTAAAGCTCAACTAAAATTATTACTATTATGTATAGACAGTTGGGATGCCTAATGGAATAATCATTTCAACACATTACAAACTTTTTGTATATTCAGGCGAGAAGGTGCAATCGTGGTAGACAATTTGCAAATAGCCAACATTGATGTTATATTAAATTTCACTGCAAGTGGTGAAGCAGTAGCAACTTTAGCTGAGTTCAAATTGTCCTTGAATGCCTACCTCGAAGAGTTGGTGGCTTCCCCGGTGCGATCCTTGGCCGATATTATAGCTTTCAACCTGAAATTTCCCGATTTGGTGGGTATAAGAGCATGAAATTTATGCAGAGACATTATTTCGATACGCATCCCACAATATGATTGATGATCATACTCAATGTTGGTTAATATCGTGGCATTTGCAGGAATTGATCGATAAAATAGGCCAAGAAATCTTTTTGGCAGCACAGGCCACAAATGGGATTGGTGCTAATGAGAGCGCAGCATTGTTAAATTTGGAAAATCTCGCAAAAAATGGATTCGAGAAGCTGATGAAAGACTACAAGCTAGATGCATTGGTGACTCCTAGGTCAGATGTTTCACCTGTGTACGCCATTGGAGGGTTTCCAGCAATTATTGTCCCTGCTGGATTTGATAGCCAAGGGGTGCCTATTGGCATTTCATTTGGGGGATTGAAGGGCTCCGAGCCCAAGCTAATTGAAATTGCATATGGGTTTGAGCAAGCTACTAAGATTAGGAAGCCTCCTTCATTCAATCCTTGAAAATCCAAAAGAAATTATAATCTGTTTACTTCCTTTCTGCCCGCTTACCTATTTTTCTGTATGCTGTTTATGAAAAGTGAGAAATTATACATTTGGCATTAATTTTTTTTTCTGCGTTTTACTTCTCTTTTCAGCTTTAATTCAGAAAATGAGGATAAAGTGCAGCAATAAACTAATGGAATCAACCCAATCTTATGATGCTTAACCTCACACTATATTAATTAGATAAATTGGAGTAAGGATGATAATAATAAAGGCCAGGGTACCCTATTAATATGTATTCAAGCCTTCAACCTATTAATGTAATTGTAAACAAAAGTTTTTTTTTTATCATAAATTCAAAGTTCATTTTCTTTTGGAATAATTCAAAAATAGAGTTTATCCCACTAACTAAGCTTTATGTGTATTATCACAACATTTTTGTTAGAATTAAAATCTAAAAATCTTAAATTATTGTTTTTTGTTATTTTAAAATTTTGAAACAAAGCTCCAAAGTGTGTAATTATACAACTTTCTTTAAGGTTTTATTTAATCTCATTATATTATTTATTAGTAAGTGTATAAAAGATTGCAGGCGATAAACTTTGAGCGTACAATAAACCTCAATAATTGTTTGTATTGTGCATTGACAAAATCTGTTACCGAACACTTATCAATGTATTACAAGATTATAAAACCTTTATAAAAAGTTTTGTAATAAAATTTTATAAAAGAAATTTGAAAATTATTTGAAGTATGAGGAAGAATTCTATAAATTATTTTTGTATATTTTTTAGAAAATCAGATAAAATTATATAATTAATTAAATGTTCTATAAACATATTACCTATTTTGAATAGATAAAAATTATTTATTTTTTAATAATTAAAATTATCTATTTAAACAAATTTATTTATTTGTTTTGTACAGACTTAACTATCTATTCTTATATTTCTATTTTAAACAAATTTAGTTAATCATACAAGTAAGTTTTATTTAACTAAAAATTAAATTTTAAATAAAAATAATTTTTTATTTATTGCAAAGCAAGCCATTAATTAAATCTTAATATATATAAGTTATTTAATTAGTACAAGACCAACCATGCTTGAAAGTTAAAGCCCATCCATCTTTGCACTTTAGCCACTTAAGTCCAATTATATTAAATTTTTACTTCTCCTAATTTAAACGAATATCTTATCTTTTTTTTTTTCAATGTGAAATGATTTCTCATACTTTATTTTAAAAACCTCTAACAATCTTGACATAATTCAACTATAATCACAAATTATTAATTCATAATAAATAAAATAATTCTTTTAAAATATTTCAATTGGCAAATATGAGTTTTTCTCTATAAAAAAATTTATTTAAAAACTCACATACTCATCTTAGTTCTCACATTTAAAAACAAATGCAGAACCTCTTGACTTTGGATTGATTTTATTGCTTGTGTGTGTGTGTTTTTTTTTTTTAATTGTATTAAATTTTGGTATTTCGGTTAGGACTTCATTTCAATTAGTTGGGCTTGGATTCCAAGGTAACATTGTGAAAGGCTAATAAATCTGAAAGTGGATTTTGTAAAGAGGTTAAAAGGGGAGGCTGATCGGTGAAAAAGGAGAGTTATGTTCACTTCTTTCATTGAAATTACATAAAGAAGGATTTGCTATTTCTTCACTTCACAATGCTATGAGCAAACTCAATTTTTTCCTTGGCATGTCAGCAGGATCGGAGGCTAAAGAGGACATTGGCCAGGGATAAACTGTGGAGTTTCTATTTTTCTCTTCATTTGCAAGGAAGAAATAAGGTGATTTTTTTTTTTTTTGGAATTAAGTTATAAATAGTAAAATTAATAAATTTTTATAAATTTGCCCATCAAAGTATTTAAATTTCAAAAGAATATTTATTCATTTATTATGAATTAATAATGTATTTATGGTTATAGTTGAATTATAAATAGTTGACTCTCACAATTATTGGCCTCACAGTTGGTAACAAATTGATGATTTGTTTTGGATTTAAGAATGATATAATTAGTCAGGAAGTTTTATATGGTTATAGTTGAATTATAAATCGTTGACTTTCACAATTATTAGCCTCACAGTTGGTGACAAATTGATGATTTGTTTTAGATTTAAGAATGATATAATTAGTCAGAAAGTTTTAAGGTAAAGTTTATGAATTTTTTTATAAAAAGATTTTTAAAAAATTTCAAATTCATAAATAGAGTTTCATGTAGAATCATTAATATGTAAAAAAATTAATAAAATATTATTTATAATTTAAATTTAATCAATATTTATTCAACTGTAAAAATTTTATTAATATTTTTATTAAAAATATCTATCTAATATATATATTAGATATTTTTATTAAAAATATATATATTAATATTTTTATTAAATTGAATGAATTTACGCTGTTAAATTTTTTTAATCAAATTGGATTAGATTAAATTCTAACAAATTTAACATGTTTTTGTGATTCAAATCAATTTTGACAGCTGACAGGCCTATAAATCCATATACCTACGCACTTAATTATAACTGTTACAAACAATTAGCAAAGTAGGGTCGATGGAGAGAACTTTGATATTGAGTTGGATTCTGTTCCTCCGCATCCCCACGGCCCCAGTGTACGGCCAATACTACTTCAAGACAGCGCCACGAGAAAGTTACCAATCTCCACTTCTTTTTCCATAGCATTTTTGGGGGCGAAAAACCAACCGCGGTAATGGTAGCCCGTGCTAACATCACGAGCAACAACAGCTCTTCACCAGCGCCATCCGACAGTATAGTTGTCCACGACGCCTCACTCACCATTGGTCCTGAGCCAACGTCAGAGATCATTGGGAATGGTCAAGGACTCGAGGTACTTGCCAGCCGAGATACAACAACCTTGGTGTTGTACTTGGATTTTGGGTTTATTAAGGGCGATTTAAACCGCAGCTCTATCAGCGTGTTTTCCAGAAATCCATGGACAGAGAAGGAACGTGAGCTTGCTGTGGTCGGCAGGAGAGGAAAGTTCAAGATGGCTACAGGGTTTGCTCTGCTTAAGACTTATTCTCTAGACAACATCTCTCTCATTGTTGAGTATAATGTGACGGTGATTCATTACTAAGTTGATATTTCAAAGTGAATTCTCTTGTATAAGCTTGAAGTGTTTTCATTTTAATTAATTGTCTCGCAATAAGGGTTACTACTACCGATTGCTTTTTGTTAGGCTAAAAGGGTCTTAATCTAATCATATTAATATGATCAAATTTAAACGGCCAATCAATTAATCACATAAAATATAATAATTTAATGTGATTCGATCTAATCAACTTACGTTTACTGATGAAAAATAAGATTATCTTATTATAAAAAATTACAAACATACAAATCATATCAATCTCACTCAACAATCAATACTATAAATCTTTTCAATCTCCTTTAATCGTATAAAGTATTTTTAACCCAAATAAATACATATTTATGTGTACTATTTTAACATAAACAAATACGTATTTATATACACTCATGTATCATACATATATATCCCATTTCAATATCTTTTAGTTCATTCACAAACATTCATACTATACGCATCAATAAAATATAAATCTTTAATAATCTTATAAAATATCTATCTTATAAAACTCTATAACTTTTTCATATATTTTTTTTTATATCTAACATGTAAATATTTTATCTATTTATAATCATATAAACTTACCTATTTAAAAATTTTTTTCTCTTAATTTTTTTTTTTACAAATCAAACTTATCTATTAAAAATTAAAAAAAAATTTTTACAAATTTTTTTATCTATCAAATAATATTTAATTAATTTTAAATAAATTTATTATGAGATTAAATCACTATTCTCAATCACTTTTGTGGGTTTGCAATTTGCATTCTAGGCGTTCGGAGATAAGGGGGTTGACCTGATTGCTCCAGATTTTCAACTTGTAAAAGTTAGAAGAATTTAGAAGCAGAGATTATTCTTATTCTTTGTAAGGCTCTTTCGGTCGAATTTTAAAATTTAATCACAGCTAAGTTCCCGTAGTTTCCCATTTATTTTGGTTAAAATTCCGTCTTATATAAATTATTTTTTATTTTTTATATTTTAAATTGTTAAAATTTAAATTTTAATTATTAAAAATTAAAAGTTTAATATTCAACCAATAAATTATTTTTTTATTGACAATAATTGTTGTATTAATTTATATAAGTACTCTTATTAAAATTCGTATGCAATTAGTTAAACTAATTTTGTTCGCGTGTGATCAAGATTCCTTTTCTTAAAATATTATTCGAGAGAAATAAACTCATTGTATATAAAATATTTTGGACGATAAATCATTTAATGATTGGTTTTCTGAGTATAAAGTTCTTGTTTCCTTAACCAAAATGAAGTAAATCAACTAGTATTGTCTACATTTTACTCCAACAATTACTACATACAATTAGGAGAGCAGAGACAATGAGAAGAACATCGATGTTGACTTGGATTCTGATCCTCTGCCTATCCATGGTACCAGTGCATAGCCAATACCATTCTCAGAGCCTGCCATTGGATCCCAAGGCAGAGAAAGTCACCAATCTCCACTTCTTTTTGCATGAGACCCTCAGCGGTAAAAACCCTACAGCAGTCATGGTAGCCCAGGCAAACATCACAAGCAACGACAACAACTCACCAGTGCCATTTGGCAGCGTATTTACCATTGATGATCCCCTCAAGACAGGTCCCGATCATAACTCAGAGCTGATCGGAAATGCTCAGGGGCTTGGGGTCTTGGCCGGCAAAAATACAACGACCGTGGTGTTGTACTTGGATTTTGGATTTAGCAAGGGTAAGTTCAAGGGCAGCTCTATAAGCATATTTTCGAGGAATCCCATGACAGAGAACGTACGTGAGCTTTCCGTGGTCGGAGGTAGAGGAAATTCAGGATGGCAAAAGGGTTTGCACTAATTCATACTTACTTTCTAAATCAGACTAATCTCATTGTTGATTTTAACGTGACTGTAATTCATTACTAAGATGATATTTGAGACTCAATTCTCTTACATTACAAGTTTATGTTTTTTTTTTTTTTTTCTCTCTAAGGTTTCATCCTGATTGCTTTTAAGCATTAAGGGCAGATTGTTCACTGTGATGAGCTGAATAAATCACTTGTATCAACTTGTTGGACCTTTTCTAATAAAAATTTCTTTGTTGTTCAAATCGCAAAAAGCAAAATCATTTGTGAGTGATGCAGAAAACAAATTAGTAACTACTTTTATTTTTATTAGTAAAATTTATTGTATCAAATTAATTGATAATTTTATGAATTTAAAATTTAACTTAATTGATTTTTACAATCATCTTTAAAAAATAATATTTAATAAATTTAGAATTAAAAAAAAAACTCCACTTGATTAGAAAAATGTATTAGAAATTTAATATCTTGATCTGAATTTAATATTAAAATTCTTATACTTGATAATCATACTTTTAAATACATCAACTTACAAATATACTTTATTACAAACTGTATATGTTCAGTTGCTTGATTAAACAAAATGCAACTTGAAAAACTTGTATGAATTTTAATTTTAAAGTTGCCCTCAATTATCTCAAGAACCGAATGACAAATACTAATTATTCAGGAGAAATTAATGGAGAGAGAGAAGTAGCCGCCATCTCAATTTGGCATATTGCTTATTTGTAATTATTATTTGTAATTACCATTAAAAATCTGACAATTTATTTCTTTAACCCTAATATCACAATCAGATTTCCTTTTCTTGAATTGTATTTGACACAATTGTAACAAAATCACAATTCACAAATGAGAATTTCAGGGATTTCCAAATTAGTTTTGCCAGAAATGGTAACAGTATCATGGGTTTTAACATCCAGCACAAATTCTATTTAAGCCCTACTGGTACAGGCACAGCAAGAAGCCTGAAACCAAATACTATTATTGAGGTAAAAAATATTGTGAAGAAAAGATGGAAGAACAAATGATTTTTGCCTGGGCAATGATGTTTTGCCTCGCCATAGCACCAGTCTATAGCGGATATTATTACTCGAAGACAGTTACGCCTGGAGAAAAGGTGGAGAAGCTGACCCATCTGCACTTTTTCCTCCACGATATCCTCAGTGGCGAAAACCCTAGTGCAGTCATGGTAGCCCATGCTAACCTCACCAAGAAAGACAATTCCCCGACCCCATTTGGCAGCTTGTTTGCAATCGATGATCCCCTCACAGTAGGGCCTGAACCAACATCGAGGGTAATTGGAAACGCCCAAGGGCTCTATCTATCATCCAGTCAGGACTCTAGTAAGTTCACTATAGTTATGTACATTGATTTTGCTTTTACGACTGGCAAGTTTAATGGGAGCTCCTTCAGTTTGTTCTCAAGGAATCCGGTGACAGAGGCAGATCGTGAAGTGGCAATTGTGGGAGGGAGAGGTAAGTTTAGGATGGCTAGAGGGTTTGCCAAAATTAAGACTAGTTATTTCAATGCTACTACCGGGGATGCTATTCTCGAGTACAAAGTTACTCTGTACCATTACTAAACCAGAATACATACATCCAATCATGAGATAATAGGATTTTTCTAAGACTGAATAACTGAAATCATATTCGATAGTTGTTGTGATTATGTGAAGAGTAAAAGAATAATGCTTGTGATTGGACTTTCTGTTAATTGTCTATGGTTTATGAAGTCTGAAATTTATGATGCAAAATTGTACCCAAATGATCGAGAATGCGAGAGATGGTAACGCATATTATCCTTGCAGCCCGGTAAGGCAATAACCTTCCTAAATCATCAGGTTTATGAATGCTTCAAAATGGATGATAACTTGTTCATTGGTGACTAGTAACAACTGTCACAACTCAATGCTACAAGGGAAATTATCTCATATTATCCTTTTAAGGTATCATACAGAGGTTTTACATACATACATATACATATATATATATATATTATATATATATATAGACACACAAGCTACAATTTCAGAAGTTTTCAAAGTTCCAATTGTATTCGGAGCCGATCAGACTTTTGAATTCTGGGCTCTTTTTTGGTAAGAATGTGGAGGATCGACCCTGAGCCATGGATTTCTTTCTATCAAGGCAGAGAAGTAGGTGGCATACATTATATTGACTATAACCATTTCATTTGAAAATCAGAGAACTTCCTTAAACTTACACATATCGCATTGCTCATTTGGTTGAACTAAACTCAAATTTGCCAAGAAGCAAGCAATTGAGCTGTTGACTTTTTCCCCATTGAAAATTTCAAGAAATGTTTTTATTGTTTTTTATATAATTAAGTTCAGGAATGAAGACTTTGAACTTGAGATTACCTGTTTTGTGAAAATAGGACATAATAACTATTTTCCTTTGATTATTTTTTGGGAAATTTTTTAAAATGCTTATTTCAACTTATCAAGGACTGTCTTTTTCTATGATCATATTCAAATACTAAGAAATTGCGAAGGGAAATTGGAAAATGAAAATATTATCCCGAGGGTTAAAAAAATCCAAGATATACAGAATTTTACGAACCTGGCCCAAAGAAACAAGTTCAATACTCCATGCTATGTATGGGCTACCTTCCCACGCCCATTGCATGACAAAAATTAGGGCGTCCTATATGCTAATTATGCATGTTACCTATTTGAGAACAGGTGGACCAATTAAATAAATGAGTTAAATTATTCTTTTTGTTCTTCTCTTGTAGTTAAACTGCCTTCGAAGTATCAATCTTTTTCTTTTGGCCTATAAAAAGATGCTGTAAAGTGGCAGATTGTTCAAAAGTTTCTCTAGCTACTTCTTCTTCTGTTTTTGCTTGAGAGATTTGCTTCAAATATTTGCTAGAAATTTGGCTCAAGTCTCTGCCACAGAGAGAAAAACAAGTGAAGATGGCCAAGTCAGACGGAATTCTGTTGGTCATTTCCCTAGTTATGGCGATGTCATGGGCTCAAAACTTCCGTGTAGAGTGTTGGGACTCAAAGCTTGAGACTAAACAAGAGACGGAGACCAATCTTCAGTTCTACTTCCATGACACAATCAGTGGTAAAAACCCAAGTGCCATCAGGGTGGCTCAAGCCTCTGACACTGAAAAATCTCCTACTCTTTTTGGAGCCTTGTTAATGGCGGATGATCCACTGACTGAGTCACCTGATCCCAACTCCAAGCTGCTCGGCCGAGCCCAAGGGCTTTATGGATCAGCTGGGCAGACAGAGATAGGCCTAATCATGGCCATGAGCTTTTGCTTCACGGATGGAATACACAATGGTAGCTCTATCAGCATTCTGGGCAAAAATTCAGCTCTAAGTCCTGTTCGCGAGATGCCCATTGTCGGTGGAACCGGTCTTTTCCGGCTGGCACGAGGATATGCAGTCGCAAAAACTCATTGGGTTGATTTTACAACCGGTGATGCTATAGTTGGCTACAACGTTACCATTGTTCACTAGGATTAACTTGCATACATTATTTGCCTTTTCTTTTCTTTTATTGTAGAATTACTGTGTTCTGGTCTCGCTTCTTGTTCTAAATAAGATACTATATTACAGTTTATACTTTTTACTTAATGTTAATGTGCTTTTCTTTTTTCAATATATACATTAAAATGTAGTTAGTAGCCTAATTATATTCAAACTTCCGTTTCAAATATAAATGTTGTTCGAATTTAAAATTTAATTCAATTATTTCATGTAATCATATTTAAAAAATAATATTTAATAATTTCAAATTTTAATATTTACAATCTTTATCACATTCCTTTTTTCTTTTGTATAAAAAAAACTGCTGTCCAACTCTCAGTTTGCCAGAGATAAACTAAACCTCTTTAGTCACAATTGCTCAAATTTAATTGTTTATTATACTTTATATATAAAATTTAGAAATGAAACTCATGACTTTGAGCCAAATTATTGCGTATAAGTTTCCTTGCTTGTACATGAGTTGTGGCTTTGGAATTGTTGGTGCTTTGCTTTTACATTTGAGTTTTTGCCCAAATTAGCTTTGTTATTACAACCACGGAAGAAAAGGAGCGTGCACATCATGCAAAATGAAGTTTTATGGACTGCAATGATTCATATTGAATGTAAGTCCGACAAGAGACCTTAAATTTCCCTTTGTTTTGCTTGTTTGTTTTAATAATTTAACGTATTACATGCCAGATTAGCGTCAAAACAGTCTTTCGACTAGCTTTTGTTTTTTTAACCCCTGAACTGATTGTAGTTAAAATAATAAAAAATTTGTGAAGGATGGAAAGTTATAGTAGCATTATTATGTACTAATTAATAATGTTCAAAACTCTAAAAGTTACTTAATGTTGTCATGGGAAAGATAATTTTTTTATGAATGTTAGATTAACATAAATAAATTTGTTTAAATTGATAAAAAAAAAAAGTGTTGTACGAAATTTAATAACTTCTACTGCAAAAAAAAAAAGTAATTAGCCATGTCTGATATATTATGAATGACCCTTTGAAGAAGGGTCAAATTAAGCTAGTTGATAGCCAATTAATTATTCTAGATTTTTACCAAATAATTTTCATCTAATTAAATCAATTTTGGGAACTTTTATGATACTCTCTCATTTAACACACGGTCCAAAAATTGGAAAGTGAACAAATTAATTAATCAAGGGAAATTTTTTATATTATTACATAATTGGAAATTTAGCTAGTTAATTTTCTCAACAGTGGAGAGGTTTTTTTTTTTTTTTAAATTTTTCCCATGCTTAATGTGTGGACATTGTAATTTGTGTATATGTGCCCAAGTGCCGCTTGCATTTGTCTTGTTATTCCAATTTGACTGTATCTAATTATAAAAGAGCTGAAGGGAACAATACTAATTAGATTTGATTAGAAGTGTTTATGTGTCTTGAATCGAATTAAATCAAATCCACTTAACTTTTTAAATGTCTTATTTGATGTTTGATTAGATCTATCAGATCCAAGAGGTTTGAAATTTTCAAAAAAATATATTAATTTAATTTTTAAATATACCTTGAATTTAGATTAAATTAATAAAAAAATATTTTTATTAATATTTTTACTCGGACCCAAGTTCAAAATCCCCGTCTAAAAGCCCTGCCCAAATTGGGTCATGCCCACAGGCCGGACAGGTAAGTTGGTCCATGGACATGTCTAATTTTGATTAGGGATAAAAAAGATGAACATAATCGGCTGCATTCCCGTGCACAAACTAGCCAGCTCCGACATGTCTTATGACCCATGGGATTGGATGTTGGCATCAAGAACTGGTATATCAAATATGAAATTGAAATTTATTAAGACGCTAACAAATCAAATTCAATATAAGTTTAAAATAATGCAAAAGTTATTGCTTCAGGGAATCTCCCAAGTTACATTTCTCGAGTGTATAGAGAATGCATGCCTAGACTGTGTTCTTAATTATTTGGCAAATACTAAAGCAACTACGACTGGCAAATGGCTAGAGCAACATCAGGATGTAAACCTCATAATTTTAAGATTACATATTAAACTGTATATCAATTATTTGGAATCATGAATTCTTTTCTTTTTCAGCTAAAACGAAAAAAAAAGCATGATTTCATTAGAGATTGCAAATCCTTGCAGACACTAAAACTTTTGGTATTGATTTAGAAAAAAAAAAAAAAAAAACCCTCAAAACAACAAGTCAACAACAAACCCTCTCCAACCAAACCCAATACATATCACCAGTCACTCTACGGATAAATAAAGGGATTATAACACATTTGTCGTGGAGAAGGTATAACACATGCACAATATTATTTGAATACTAAACTACTAGTTTTAATTTAATCCAAGTTCCACCTAAAAGGCATTCCCAAAATGCTTAATTTTCTCAATACACATACCCTAACCTAGACTTCATTTGCAGTTTCAAAAGGAAAAAGGAGAGAACTAAATGGAAAAGCCTGCTGCTCTAACACTGATATTCTTGCTAGCCATGCCAAAGGGGCATTGCATTAATGAAGGGCCTGAGGAAGTGGATGAATGGTTTCATAAGCTTCCTTATGCAAAGGAAAAGGTAACCAAGCTTCATTTCTTCTTCCACACAGATTCGCAGGAAAGAACGCAACTTCAGTGCGTGTTGCCCACGCAACCACCACTGCTAAATCGGCAACTTCATTTGGTTTGGTTTTCATTATGGATGACCCATTAACAGAAGGGCTCAAACCCACATCCAAAGAGTTGGGTCGGGCTCAAGGACTGTATGCGTTTTCTGGGCAAGAGGAACTGAGTCTGCTGATGGCCTTTAACTTGGTTTTCATAAGCGGTGAGTACAATGGTAGCACTCTAACCGTTCTGGGCAGAAACCCGGCGGTGCCACACCGTGAGATGCCGATCATTGGCCGATCAGGCCTTTTCCGATTGGCACGTGGGGTTGTGTCAGCAAAGTTACGTTCATTCAACCTTACCACTGGTAATGCTCTCATCGAATACAATGTTGTAGTGATCCATTATTAAGTGACATTGATTTATGCGTGGCTTAAGCCTCTTTTTTTCTTGTCGAAATACTTTGTTCTCTTGTTGTATGGTTGTGGAATAAGTGCACTCTGTTTAGCCCTTTTTTATTTATGAAAAGATTCTCAATTGTTGGTTATTACCCTTATTCATGCCTGTTATTCATTAAACTTAATCGTGTTATTCATTCCCATCAAAATGTTTTTATTTGAGTAAATCCGAAAACATTTACATAAAATTAAAATTTTTATTTTTATTTGAGAATTGGTTCAGATCACGAATTGAGTATTTATTTATTTATTTATTTTTAAATAGTTCTCAGTTCTAACTCGTTAAATGCTATTGACTTGGAATTTTTATATATAATTGGAAGTACTTGATATTTTCCACCTAACCGAGCAATGGGCAAGGAGAATGTTTAACCTTTCCTTCAAAGTTTTCTTCTTAATCTAATTCCAGCGTGGTTAATTTCAAAGTGATTTGGTGAGAGATATATTTTTATTTTATAATTCCTTCTATGATAATCTCTGTTTTTTTTCTTATTTTATCACTTTTAACCATGAATTTTTCTTTCACTATCACTGCTGGTCAACTGGATTCTTAATATACAAATATTTAATGTGTCCAAAATAGAAAGATATACATACGAATAAAAGCTCACTGTCTTCAAATGTAAGTTTGGGGTCACATTTTAGGGACTCAAAATCTTGATATTATGGGAACAAAGTGAAAATGACAATGAGGGAGCTTTCAAGAAGCAAGTGGGCATGCAATTATGGGTGGCCGTGAAGGAAGGTGTTAGGTAATGCAATGAGGACTGTAGAGAATAAAACCAAACTCCTCGTTCTGAAGTTTTCAAGTCCAGGAGAACTGATTTGAGCATTAACTTACGATGATGACAAAAACGTTTATCATACTTTCCCCTAATCGGCAGCCTATAACTCAGTTTAGCATTGATTTTTGGCAGCATTCTTCTTCTAGCATGAAATATAAAAAGACACACCTAACAAATTTGACACATTAGCTCTTCTCTTGACAAGTATCTAGTAGTGGTTCGAGGCACCATGTTAGCCTAGAATTAACAGGCACAGAAATAAAAATGGTGGTGAATGGGACCAACAAAATTCAAGAAGAACGAGTTTCTGCACTCACAGAAGAAATATAATAAAGGCAAGAGGACCGATTACAATTGAAAAGAAGCAATTCTTGAGCATGGGTTCATGGGAACAAAAATAAACTTATGCAAAATATCAAAGAAAGAAACTACAACCGCAATAATCCGAGATGATATTGTTGAGATTTTTTCTTTTTTTTTAAAAAGGAAAATTATAGAAATTTCAAAACCTTACTTTCGCTTACTCTTGAAGACCACTGAGAGATGGCCATTTTAAAAATGTCCTATAACCGCATAGCTGCTATAGCACTTGTAACCTAATTTCCATCACCGTCCATACTGCATTTGTTTGGGATACTCAAGTAGCTTTTTCATTAGTGGAAGGAGAGCAACCAAGGCTAGCTGAAGCTGTTCCGAGCTATTCATTCGTATACTGACTTGTCCTGCACCTCTATTATTCAAATTGGCACGTGCTATTAAGTTTGTAGACCGTCCAACAGGAACCTGTGACTGTATATTGCATCCAATGGCAAGATCTCCGTGCCAATCCATGACAGAAAGCCCAAGTGTAGACAAGGAGCGACCCAGAGGGTAATCCTTATCCCTCAATTGTGCTTCCAAACTGCCCCCATAAGCAAGATCCCCACGACCAGTCATAGCACCCCCAGTCATGACTACTTGTAACCGCTTATTAGCAATCAATTTGTCTTCAACTTTCACTCCAGCTGATAATGCATCACCTAAGAGTGTAACTGAGATGCCAGCTGATGCCTTATTCTTCCTGATATTACTAAACCTTGTCTCACTGCGCAGAGTGTAGGCCAAGTCCTTTCCAACAGTCTGCATATCAAAACCTAATGAAGTTGCTTTACCTTCCCCATGCTTTAAAGAACTGGCTAGCTCCATTTGGACATTGGCATCCTTTTTGTCCTTCGTAATCTGGCCAGAAAATGAAATAGGATATTTATCTTTGGCAACGAACAATCTTTCTACATTAATACCTTCATAGCCAACATCATGATCCCAACCATGAGCATCTAGAACAGGCCTCACAAGCCAAGGGTTGGAGGAATCAAGGAAGCGATACCGATGAGTAGGATTATCAGAATCAAAAGAAACAGGTAAGGCCAAATCTGGCAAGGGAACTGGAACAGAAGATGCACCACTACTTTCTTCTTCTGCGTTTTCACCATACTCACTCGGCAGATCCTTATCTGCAGCAGCCATTTTCCTCATCATCTTCTGCCGCTTTTTCTCTTCCTTCAGTTGCTTTTTCATAAAAAGTTTTTCCCTATATTCTAACTCATCAAAATATGCCTTCTTCTGAGCTTTAGTAAGCTTTGCTATCTGTGCTTTAGTCAACCGCTTAAAAGGTGGCAACTCATCGTATTCTGATTCATCCTCTGAGTCTGAAGACTCATCCAAATCATCATCTAATCCATCGTCATCACCATACTGCTCTTCAGGCAGCTTAACTTGCGGTCTTGATTGAAGAAGAGACGAAAGAAGGAAAGGTAAAGGAGGTGTTCTTGTTCGAGTGGCAAAAGGCTTTCCTGGAGGAGTATCTTGCAACTTTAAAAGTGTGTTTGCTTCAGCCAACATTTTAGATGCAAAGGAAAGCAACAACAAATGCGGCTTCCAAACCTGACCATTTGGCAACACTCTCTGGCCTGCCCTATTTGTTCTACATGCAGAGTGGTTCTCCACTAATGAAACAGGATTCATGAGCCGCATATCCCCAGCTGCCTGCCGAATAGCCTGCTGGACAACATGAGAGCGTTGAGTGACAAACATGTCATAACTAGAAGCAGTACCATTTGGACCATCAGGCGGAGCAGAAGCTGCATGAGTCAGAACCACAATCGCATTAAACCATATAGATGGACCAAAGATCTCAGTGATGGTGCGCAAGAGGGGCATATCACCAAAATCCCTGGTTTGCAAGTCCAACCTATCAAGATACAGCACAATATCTGGAGGTGTTTTCTTAATGAAATGCTTAACAGAGTGAAGGATCTTCTCGTTCTGGCGTTGGTCAGACCAGGAAGGCAGAAGGCCTGGTGTGTCAATTACACGCACCTTAATACCATGTACAGTACCCACAACATCCTGAACCTTCTTAGTACTGGTCTGGAAAGCATCAGTACCAAACTTGACTTCATCAAATATCGAATTAATAGTAGCACTTTTACCAACTCCTGTCTTCCCAAGGACCATGATTGTACAAGAGAAATCAAGTGGTTCATTTCCAACTGCCTCAAGCTGTTCCGCCATGGCACTTGCACGGTCAAAGCTGAAGGCACCAACTCGGCCTCCATTTCCTCCCCGGAGCTGCTCGGCTAATCCTAGTCTGTACAAAACCTGTGCCACAACAACATTATGAGGAGTCTGCCCAAGCCTATGTGCAAGCCGCAAAAACTTAACTCTAATCAACTGAAGCTTTTCACGAGTCTCATCACTCTCCTCAGCCTCCCTATTAGCAGGGTCTTCAATCTGTGGTGCCTGTGCCTGAGAGACAGAGCCATTTACAGGAGGCTGTTGCACCATCCTAGGAGCAGGATCCAATAGCGGAGCAGCACGCCCAAGGCCAGCAGGACGAGAAGGAGTAGCAGAGTTTTTAGATTTGACAGATGATGAAGACACTTGAGCAGGTGGAATTTCACGTTCTCTAATCACAGGGGTGCTTGGCTTCACCTCCTGATATGTATCTGCTTTCTTTCCAGACTCTTCCGGATCCAACAGCGGAGAAGCACGCCCAAGGCCAGCAGGACGAGAAGGAGTAGCAGAACTTTTAGATTTAACAGATGATGAAGACACTTGAGCAGGTGGAATTTCACGTTCTCTAATCACAGGGGTGCTTGGCTTCAGCTCCTGATATGTATCTGCTTTCTTTCCAGACTCTTCCGGATCCAATAGTAGAGCAGCATGCCCATGGACAGCAGGATGAGGAGGGGTAGCAGAATTTATAGATTTAACATATGATGAAGACACTGAAGCAGGTTGAATTTCACGTTCTCTGATCACGGGGGTATTTGGCTTCGGCTCCTGATCTGTATCTGGTTTCTTTCCAGACTCTTCAGCTTTTATAGCCAAAGAAGACCCTGGAGCATGTTGCACTTCCTGCACTCGAGTCTCTTCGAAGCTTTGCTTATCTTCCTGATCTTTCTCTCCTTTCTTTTTAGATTCTTCAGTCATACAATGAATATCTTGAAATTTATCCACCATTTCAACAGGAAGCCGAGATTGAAAACCATCATTAGCCTCTGTTCTCAAATCAGTTTTACCAGCCTCAATCTTGTCATTCCCCTCACCTGTAAACTTTTCTGAAGAAGATAAGTTTCCAAATTCCGGAGCAACTGTCCCTTCCACAGTTTTACTCAGCTCAGACAGCTTATCTTTCAGTTCATCAATCTCACCAATATAATTTATGTCCGTTGAATCTGATGAATCTTTTACTTGACCATTCCTGTTATCCTCTGCCTCCACAGCAGCCAAAGCCTTATTTATTTTTTCAACCTCATCTCCACCATCCACTGAATCCATGCCAGCTGTGGCACCTTTTGCTTCCATACTCTCTTTTCCCTGATCTCCTGTTTCAACATTAGCGGACTTGTTATTCAATTCTTCAACGACTTCATTATCTTGGAGCTTGACAATCATGCCAGCTGAAGTACCAGCAGATTCCCCAACCTTTGTGTCTTGATAATCAGTAGCCAGTGCATCCTCCCTTGATTCCTCACCCTTACCCTCTCGGGGCAAAAACTCTAACTTGGATTCCACTTTTACATTCTCCTCCACCTTATCACCTTCCAAAGTTTCCAATTTTTCGTCTGTCAATGTACCCTCTAAATGTGTCTTATCAGCATTTACAGGCTTCTCAATGACTGTATCAGACTTCAGATTTCCTTCATTCTCATCACTCAAGACTTCTGTTTCTCCAGTACCACTAATTTCAGCTACCTCCTTTCCACCATTCAATTTATCAGTCCCTGCTCCCATTTCAGTCCCTCCCTCATCAATCTTATCAGCCACCACACCACCACCAACACTCTCCGCACCTGACAGTTCCTCCACTTTCTGCTCATCCACTGACACTCCCACATCCTCCTGAGGTTCAACCACACTTGTAACCACATCCTCCTGAGACCCCACCTTAGTTGGAACCCCAATAGCCTCTTCAAAGGTCTCTGCTTCAGGTTCTAAATTTGAATTCTTCAGTACTTCCTCTGAACCAGTGTCACCAAATATCTCACCATTTCCAATTGCATCGGCAACTAAACTGCCGTCCCCTAGTCCAGATTTTTCTGTCTGCTCCTGCAAATGCTCTAGTGTTCCAATTGCCTCCTGAAAAACCTCATCTTCCGCATCTGTTGTTTCATCGGTACCCCCAACTACCCTCTCCTCCACTTTCTCATTGGCAACCCTTTCTTCCACAATCTTATTATCTACCATAACAGAATCGTCAATCATTCCTACCCCATTTTCCATTTTCATAAATGTTGCTTCAAAAACCTAAATTCACCAAAACCATCAAAAGCCATTTTAACCAACATATCAATAATGAATAAACAATCACCAAAAAGATTTTTTTAAAAAATCAATAAAAAAAACCCACAAAATAAAAACCTCTCCTTTCCCAAAATCCAAACATAAAAGTCCATTTTTTATCCACATGTCAACAAAAAAAAATAGATCTTTCCATTTCCCTACCGTCAAAACATCATTTTTCCAAAAATATCAGATCCCAAGCCTATAATAAAAGGTTCTCCCTATTAGGGCTTTCCGTAAAAAAAAAAAAAGATTAAAAAAAGTAATAAATATAAATAATAAACAAATAACAGTCATAAAAAAAAATACCTGCTCTTTTTGATGCTACGGAGACTTTTAGATAGAGAAAGGAAGAAAAGGATCTCTGGGTTTTTGTAGTACAATGAGAGGCAGATCAGAGAAAGGATCTTTGACTACGTGCGCTTTGGTTTCCCCTGTTTTCATAATATAAACTATAACTGCTTCGGCCTTTGGCTTAGCGGAAGAAGAGATATATTAAAATAATAGAGGATAAGAAGGTGATTAATGGATGCGGGGGTTGTGATCAAACGGTGGGAGATGGTTCATTGGTATCATCGTGAAAGACCCCGAATCATGGTGACGTGGACGTAAAAAAGTTTGCAAATGGCAAAGAGAAGCCAAGGGATGTTCTGACATATCATGTGGAGAGTGTGTCACGTGATCATACCGGAGGTTAGAGTGAGAGAGAGAGAGAGAGCAAATGTGGGCCGTCCAATCTTTCCTGACTGCACGATTCACTTAGCTCTATTTTGATCATCAATCATCAATCCAACCCAACAAACCTGTTAAGATTGTTAGTAAATGACTTCTTCTCCTTGGCAAGTAGTACTTGCTAATGGTTCTCCCCCCTTTCACTACTTTTGTTTAATCAATCCCTTCTCGTGCTTGGCACTAGTGTTTAGTGGATTTTAGTTGCAGTTTTGATGTTTGGAAGAAGTGGTGACCTGTGGAATAGTTCAATTCTAAGCATTTCCAATAGTTTTCCTCGGGGAGATGTTTTACCATTCGTGTTCATGAAATAGTTGATCTAGATTTGTAAATAAAATTACCCATCCTACTATATTTTTGAGATAGCCTTGTATTCAGCATAAAATTTATATTAAGTTGGGTGATCCAATTATTTTTTAAATTCTAAAAGGAAAAATCTTTTTAAAAATCTAAAAAGTATTATTTTGAAAGAAAGGATTGTATTATATTAAAAGAGATCGATTGTTTTAAAAGTTTAAGCTTATAGGAAAGTTTCAATTATTGTATAGCAATGAAGATTTTTTTTTTAATGACTACATTATACAATGAAACATGGTATTGTGTATTTATGCAAATCCAAATATTTTGTAAAAATATAAATAAAGAAAAAAATTTAATGGTTAAAAAGAAAAAAAATTTTAATGGTTAAAATGATTAAGAGCCTTCATTAATTTTTGTATAGTTTCAATGAAAACTAAAAACATTTACTTTTATTTAGGAATTGATTATTTGTGATGATTGACTATTTTAAATTATATTATATTAAAAAATATAAAATTAAAATTTAATTTAATTAATTTATATAATTACAATTTAATTTAATTAATTTATATAATTATTTTTAAAAATAATATCTAATAGAAATGATTTCAAATCTCAAATCTATAACATTGTTTTCTATTCAAAGAGTATGACATTTTAAAAAACGAACGTGGACATTGAAATTTAATAATATAAGGTTTATGATAATAAGCACACAATGATTTCTGCATTGGCACAGCATGGGCACGGTGAAGAGGCAGTGAAAAAGTTTGATGGCATGGTAAAATTGTTGATAATTTAAAATGTGATATGTCACATATTAAGTTGATTATTTATATATAATTTAAAAGAGATTATTTAGTTTAAAAAAGATTATTTATATTATTTAAATAATTATTTAAATATTATTTAAAGTAGGTAAGTCACTTGGGTTTGTTAGAAATTTTTTTGGTGGGTTAGATAATTTTAAAAGTTAAAAATAAGCATTTAAGCAATAACATTTAGACTTTTTTAATAAATAGATTTAATTTTTAAATTTTTTATTTTTTTTATTTTTAAATATTACTAAAATATTATTTTTATTTTAAATAAATATGTTTGAACAGAAAAAAATATATAATAGTCCGAATAAATATATTTAAACAAGAAAACATGACTATTTAAATAAAAATTATTTAAATAAAAAATATGACTATATAAAATGTCATAAATTTTTAAATTGATTTATTTTGTAACTGTTAATTTATTATAAATTGATCTTTCTGCATAATCATTTTACTAATTCTGATTTAATTTTTTTTTTAAGATTTTATTATATCTTATACACAAATTGCTTTTAAGATAATATTTTTCACACTTCAAAATTATGTTTCTTCTCTTTTATTATTTCTGTTTTCTTAAATTTTCTAAAAGAAAAAACAAGGGGTGAAGCCAGATAGGACAACTTTTGTTATTATGTCAATGTATGTAGCCACTCTGGTCTTTCAGAAAGGGCTTAGGTATTTTGAATGCATTTCTTCTAATCATGGCATAATTCCCGATCAACAGTATTATGCATGTTTAATTGATCTCTTAGGTCGAGCTGGTTGTTTCGGCCAGTTGATGAACAATCTGGAGAAAGATGCAATATAAGTCTGATAGCAAGGCTTGGGATGCACTACTTGTGTTTCTAGAATCCATGGAAATATAGAATTGGGAAGAAAAGCCGCTGAACAACTTATTGAGTTGGAGCCTCAGTCCTCTGCAGCATATGCGCACTTGGGAAGTGGGAATTGGTTGAGAAGGTGAGACACCTTATGATTATGAATAAGAGACAAGTTAGGAAAGAGGTAGCTCTTAGTTGGATAGAACTTGAAAATAAAGTGCATACCTTCACAGTATGAGATAACTTGCACCCTGTGAAAGGAGCAATATACTCAGTCTTAGCCATTTTCATCTTTGCTGGGTTATTTTTTGGAAGACTTGTAAGAATCCGTTTTCTATTCAGTTTTTTTTTTTTTTTTTTGTATCATTAGCATCACAGTTTAACTCTGTTTAGATTCTATATAGTAGGATTTTTCACAATGATAGTTGTATATTCTCTTGAGGTCTTGTTCTAAATGTTTTTTTACTCTTCAATATGGATAAGATATTATGCTTCCTTATAAGCAATTATTTCAGTTAATTGAATAAAAATTGTAAACTTTGAAGTGCTGTGTTTCTCCATGTTACATTATCTTATGGTACATGACTGTTTAGTTATGAAGAAATTCTGCTGCACTATCAAGATATATTCACAAGTGATTAATTGTCAAATCTAAGATTCAAATGCTCTCACTTCAAAATTTCAGACAGTATTGCGTTTCCATACAAATTGAATGACCCGATACAATACATATGATGGATATAAGAATTTTGGATGGATATTTCCTGATGAGAAGGACCAACTCAACTAATTAGTACATATTTTATTAATAACAATAAAATCATAAAATCTGTTTTATTGTGGTTACTGCATTGTTCATTGAAGAGTGAATTGTTAAAGCTTAAACCAATTGTTAAAACTTAAGACATGGTTACCAAACATTTTGTTTCATGGAAAGCGTTCATTTAATAATTTAGGTGTTTTCTTTTTCTTCTATAACAGTATTTAAATTTATCAAGTCAACTATTTCCTGCTAAAAAGGTGTTGGTTTTTGCAATATTTTCAAAATGTAATCGGGTTTCTCTTTCATTTCTCTTCTTTTTACTGCACAACTAGGCTGTTAATGGATAGCCATGATGCAGATGTAATTTCTGGCAAATTAGTAGAAACTGTTAATGATGAACGCTGCATATGCTGTTTTCCAGAACAAATATATGGATGTCTTAATGACAATGTTAGTGATTTTCTATATAATTCTTTTCAAGAAGTTAACCGGCGGCGAATATGAATTAGCCTTCACCGAACATAATCCCATGATTAAGATTGAGCTTACAATATGAAAGATCAAGTCAACAGCTTTCCACCACCAAAATTCATGTTTGTACTTTCTAAAATTTGGATTCTCTAACCACAATTATATCATTAAATCAAACAAATATCAAGAATACAATTATCTTGCCCGTAGTGAATAGTCGTGTTCTTGATGTTACAACAAGAACACAATGATAATCATATATACTTTTGAGGTTTTGTTGTAAATGTTTTTACTGTTCACTAGGGGCAATATATTATGCTTCCTTGTAAGCAATTGTTTCATTCAAGAGTTAATTGAATAAAAATTGTAAACTTTGAATTGCTGTCTTTCTTCATGTTACATTATCGTGTCTTATGGTACATGATTGTTTAGAGATGAAGAAAATCTGTTGCATTATCAAGATTTATTCATAAGTGATTAATTGTCAAATTAAGATGCAAGTATTCTTCCTTCAAAATTTCAGTGTAGCGTTTTCATACAAGTTGAATGACACAATACAATGGATACGGTGGATATAGGAATTTTGGGTCCTTACAGCAGGAATGGGATATTTCTGATGAGGGACAACTCAATTAATTAAGATATTTTTTGCGGATGATAAGAAAATTATAAATTTTGTTTCCTTTGATTGCTCAATTGTCCATTAAAAAGTGAGTTGATTAAAGATTTAGCTGTGGTTACCAAACATTTTGTTTGATAGAAAACATTAACTTAATAATTTAGGTGCTTTAATTTTTTTGAAGTGGTTGAACCAGACCATTGATCACAAGCCCATAATTTAACTTGTGGATTCAGCAAAAGTATTGAAAATATCAGAAAACCAACCAGAGTTTAGATAATGTTTGCAAGAATCCAAGATATAAAATCGATTATAACTCTCCAACAACAATACAATGAAAATCAAAGCGGCCCACCAGACCAAGAGACACTTTCCACGTCCTGTCTGAAACCAAAATATCAAAGATAATTGAGAAAAAAAAAATATAGAAAACGTTGAGGAAGATGTCTCACTATCAAGTTTTATTATCTACGGTACAAGAAGGTGGACCCTACAATAACACTATCTGACTTTATAATAATGATATTGCTATACATTCAACCCCATAAAGGAAAGCTTTTAATTTACAACTTGAGACAGAAGGAAAACAAGGGAAATATCAAGAAGAAGAAAAAGAGAAGAAAGGATTCAGCAATCTTCTTTTTCTTCTCTGATTGAAAAATGGGTTCTCAGGTCTCTACACAGATGGAAAAGCGTAAGGCAATCTCCACTGAAAAGAAAACGCTTTGTGACCTTCATGAAAGTTGTGGGGAAACATTTCCTGGTAGTGACTACCGTCCTGCTGACAGGAAGAATTGGATGGGTGGCCTCGGTCCTGAGAAACTTCACATAAACAAGATTGTATGGCCTGGAACTCATGATTCTGCTACCAACAAGATCGGAATTCGGTGTATCTCTCGCCCTTTTGCACAATGTCAATCTTTGTCTATCTACCAACAGCTTGTTAAAGGCACCAGAGTTTTGGATATTCGAGTTAATGAAGATCGTCGTGTCTGCCATGGAATCCTGTCTACTTACAGCGTGGATGTTGTCATCAATGATATCAAGAAGTTCTTGTCAGAGACACAGTCAGAGATCATAATTCTTGAGATCCGCACTGAATTTGGGCACCAGGATCCTCCTGACTTTGAGAAGTACTTGGAGGAAAAATTTGGGGAGTTCCTGATCCAACAGGATGATCAAGTCTTTGGGCGAACAATTGCTGAATTGTTGCCAAAGAGAATTATCTGTATCTGGAAACCAAGTAAGTCTCCTCAGCCTAAGGCAGGGTCTCCATTCTGGAGTGCTAATTACCTGAAGGACAATTGGATAGACACAGATTTACCATCGACAAAGTTTGATAGCAATATGAAGCATTTGGGTGAGCAACAACCAGTTTCATCCAGGAAATTCTTCTACAGGGTGGAGAACACAGTCACACCACAGGCAGATAATCCTGTATTATGTGTTAAACCAGTGACAGGGCGAATTCATGGATATGCTAGACTGTTCATTACTCAGTGCTTTGCCAAGGGTTGTGCTGATCAGTTGCAGATTTTCTCTACAGATTTTATTGATGAGGACTTTGTCGATGCTTGTGTTGGCCTTACACGAGCCAGGGTTGAAGGGAAGTGTTGATGAATTTGTGAAGTTTTCTTCTCTTGTAATTAGTTTCTACCTCCATATAATTGGCTGTCCGGTTATTTGTTTGTAATGTAGTATATGACCTGTATAGCGTTGGCTATATTTATCGTGCATTGATGTGATAGATATTCTTGTTGGATTGGCTAGTTTTCTTCCTTCATTTTTAGGCTGTTCTGCAATTCTCATAGCCCTTTGATGAGCTGGAGTGGCCAATAGGCCATAACTCCTCAAGGAAATAAAGACAGTAAAACATTTCGGCTCAAAATGCTTTAACTCCTGGTAAGTCTCCCTACATCTTTTTGGAAACAACCTTCAAATTTCACTATCAGGGCCATATGTCACAAATGTGCTATGTGTCACGGACTAAGCTTTCTCTCAACAAGCACTAGCCCGCGAGGCACTTGAATGGACGCTTCCACCCAAGTCAACCCTCAATAGATCGAGATCTGAACAAATAACCATAAACCATGGTTAGTTTCAAGCATTCACAATAAGGCACAATATATCAATATCAATCTCATCCATACACACAACAAGGCACATTCACATCGAGAAAGAAAAGAAACACATCGAGGCAACAATCGGGCATTCAATCGAGGCAATTCATTAAAATTGGGAATCATACATCGGGACCTCCCACCATCACCAGGGCCAGGGGGGCAGCCCATGGTGGGTGGCCTAAGCTCGCATAGCACCCGGTGAGACAGCCCAACAATACCCTGCCGGCTCACCCCCCCTAAAGAGCCTTAGAGATTTTAGAGCTATGCTACCAGTAACCGTTACAATGTTTGAAATGGGGACACTTTTCCTAACACAAGGGGTCTACCCGGCCATGGCCCTATACATGGGTGGCTCATGGCAACCTAAGTCCCGGTCATGGCCTTATACAAGGTTGGCTCATGACATCCTCCCCCACCTATTCTAACGACGTCCTCGTCGACTTGCTGGCTTGAAATTCTTCGATCTTCCTTTGAAATCTCTGGAGGTCGTGCTCTCTCTCCCAGCTGGTTTCTTCTAGGCCTAGTCCCTCCCACTTTACTAAGTACTCCCGAACTAGTCTTCGAGATATCTTGGTTTCCCTGTCAGCTAAGATCTCTTGGACTCGACGCTCTGAGGTGGTTTCATGGTGATGGCGGCTCTGGTTGGCTCTCTTCGACCAGCATCTGTAGGATCTGCATGGAATGGCTTCAAGTTGCTCACATGAAATACTGGGTGCACCTTCATCCACTTTGGAGGGTCGATTTTGTAGGAAGCATTCCCCACCTTGGAAAGGACCCTTACTGGACCTTCGTACTTGCGCACCAATCTACGATCTCTCTTCCTCAAGAACCTGGTTTGTTCAGGGACTAATCGAACAAGAACCAAATCCCCAACTTGAAATTGTGAGCTCTACGACCCTTGTCTGCCCATTTCTTCATCCGTTTTGACGCTTTCTCTAAGTAGGCTTGTGCGATCTCCGTGTTTTGTTTCCACTCCTTGCTGAGGTTGAATGCTCTGGGATTCTTTCCTCCATATTGTTCCAAGGAAGTGTGGGGTAGCCTTGGTAATTGTCCGGTGATCACCTCAAATGGGCTCTTGTTGGTGGAAGAGCTTTTGTTGGAATTAAAACAGAGTTGAGCAACGTCCAATAATGAGGGCCAGTTCTTTTGGTTGGCGTGGACAAAATGCCTCAAGTATTCCTCTAACAATCCATTGAACCGTCTGTTTGGCCATCAGTTTGAGGGTGATAGCTCGAGGAGATGTTGAGTTGGGACCCCAAAATCTTGAAAAGTTCTCTCCAAAAGGACCCTGTGAATCTAGGATCTCTATCACTGACAATGTTTTGGGGGAGGCCCCAATACTTGACCACATGTTTGAACAATAGTCGAGCTGTGTCCTCCGCTGTACAGTACTTGGGAGCAGGAATGAATGTGGCATACTTAGAGAACCGATCAATCACCACCAAGATAGCTCCAAGATCGCCAACCTTGGGTAGGCTCGAGATGAAATCGAGGGAGATGCTTTCCCACGGTTTGGTAGGTACCGATAAAGGTTCAAGCATACCTGCAGGTTTCCTCTTCTCGACTTTGTCTTGTTGGCAAATGAGGCAAGTCTTCGTATATTCCATCACATCTTGTCGCATTTGAGGCCAATAATATCCTTGTTTCAATAACGCCAACGTGCGCTGCCAGCCCGGATGTCCCGCCCATGGGGTGTCATGACACTCCCTCATCAGCATCTGTCTCAGACCTCCCGCTCTTGGCACAAAGACTCGAGGTCCCTTGGTCCACAAGACCCCATTTTCTTTCCAGAAATGTTTGGACTTCCCTTCTTCCACTAGCTTCAAAATGGCACAGGCTTACGGGTCTTTCCCTAAATGATCTCCAATCAACTTATGGATGTCTGTAGTGGCTCTGCTAGCCACCATTGGGGCCATTCTTCTGAGGGCTGTTAACTCTGGCCGCATGCTCAAGGCATCCGCCACTTGATTAGTCTTTCCCGCGGTATGCTCAAAATAAAAGTCGAACTCAGCTAAAAATTCCTGCCACCTAGCTTGTTTCGCCGTGAGTCTTGGTTGGGTGAGGAAGTGGCTAACGGCTGTGTTGTCTGTTTTCACGATAAAGTGCGCACCCAACAAGTAATGCCGCCAAGTCCTCAAGCAATGAACCACCGCAATGAGCTCTTTCTCCTGGGCTGTGTATTTCCTTTCAGCTTCACTCAGCTTCCTACTTTCGAATGCTACCGGGTGATGTTGTTGTAAAAGCACACCTCCAATAGCAAAATCTGATGCATCCGTCTGGACTTCAAAAGGCTTTCCAATATCGGGGAGAGCTAAGATGGGATCCTTCATAATAGCATCCTTCAATCCCTCAAAGGCCTCTTGGCACTCGTTCGTCCAACACCATTTATGTTCCTTCTTCAGTAGCTCCGTTGAGGGCCGTGGTCTTATGAGAGTACCCTTCCACAAACCTTCTATAATAGTGGCTAGTTCCCAAAAAGGAGCGGAGCTCACTAACATTCTTCGGTATCGTCACTCTTTGATGGCCCTGACTTTTTCCATGTCCATTCGGATGCGGCCACGTTCGACAATGTGACGAGAAAATGGATTTGGGTCTGAACGAATGCACACTTCTCCCTTTTTACATATAACTGTGGTCCTGTAACCTTTGAAATACTGGCGCAGGTGTTCTTGATGTTCTTCCAACGTGGAGCTATATACCACTATATCGTCTAAATAAATGACTATAAACTTGTCTAGGTAGTCATGAAACACCTGATTCATCAATGTATAAAATGTGGCAGGAGCATTGGTTAGTCCAAAAGCATAACAAGGAATTCAAATGCACCATTACCGTGTTACACAGGTGGTCTTCGGCTCATTCCCTCGAGGATTCTGACCTTGATGGTATCCCGATCTCAGGTCCAGTTTGGAGAAGTACTTGGCCCCGCTCAATTGATCAAACAAGTCTGCTATGAGCGGGATAGGATATTTGTTTCTTACGGTGACTTTGTTCAAAGCCCTGTAGTCGACACATAAGCGCAAGCTCCCATCATACTTTTTCTGGAATAGCACTGGCGCTCCGAAAGGAGCCTTTGATGGTCGGATGAACCCAGCTTGTAGAAGCTCATCCAACTGTTTTCTCAGCTCGGCCAACTCTGGCGGGGCCATGCGATAGGGAGCTCTAGTAGGGGGTTTTGCCCCTGGGAGGAGCTCAATTTCGTGGTCCACTGCTCGTCGAGGGGGTAGAACCTTGGGCAACATCTCTGGCATCACTTCTCTGAATTCTTCTAACATTTTCTTCACGCCATTGGGTATTGGTTCTACTTTCGACCCTTCTTTGTAGATCGGCATGGCCACAAAAGAGGGTTCCCCTCTCTTTACCCCTTTCTTGAATTACAAAGCCGAAATCATTTTCTTCCCACTCTTTGGCAAGATATTGGCTGGCACCACACATGGGTGTTCTCCTAAGAACAACAAGCAGCTAGCAGCAGGGATAGGGATCACCTGAGCCAACGTCATGAAGTCCAATCCTAGAACGACATCAAAGTCATCCATGGGGGAAACTGTGAAGTCTACCTTCCCTTCCCATGGCCTCAATTGGGTTGTCACACATTTCGAGCTTCCACTGATTGCAAAGGCTGGCGAATTAACCGCCTTCATTCGCCCACAGTCTTTACTAATCTGAAGACCACACCTTTTTGCTTCTTCTGGTGTGATGAAAGTGTCGGTTGCACCTGTATCCACCATGGCCTTGGTGGCTTTCCCATTGATCGTCAAGTTCACGTACATCAAGCCTCTGCTTTGCTCTTTCTTTATAGTGTTCAATTGGGTGCGAAGGGCACTGAGGAACCTTATTGAACCCATCCTGGCTGGCTCCTCTTCAGCTTCTTCAACGCTCTCGGGCGCTTTTGTAGACTCTTGGGATGAGGTCCTTAAGGCATTAAGGGCTCCTCGGTGCGGGCACTCAGCCACTCGATGCGGCCCCTTGCAAAGAAAGTAAGTAAGCGGTTGCCTAGGCTTGAAAATCCCTGCGTTGTTTGTCCTAGGCTGGGTGCTATCTCGCCCAAAGGACCTTCTGTCTGATCCCCAACTGAAGGGTCGGTCCAACCTAGTTATCTTTCCCCCACTCCCAAGATTAGAGCTACTGCCAATTGGTGGAGGGTTTTTTCGTTTTAAACGAACCATCATTAAAATCATTGAAGATGTCCGCTGCAGCCATGGCCGTCGTCACATCTTGCACTCTTTGCCTCTGTAGCTCTGTCCTCGCCCACGGCTTGAGGCCCTCAATAAAATGGAATAACTTGTCCTTTTTCGGACATGTCCCTAATATCCAGCATCAGGGTAGAAAAGTTCCTCACGAACTCTCGCACCGTTCCGGTTTGCACCAACTCTCGAAGTCTCCTTCGAGCTATATAATCCACATTCTCCGGAAAAAACTGTTTTTCAGTTCACTTTCAGATCCGTCCAGGTCTTAATCGGCACTCGTCATCGACAAACTTGGAGCGCCACCACAACTGGCATCCCATACGAGTACATCGATGCCATTGTCACCTTTCTTCCTCTGAACTTGTGTGTACAGCTCGGAAGTATTGTTCCATGCTCGAACAGGAAATTCTCAAGTTCCTTAGCATCCTTGCCCCCTCATAGCACCGAGGCTCTGGCACTTTGGGCCTTGTCCCCTGTCCGTCGAGCTTGAACCTGAACTGGCCACCGCCATTTTGTAGGATGCTCATCTGGGCCCTGAGCTCCTCAAACTCCTTGTGGAGAATGTTCAAGGCATCTCTAGCCTCTTCGCTCACATTGTGGAGAGTATCGGACAACTCCCGCTGGGTTGTCTCGATCTCTCTCACTCGATCTTTTGTACCATATGAGTTTTCATTGCGGCCATCGCGGCCTCAAGTTCCTCAATTCTCTGCTGATGATCCGGTCCACCACTTGTGGCCATCTCATCCATTTCTCTAGCACTTCTCAACCGTGCTCTTGATACCACGTGTCACGGACTAAGCTTTCTCTCAAACAAGCACTTAGCCCGCGAGGCACTTGAATGGACACTTCCACCCAAGTCAGCCCTCAATAGATCGAGATCTGAACAAATAACCATAAACCATGGTTAGTCTCAAGCATTCACAATAAGGCACAATATATCAATATCAATCTCATCCATACACACAACAAGGCACATTCACATCGAGAAAGAAAAGAAACACATCGAGGCAACAATCGGGCATTCAATCGAGGCGAATTTCATTAAAATCGAGAATCATACATCGAGACCTCCCACCATCACCAGGGCCAGGGGGGCAGCCCATGGTGGGTGGCCTAAGCTCGCATAGCACCCGGTGAGACAGCCCAATAATACCCTGTCGGCTCACCCCCCCTAAAGAGCCTTAGAGATTTTAGAGCTATGCTACCAGTAACCGTTACAATGTTTGAAATTGGGACACTTTTCCTAACATAAGGGGTCTACCCGACTATGACCCTATACATAAATGGCTCATGACAACCTAAGTCCCGATCATGACCTTGACTCATGACACTATGCGTGGTTGTTATGGCGGCTTTAGTAGCTGTTAGCTACATGAGCTCAGGATTAAACAAAAAGAAAGTTAAATCCATTAGATTTTTGGATCAAAAAAGTTGAAGCACTCAGTCCACAAGGAGGATTAAAAGCGATCCCCATCATTGTGATATATACCATATTTTAGTTTCTTTTTTTTTTTTTTTTTTCCAATCAAGACCTAAATTTGATTTCTATCTAATAGACTGAAAAGTGAAAACTGTAAGCCAATTAGTATTGAACAGGTGTAGCTAAAAGCAATTAGTCAATTACCACTCAAAATGACAAATACAAGTTGCCCTGCCTCGCAGTTTCACCGAGAAGTGCATGCCGACAATATTGCATTGGTTGATAAATAGTCTTTTTCAATGATGTGTGATTTAGATTAACAAACTACGAGATAAAGACAAACAAGAAAACAAATAATCTGATCTTGACAAAAGAGACACTGCTGACAAGGGAAATTGCCGAAAACAGGTTATGATTGACACCCAGTGAAAAATAATTGGGTGACTGCTTCCTACTTTGAAATACAGTCTATAGCTTTCTTCTGACCTTTCTTCGAACTAAAGGGTTATACAATATTCAACTTCACTGATTGATCCTATTCAAAACGAAGGCAACACCGTGATGATTATAGATGGGCACATGGGCATTTGATTCAGTAGTAACCAGTAAGTTCATGCATTGCCTTTCAAAGGGCTCGGATAATGATAGTGTCATGGCAGAAGCTGATCTGGATACTGTCCTATATATAAGCTTCAAATTTATCGAATCTAAATGCTGCAGTGTTGAATAAGGTAATTAGGAGCCTAGAAGTGATTGGCGCCAGCCTTTTCCCTACAAAATTTATGTCTTAGTGAATCCTCCAAGTGTTGGATTATTGAGGAGAACAATCCTGCAAAAGAAAGAGTGCACGGCTAATGAATTCACGATGACATTCAATATGGAAGAGATGGGAATACGAGTATATGACAATCGGCTTCAAATTCTCACGACTAGCCCCCCTAAGCCCACATCAGTTCATTATATTGCATATTAGCACTTCACCAATTGTTTTCAGTAAGCAGTATCAATTTTCATTAGTAATCATATATTGTCCACATGGCCGAAATCAAATTGTCCACAGTAATGATATTTGATGACAACTAGTAAGTAAGGAGATTGGATTGTAAATATAAATACTAGCAAAAAAGTTGTCAAGAAGTAGTGATCTCAAATTAAGAATGCGTCATAGTTCCAACCAAGAAGAAACATACAGGTAACACCAAGTCAAAAGAAAAGATTGGCTAGGAATCAAATAACATTGATGAAGATTGATGAAGACTGTAGAAAAAATAATAATAATAACTTTGCTTATGATGGGGCAACTCACATAGATGAGATTGAAGATAAAATACTCTATAAGGGACCAATATTTGGGAAATAAGGTGGGTTCTCTAGACTTTCCATTTAACTGAGAAGCATAAACTGGAAAAGAAAATTGAGCTAGAATTTACATTCTATATCTTGCTACTTGAACTTAACTATACATAAATATTTGGCCTTACCCCAGACAAGTCTTCAATTCTGGTAAAGACAATAGGTTTTAATAACTTTCATTTCCTCAGTGTTTGGGCAATCAATTACAAGCATCATGCAAGTTAATGGCCATATGTCCAACTCACATTTGATAGAATAATTGTGAATGATCAAGTAAGCTTTTGAACACCATCATATTAGCAATTTTAACACAATAGTAAGAATATTGAGTTTCATGAAGATTATGAGAGCAAGTGAAAAACCTGAGAGTGGGCTATCTCTATGCTGTAAAGATCCTTTCACAAGAAGTGTGCCTGGGATTTGCTGAAAGACCTGTAAAACAAATATTATCATGTATCGAGTCTTCACTGCAGGACTCATTACATTCAAGTCAAGCAAGAAGGTAACCATACCAAAACACGAAAACACAGGTTTGAGGATGCCCCCTGCACATTGCTGCAACCGGCAACTTCATCAAGATGTTTTACTTCATTGTTTAGGAGAGCATTGCAGTGATCAGTTGATGCAGTAATCTATTAAAATGAGATTGTATTGCATGTAAGCAAAGAGCAAAATTTCATACAACATAAAAAAAACCCTATGATAAATGGACAATAATATTTCTTACATCAACTGTGAAAGAAGAGGCATTCAATTTACAAGATGCTCCGCCAGTACGGAAAAAGGACTCAACTGATTGAAGTACATCTATTGCACCAAACTGGCGTTGTATACCCTGGGAAGAATAAAAGTTCAACTGAGAGATGTCACACAACTAGGAACAGAAAATGCAACACATGACATAAACATATGGATAAAAGTATTGCAACAGAAGCCAATGTGTTTATTTTATCTCTCCATACAAGCATTTGCAGGTGCATAAAAGATAGAATCAATGTTTGCTTGTGCATGTTTTGACTAATATGAAAATTAATTAGAACCTCCGATTGATTCCAATCTGAATGTCATTACAAGTATTTCTTTTTGTGCATTTAAATATCCCGAGTATCAAAAATCACAACCTTTAGGATATGCCTTTGAGTTGTATTATTGAATTTTAAGCTCCATCAAGGTCTAACTTAAAAACAGGGCAGAAAATCAATGTAGCTAATCCATCTAATGTAGATACCAGGTAATATCACCAAATATTCAACACAAGTGCATATAAACTTGTGGACAAAAGAAATTGAACACTTTTAAGACAAACTAAAGAAAAGAGCCAAACCTCAAGCATGAAAGACAAAATATTCTTCTCAGTCACATGTGGTGAAATTATCTTCCTAGCAGGAGGCACAAAGGACCAAGCAAGTCCCCATCGACATGTTTGGCCTTGGACAAACTCAGTTGTTTTGACTATAGTAACTCCAACCTCTCGAAGCTTTGATATTAGGTATTTGAGGTTCACTTTCCTTCCAACCATTGAAGTATACCACCTAAGAACAAACTTAAAACATAAAGGTTAGCATTGTGTGAAAGTAACAACTTAAGCTAAAAGAGAAGGAGATATCCCTAAGAATAATACCGGAAAGACTGCCTCAACACAACACTATCTTCGATAATACGAGAAATGAAAGCCTGTTCTCCACCAGGACAAACCATCTCCTCATGAGTTCCACCACAGGAAGTTTTTGGATTCAATCCTGCTTCCTCAATGCTTTCGAAAAATGGGGGATTACACATGCAGAAGTCAAAGCTCTCGCCATCCCTTACCACATCAAGAAGTATAGGAGGTCCATGATAACTTTTATTTTCACTTGCTGGCATATCAAAAGAAGAAGATGGCAAACCTTCTCCTTCCTCGGAATAATTAGACTCGCCATTACTTAACCCCTCAGGAGTAAAAGTGTTATGAGAACATTTAACTTTTCGAATTTCAATTAATTCTGAAATATGTGGATTGTTTTTAACATTTCTCTCTGCCCATTCTAGTGCTACATCAGTCACATCTGCAATCAAGTTTAGCAGTGTTTAAAACCCAGAATTTCAGTTCGGACATGGATGGATTATAAATACAGTAATTAAGCAAACGATAGCAATTGTTACCTGATGCAACAAAACTCCAGCCAAGAAGAGATGCACCAAGAAGAGGATAGATACAATTGGCTCCAGTTCCTATATCAAATCCCCTCACATTATCTCCATTGCTGTTAGTTTTGGGAATAATGTCAGACGAGAGGAGATCTTCTATCCAATGGATGTAGTTGGAGCGGTTGGGCACTGTAGGGCAGAGCTGCCCATCAGGAACCCACCTGTCAAATCCAATTCAAATTAACAAAAAAATAGCAAAACAACAAAACCACTACCTACAGAAGAAGCTTAGGGGTTTACCATTGGAGACCGTGGTCGTGGAGGAGAAGAACACGGGTGAGTTCGCGGGTGGCATTGAAGTCGGTCCACTCGATTCTGGGTCGGCCTTCACGACTGTAGAACACGAAGGGTTTAAACGAAGGGTATAAAGAGGCTAAGAGAGCAAAATCGGGCGGGTTATCGGAGTATTTGTTTTTGGGGTGGATCTTGGGTCTCTCTTCCTTTCTTCTCCTCTTCTTGCTCGGCATTTTTTTTTCACTCGAAACTTCGAACGACGGATTTGAAACAAAATAATTGATTACCAATTAAAAAATAGCTTCTTTTTCCTTAATACCCACAGAAATTAACAATACATCTCAAGTCAAGCAAAATTCCGAAACAAATTAACGAAAACCCATACAAGAATTTGAAAATTAGAGATTAATAAGAAATACCCAAACCAAAAACAAAAACAAAATCTTGCAAGATTAAAGTTGTATTAGAAAAAAAAAAAAAAAAGAAAAAAGGATGCGGAATCAGCCGTTTGTAGCTGTGGGTTGCTGATGAAGTAGACGGAACCCAGTCGGCAGACGCTGAACCCAGTTTCGAAGAGAAAGAATCGAGACCAAGGAAACGAATTTGGGCCTACAACCCAAGCCATTGGCCGCTAACCGCAGCCAACCATCATCCATACAAGCCCACAGGGAATAAGAATAACTGGGTTTTTTTAGGTAATCGGAATAAAAGGATTAGGAGCTCATTTAAATAGAATAAAAATGTGGAAGATGGGCTTTTCCTGTTTTTTCATAAGTATTTTTTTAATATAAAGAAGGCAATAATTTAAAAATTATCAAAAAAACTATAGGTACTAGATTTAAATTTTCAATAAGTTGGATTTTTTTAAAAGTAATGGCATGAATTAATTTGATTAAATCTTGAGTTCCCACCAAATATTTAAATATACTACAATATTGATTTTATTAATTGGAATTAAGAGATAACGTATTTAAAGATTTTCTAAATTTATCCTTAAGTAAAAAAAAAAAAAGTAACAATTTTTTAATAATAATAATTGTAAGAGAAAGTAGAAATAGTTTTAAAACAGAATTATTGTAGAATAACCTTCTCTTATCATTTTTTTCCCTTTGTTGTCCTGCAACAAAAATTGAGCATTGAGCTCGAGAAATATCAAGCATAGGACCCCTATTGGAGCTATAATGGAACAGGGCCACTCCAGAGGACGACAAATTTCTAGTTTGAATGGTGGTTGTAGAGCTGTAAGACTAAGACAATTCAAATGGTTGTGATAAAGGATATAAAATTATTGGCCATAGCTAATTCAATTAGAAATTATTGAATATATCCAAATTTTTTGAAAGCTTTGATGGTACAATCACTTTTTGTTTAAATAAAGCAACAGTTGTAGTCATGGATGCTAGCACCTGCATGTCCTATTATGCAAACATCACCGTACAAAAACCAGACAGATAGATAAAGAAATGAGGTGACTAAAGATATTTTTATTAGATTTCCTATGAGAGAAGAAACAAGAATGATGCCAGCAGATATCCACTGTCAATAATAGATTCTGCTTTGATTTTTCTTGTGGACTTTTTTCTTGATTTGCAGATGAATGTGCAGGCCACTTATGTATCCAGGGAAAAGCAGAACCAAAAAAAAAAAAGGGCTTTAAGATGATTGGATCACATCTAAGTCCGGCCACTTGATTTATGTAAAAACAGCCACCTTCACAAGAAAAGAAGGCAACTTAAAGTCAAGTTCATGAGCGAAATTTTCAATTACTGGCGTATACTATGAATATGGTCTGTGATTAGACTAGAAAATAAGAAAAGTCTCGGCAGATCAAAAAATATCGGAGAAAATTTTCCCTAACGTGTTCTTGAATTTTTGCTCCAGGAAAACTTGATGGAATCCCATGTGAAACAATTGTTTTCCAATTCCAATGATGGAAGCTTGCAAATTACTACTATGTACCCTAAGTTTCATGCGTTTATGGGACCGAGATGGTCCAGATGGAGGTGGGACTGGGACTAATCACTAAAAAGCGTAAGCCTATCCACGTGAACATTCAGCTGACTCAGCAAAGAGAGCAGCATTTGGATAAGGATTTATAATCGATTATGGTTCATGTTCCACTTGTTACATTTCTTCACCTCTATATATTAATCCCTCATCCCTTCAAATCTTTGTTACCTCAAAATCCTCAGCTTTCCTCCGTTTAAATTTTGGTCTTATCTCCAGTCCAAAGCCATTCCTTTGAATATTCTTCAGAATAACCTGAAAGAGAGCCTAAAAAGAAAAACTTAACCCAAGTGTATATCTTGGAACAGAATGGCTTCATCAACATCATTGTACGAGGTTCTTGGGATTCCAGTGAGCGCAAACGGGAATGAAATCAAGGCAGCCTATAGGAGACTAGCAAGAACGTGTCATCCTGATGTTGTGTCAATGAATCAGAAAGAAATGTCAGCTGGTCAATTTATGAAAATCCATGAAGCATATTCGACGCTATCAGATCCAGATAAACGTGCAGTTTATGACAGGAATCTTTACAGGCAGAACCGCCCATTTCATTCCTTTGCTCACACATCTACAACAATGGCAGCGGCAGCAGCTTCTTCATCGGGGTTTTCTAGTTATAGTAGCCGTAGGAATTGGGAGACTGATCAATGTTGGTAGTTTGTGAAATTAATGTACCAATCCGCGAAGGGGACGATAGGCTTAACTTTTAAGTAGTTTATGAGCTAAGCAGCCTTTTTTGTTCTCTTTTGGGAAGAACAGAAGCAATACTTATGAGTATTACTTCTTATTTTATCTGCTGTGATGTCAACCGGAAAACTATCTGTTAGTTCGATTGGGTTCCAGAGTTCAGGTTCTCCAAGTTCATGTTCTCCAATAATATAGTTTCTTATATATCTGTTTCCATCTTCAATGTCTAAAAAATCAAATTGGATCAGACTCATTGAAACACAAAAATCAATGTCCTGAAAGGCAGAGGTGGGGTAAAAGCCTCTATACTGGAGTAAGGTGCAGAGGCAGAGCAAATTTTTAGTTGTTACCCAACCGAACTGCAATCATACGGATCAATTCAAGATGTTTTGTTTGACAATCATGATTTGGAAACTTGAGAACTACGTATCTCTTTTGGATAACTGAAGTCTAATGACATCAAGCGATTCACATCACTTTTAAAAAATAATGGAAAGCAGTTTGAACAAATTTTCATCGCATTATCACATAATTTTCAAATTAGACCCAAATCTCTTTCCACTGATCGAAGCATAAATCATTAATATTCTCTTTCCACCTATCATAGCATGAAACTGATTAAATCTTTTAATGAATCCACCCTCATTCTGTCAGGTGGCATCAGATCTATTTATCCTCCAATGACCACTACTTTTCAATTAAAAGATTAGGAACAGGGCCACATGTCGGCAGAGTAAAAATGGGATGGAATATTGAATGTGACTTTTAACCGACATTTCTGCAATAGCCAGCATGGAAAATTGACAAAATTCTAAGGAACATAAAACATTAGTAGTATTATTTTTACAGAACAACGTAAACGGTGGTCTTTGAAATTGAATTGTTTGTTCGGTTTGGAATTTTTGTTTGACTGTTTGTTTTTGGTTGTTCCACTGAATTTAAACTATACAATTAATATTGACCTGCTAAAATTCAACAGGACTGATGAATTTCAATTGGAATTGGGTGGAAAGAAAGGATGAATGTGTTCGAAGTAATGATTTTTATTACTTTTAAGTGATGTTTGAATTTAGAAATTTATTATAAGTAGAGGTATAAAATGGGTCATTTTAAGTCAATATGATATATTAAAAAATTAATTTATATGTTAATAGATTGCGTTAATTTAATATTATTATTTAATATGTTGTATTAACACAATTCATAAAAATTAAAAGCATGGTCTAATATAGTACATAATTCATAAACCTTATGGACCGGTTCTATTTTTTGTGCCGAATCGAGTCAACCATAGCTTATTAATAAATTCTTAATTTTTTTAATCTTTTTTAGAATTATTTTTATTTTTCAATTATTTTTTAAAATTAATATGTGAAGCATATAATTTATATGATTCGATAAAGATATCTATGTTTACTTATAAAAGTTAAAAGAATTAATCAAAATAATATGTGAAAATTAACAAATACTAATATTATATCTCAAAATTTTACAGAAATGAATATCACATTATTATTTTATTTTTCAATTTTATCATATAATGATTTATTTATATCATGTGTTATGTCTTATTCTTAGTTTTTCATAATCAATCTTTAAATTATATACATTTCATAATTTTTTTTTTAGAAAATGATAAATCAAAATAAGAAAATTTATAATTTTATCTGTTAATAATTTAAATATTTTATAAATAGATTTATTGATGCATAATTTTAAACTTCTAACATAAAATATTAAAAGGGCAAAAAATATTTATCATATGATAAAAATAATAAAAAATACAACTAAGAACCAATTAAATTTGTTTATTACATGATAAATTAGTGCTTATGTATCATGTCATATCGGCCCATATGCCACGTTTTGGCATTGCTTTTTGATGGGACATTTTGTGTTGGACCAATAAATCTAAAGTCTCGAACGCAACATAACGCAAATAAACGAGTCATGCTTGAAAGGAGCTGTGATTATAATAATGGGTTTTGCCACAACCTATATCGTGCCGAGTTGTGCTATATCATGGGCTCCCTAATCTATTAGACACCTCTAACAACAGTGGTGAAATACAAACATTTATTATGTGGATATGGGTTTGAATATTTTGGACGGCTCAAGATCCATTTCGGTCCTGAATATTGGGGGAAGGCCATTGGGGCCATTTTTTACACTCAATTGGCCCTTCAGGACCTTGAACTGCATATAGATTTCAATATTCCTTGTTTATGATCATGACATATTCAATCAGGCTCAATATTCCATGGGTTACACTTAAACAACAGGAATAATCTGCCACTCTCTGGCAAATTTACGAGTTAAAACCGGATTCTGGTCTCATGTCTTTGGGCACAATTATAATCCCCAACAAATATAATTTGCTAAGTTCTTTGTATTCTTCATATTCTCATTGCTTTTTATCATTTATGGTTTATCTCCATGAACTCTTTTACATGTTCATTTTATGTAATAGCCTTTGCCGTTCACTCTCCAAATCCCAGAAATAGATCGAAATTCAAAACCAGGACTAGAGATGAGTAGTGTCCGGATGGCATCAGTTTAGTCTCACAAACATTTCGATCTACATGGATGATTAATCTATACAACTTTATAAATGGGGAAACTATATCAAATTATCACATGCACATTATCACATCGACAATAATTAATGGTACACTTTTTATCTGTTCGTGTTAAAGCAGCTTTGTCTAAGTAGGTAATGTATCCACGGTTGAAGAGGACCCTGCTATAAATGTTGCTATACCGTGATCAATCGATATCAAGAACATGGTTCGAGCTCACAGCTCTGAAATCGTTTGTCTAATCCAAAAGAAGAAAGAGATAAAAAAAAAAAAAAAAACTTTACCAATGAAGTTAGAGGACATTTCTACAGTCTGTTTATGATGCTCATAGTATGTTCATGAGCTAGAAATGAAATTGGCAGTTAAATTTTTGTTTACCATGTATTTTTTGTTATACTAAACTAGCTACTAAGTTTTTACTTTGTGTTGAAGGTATTTTCAAGGAAATTACCCTAAAATTTGCAACTTTATCCTTTGGAATTAAATTGCTCCCAGCTGTGCAGTATCACATGAAAAGAGATACAAAATACTGATTCACCTGTTAATTGAACTTTGATACAGTGAAACTGTACAAGGTACATCAAATTACGGTCACGTCATCGTTGCTTATTCACTGCCATGGATATCTATACATGATGACAAAATATTGGTTGGATTTGATGTCTTGAAGTTGAGTCAATGAGTATTAATATTGTGGAAGCCATGATCAGTGATGAAAGTTGAGGTGAAGTATATATAGAAATGAAGACATTTCTGGCCTCTTTCTGTTCTTGTAAATTTGGGGGAAACTTTTGCAGCCCTTAGGCCAAAAGCTTTAAATCAGTCAAACATTAATATTAACAGAAGTGAAATTAAATAATTAATTAAATATATAAAAGATAATAATTTAATATGATTTGATTTAATTGATCTATGATCACGAATAAAAAAATATATATTAGTTATAAAAAATTACAAACATACAATCAAATCAATCAAATACTCAGAATCTCTTTCAATCTCTTCTAATCCTATGAAATATTTTTTAACTCAAATAAACACATATCCATGTATCCCCTTTCAACAATAATAAATATATACCCATATACATTTATACATCATATCTACGTTGACCATTTTAATCTTTTCTAATCTACTCATAAATATACACTATACTTATGTAAACCATCCCAATATTCTTTAATCCACTCACAAACATACAAATATACATATTCATATGACTTAAATCTCCAGTAGTTCTATAGGATATTTATCCCATAAAACCCTACAACTTTTTTACATTTTTTTCTCATACCTAACATAATAAAGACTTCACATATTTATAAATATACAAACTTGCATATCAATAATTCCTTCCCTCTTAGAAATTTTCTTTTGACAAGTTTTATTATTCATCAAGCGATATCTAACCAATTTCAAACATATTTGTATAAGATTTGAGTCATTATTCCCAATAATGTCCATATTGACTCAAATTTCATCAATCATTAATTTTCAAACAAGACTTGTTTGGCTCCACCTATAATGGAAGTCTCATAATCATTTTTTTTTTGTGTCTTCATGCTTTACACAAACTAATCCTCAAAACATGAATTTGAACTTTTTTCTTGAATCGAACTCCTCTGAACTTACATTTTTCTTTTTAGAATTCATCTTTTAAAAGTCTTATTATCCATCAAGTAATATCTTATCAATACTAAATAAATCTATTGTAAAATTTGAGTCACTATTCTTAATAATCTCTACTTTAACTTAGATTCCATCAATCATCAATTTTTATGCTAGAAATGCTTGGTTTTACATATAATGGAAGTCTCATAATCATCTTCTCTTGTATGTCTTCACACTTCATACAAACTGATTTTTAAAACATGAACTTGAAATATTTTCTTGAATCGAACTCTTCTAAGCTTACATTTTTTTCACATCTCGAACCTTTAGTTTTTCTTACGTTTTGAACCTTCAGCTTTGATACCACTTGTTAGGCTAAAAAATCTCAATCCATCCAAGTCAACAGAAGATAATTAAATGATTAATCAATCACATAAGAGACAGTAATTTAATACAATTTGACCCAATCGACCTACGTATATGGATAAGAAACAAAATCTACTAGTTGTAAAAAATTATAAACATACACCAAATCAAGCACTCACAATTAATACCCATATACCCTCTCAATTTATTCTAATTATATGAAGTATTCTTAACCCAAACAAATACATTCTCATGTGTATACTTTTAATACAAATAAATACATACTTATATGCATTTTACCTATATAAACTATCTTAGTCTTCTCAATCCACTCACAAATATATATCATACTTATATGGATCATTTTAATCTCTTTTAGTTCACTCATGAATATACAAATATACACACACATAAGACGTAAATCTTTAATAATCCTATAAGGTGTCTATCCTATAAAATCTTACAATTTTCTTATATATTTTTCTCATACCTAACCCAATAGAGACTTCATCTATTTATAAGCATAAAAACTTGCATATCAAGAATCTCTTCCCTCTTATAATTCTTCTTTTGTAAGTCTTATTATCCTTCAAGTAATATCTAACCAATCTCAAATAAATCTATTATAGAATTTGA